TATTCTCATTATCTGTTCCTGAATAACATATGACTATTATAGGGAAAAGTTCTATGTTAATTACTTCTAGGAGTGAAAGGTTAATAAGTACATGCACTGCTAACTGGTGTCGATAATCCTATCAACATTAAAATATACATTAGGAAACACATCTTGGCAATTGCTACCTTAGAAGAGTTTTCTTCTGAACTGTTTTTCCGACAGCTGTATGTTATACAAAGATCTGTTCCTGGAAAAATCTATTATAAAAATAATTCAAATTAATTGCAATAATGTGAAAACTCTTCCTACAGATGAAACTAAAAGTTGTCTTGTTTTATAAATTGGCCTCCCCACAGGAAAATTTGACATAACAGTTTAAAAAAGGAACCCTACCTCAGCTCTTATTTCATTGGCCATCACAAAGTGAGGTCGGTTTTCTTTAGTATTGTAAGCTCCTTGAGACAGCTGTTCATTAGAGAAACAGAGAAATAAGTGACACGCTGCATAAAATGTCTGTAATGATCATGTACATGTATACACATAAATGTTTACAGACACTTAACTCTAAAACTCCCAAGATCTCATTAGCAATTCTCCTTACTGCCTGCCATACAATTCTTATGATTTTAGTTTGGAGAATTTGGTATTGGATCAACTAATAATCCCCTAATTAATATATTTTTTTTTATCCTCATCACTTGTCTGCTTGATATTGTATTGATATTGTAAGGAGAAATTCTGTCTTGGTCACTCATGGGAGTTAGAGGGTTAAACATATAACACTACCATCCATCAGGATCAAACTCCCAAAGGCTCATTTAAGTTGCGTTGTTCATAGTCTATATGATGTTTGACAATGCAAGAGCTTTTACTCAATTAAGGAACATGTAAAAAATTCAAATATGAGATGTACTCTACTCAGTGTAATGTTGGAGGGAGACAGTTTGCACTTACTCAGGCCAAGGAAAATTAACTTGATAATTCAACTCTTGTGATGTCTCATTCTTGTGAGATCTCTGAATTATACCAGAAACAGTCAGGATAAAAAAAAAGGAAAAAAATGGGGAGTACACCTGCAGACCACAGGCTGAAACCTCATTGGTCAGAGAAAAAAAACAAGAAGTGAACCAGAATACTCTACACAGCAACGATGTGGGTCTGAATGCAAAATACAAATTACTAGCTTTTGAATAGATTTGTACAGGACATGTACTACAGTCTTTTAAAAGTTGTCTGATCCAACTTTCGAAAACTTTGAAGCGTCTTTGTCGAGTTTAAAGGTCAAAGAAATTTATACGCGTGTTTCCTAGCTTATAACTTAAATTATAAAGTACTGTCGGCGATTTCTGTAATGTTTTCGTGCCGCTTTTAATGGTCACATAACCCGCACCTTCCTATTAGTGGCGCGCGCGTTTAAGTGGCGCGACCGTTTAATGCTAATTTAAATTACACATTTTCTTAGAGGATCAATCTTTCTATGTTTCTTGATCTTGACAACTTAACAACTCATGTTTATCACTCTCCATTTGAAAAATACCAACTGGACTGTAGAAATAAAAGGAAACCATTGAACTTATTGCTTTGCACAACAAATTGTCTGCTTGCAGTTGAGTGTTTTTTTCTTCTTTTTGCAATTTAGATGATCAAAGTATGTCCATACAATATTCCCACCTGCATAAATAACTCTTTGCAAAATAAGTTGGACTGAGCTGATTCCAGCTTCTGTTGCCATGATGGAATAACTGTTGGCATATTGTCATAGCAACCACTCATCAAACCTTACAAACACAAAAGAAAAGCAGATTACACACTTTCAGACATGCAAGAGGTTGTCTGATGAATTCTCAACTGTTGTGCTTGGGAAGCCAATACAGTAATAAACAAGCAGCCATTTGTTTTAAGCATAGCAGGTCAAAGAAATCATCAGGTAGAGCAATCATTTTTCCAGGTCATCCTAGATTTTCAAGAATTCCAAGTAATGCTAGGAGGTTCTAAGAGCTACTACAGGCAGTAAATTTTATGGGTTACCAGCTGAAAAGGAGTATGCTGCATCATGCAAGAGACTATGATGTTACATTGCTCAAGACTTGTGTGCACATTCATTAAATTTTCAAATCCCAATTTTGCTTTCTAGAATGGGATCACTCAACTGCAGTTATCAGCTCATATTCCGAGTCACCTTATATGGAAATTATGCATTACACAAACTGTTGCTGAGCTGAAAAAGGCTCCAAATATACAAGTATTCAAGATTCAATTAAATTTTAAAAAACAATTATCCTATTGGCACTTGTTAGATATGGGATTAGTAATAGCAAACTCAGTGTTATGCACCTCATATTTTGGTTCCAAATACACCTGCAATACCACTCCAGTACACTTAGTCGGTTAGTGGTATTTATTCAACATTTCACAGTTTATTCAGAATCAACATAATGACCAGCTCTCTTGGGCTTGTTAGCTCAGTTGGTAGAGCACTGCACCAGTATTACAAAGGTCATGGGTTCAAATTCCATACTGGCCTGAATTTTTTTCAGGCTTTCTTTTCACTGTTGCTTAAGTAGTATTCATTACTGTGAAGATCACTTCAATAATCATTTCTTTATCCACAGTTCAAATATATGATTTTCATATATTTTTTTTACAGTTAACTATTGTTACAGAAGTGAAACAGCCAAAGTAAAAATACCTAATTATACATTGCCTAAACCAAACAAAGTATTACCTCTAACAGATGCAATCTGTAGATCTTTTCCAGACTCCACGATAGCCACTCTGATTTCTGCTGTTCCTTCCAAATCACTTCCAACAGTCACCTCCAAAGCTCTGTTGTCTGGGGTGGATTGTTCTGTTTTATCTTCAGCTATTGTAGCTTTGTTAACCTCAAACAATCCTGGATTTCGGAACTGTGAGCCAGCTATGAAAAGAAACACCCAAGTCTTTATTGCAAATATTAATCTTTGATTTAACCTCTTTGAAGTCCTTCTCATTGGCTGTTTAGTAAACCGTGTATTAAAATAATACAGAGAACACAAGTGCTGATCCCTCCTGAGGGTGATTAAGAGGGTTAACACTGCTTACAAATAATGAAGTGGTATTTGTCTACAAATTATTGTACACAGAAGTACACATTCTTTGATTTTTTAACCTGAGCGATATGTCAAATCCCCCATTATAGAAGTGCCTGTTCTTTTTAACCTCCACCTCTTTCTAAGCATCATAAGTTCAGAATGGAAATCTTTTGCATTGCTCCCTAGGTGCCTTGATGTATTATCAGCTCTTTCTTTGACTGCATCTTCCATTCTCTGAGCTCCTCGTAGCAGAATATCAGCAGCATTACAAAGACCCTGAACAAAAGAGACAATTGTTGATCATTCCTTTAGCAAAGATTCTTATATGTCAAGCAATGCATATCTACATTGACATTTAAAATTACTTTTAGGCTTAAATTATGAAAACTGGTCAAATTTGTTTCTTTTTTTCTCTTAGTTTTAAGAACAATAACATACACCCTGTATCTCTAAAACAAAGGAAAACACAAATAAAAGTACAGCAGCTATAGTAGGAAATTGTTTGAACTTGAAATCATTCATAAACTACACTTTACAACACCAACACAAGCAAGAAGAACTAGCTGTTCAATTAAAGAAACTTGAAAACACTACAAGGACATGCTCACACAAAATTACACAAAAGTGACATTCAAATCTTGAAAAAACTTGAATTTAGGCCTTGTTCTTGTCTTTTATAGGTATACATGTGAGTAAATGCCTGCAATCTAACCAACAAAATAATTTTAACTACTCTGGCTGGTTTCTCCAAAGTTAAAGGTCCAAGATCCACTCATAAGATGATTAAAATTCAGTTCCAGAGACAGTTTCTGAGTAAATTCCATTTCCTAACCTTCTTTTTAGTGATCAAAGACAAAGTTGGCTTAGGAGTGGCTTGGTTTTGTGAGACTGGGTCCAATACTAAATATTTCTTGTCTCGCACCACATTCAGAACATCAGATAATACACAGACTTCAGTTAAGGACTTCCTGTTGAGAAACCAATCATTTGCATAATTTTTCCATTAAATATTTCAATTATCAAGAGTGTCTTAAGAATTTTTCCCGATAGAGGTTGTAGTCCAATCCCTCCACAAAAGTGATTAAAATGCAACTTCTCTTCACTGTTCTCAAATGTCATTCATCAATCTTATGATAATAGCAGTCCGACTTATTGGTTGGAATGCATTTTACAAGTAAATATAGAACAGATAGAGAATTTAATACCCTTTATATTAGATATTTGGAGTAGAATGGTAAACATATATTTGAAAAAATATTTACCTCAAGTTTTCCCTAACAGAATCCCACGGCCACAGAGAAGGTTGAAATGTTACCAATGATTTTTCATCATCTTCTTTGTCTACATCCTCTTTGTGCCCCTTTACATCTGATAAAAAGTCTATCTTGTGCGCTAGTTTGGCCAGCTTCTCTGACATGGAAAGCTGCCTGTAAGTGTTAACACATCCATATGAGCAGTAATTAATTTACTTCCCAATCCTTAGTCTCCACATCAACAAGTTCTAAACATCTTCTCTACTAAAATGACTCGAACGATGTGTATTGCTATATCAATCTGAGAGTTGATTGATCATAATAGTTAGATACCCCCTTCAAGAATATCGTTTTGATACCTCAAAAAGGTTTTTAAATGTATACAAAACTATTGCAGGAAAAAATGTTGTACTTTCAAAGCTTTCTGACGGCCTATTGTCTGTGGAAATCTTGTCAAATCAGAATCAGAGAGCCAAATTTGAATTCTGAAATTCTAACGAAAAGCACTTACGGTACATATTTTTCTTGTCCATCCCTAGAGATCTCTTCCACTTCACTCTCAAGCAGACTTTCAATCGCGATGTCTACGGCAAGTCCAGACGCCATCTTGAAAAAAATACAGACTTCAACTATTTCAGATGTCCTCCCATGTTAGCGCTGATTTCGACTCGCGGGCTCTTGCTATGCAGGTGCATGCAACAACATAGTGAAACAACAGCTGTGTCTCTCGATGGGCGTCAAACATTTTCCGCGCTGGAGGTAAGACTTTTCGACATATCTTTGATTATACTTGTCTATTTAAGGCTTGTAACGTTTTCTACGATCCAATCTTAAAAATAGAGTCTTTGATCATTCCATAATGTTATTTTTGCCTGGCAACTCGAATCGCCTGTAATCCTATGTCGTGTGGCTTCCACATGTATTTCTTCGGTGTTCATAATTTTACCAAGCCTTCCCTACTCTGTTCTTCCAATTTTTTTATAAGGGCTGTGTATTTTCAGTAGTAAGAGGGAAGGTCTTGATCGTTGATGCTTTATTTCGCTTTAGACGTAAAACCAGGGAAAAATCTGCAAGATAAACAAAAGCTTGAGAGAAGCTCAATCATTATTGACCGAAGGATTCACTCTTTTGATGTATTTTAACATAAAATGACTATACACCGTAGTTTAAGGAATCCTTGTGTTCCAAAAACCGTTCTTTTCGAGGGCTTTGGATTCTCTCATGTCAAAATTATTTGATCTAAAGACAAAATGAATTTACTTGGAAATAAAATAGTTTTTTTTAATTTATTTATTTTATTCTTCGATAACCACACTCCCTGGTATAAATCAGCGAATTTTCGAAATTTTACGTACTGGTGAAGCATTTCTATTGTCCCTAGTAGTTCAGTGTGATGATGTTGTCATAAATTAGGTACCTGCCTGCCTGATGCATAATTAGCCTCTGTAAAGCAAAGGATCAGTTTTCTAGTTAATTCTTACTGAAAATTGTTAGATATGTCTCAGAACTGAATGGAATTGCAATGTAAAATATGTAGCTAAATAATCTTAACAACAGGAATAGACGAAGACTAGTCTTTTTTTTCTTGCCTGTCAATATTCATGGATAAATGGGATTTTGGAAATTTTCAGGAACTCTGTCTTAGTGATGAACCCCTTTCCCTCCCTCCCCACTCTCATTGCCTTTGATATGAAGAAGGCGAAAAGACTTAAAAGTTAACAATGCTTAGGGGTGAATTATTTGTGAAATAACATAATTAAGTTGTAGAACTTTCAGGCATTGAAGTCAGATGCTCCTCCTCTTGAGGTAGCTTGGCTTGTGTATGTGTGTGAAATCATGTATAGAGTTTAAACAGAGTAGGGTATTCCATAATGATGTGCTGTGTGGATCAGTAATGTCAGAAGTATCCAGTTTAAAAAAAGAGAAAAAAATAATTTGTAAATTTGAAACAATTATCAATTCAGGAAGTAGCCTTCAGAGGTTCATTTTCAAAGAAACACAATCTTCGCACTGGAGCTTAAGTTGTACTTAAATGAGAATGCCTGTCCTGAGAAGAGGTTTCATGCAAAAATTATGTACAAAAATCATCACCTTCAGGATTGTGTAATTTTTCATTCCCTAAGGGAGTGTATGTTGAGCAATCTGAGCTAGTAAGAGTTAAGCAAATATATTTTGCGAACTGACTGGATCAAGAATTTTTATTTGATTTTGGAGCTCATCACTGGTGCTGATTTGGATTAGATATTTGATCAAACCTTTCAGATTTTCACAACAATAAATTGAAGCTTAATTCTCAATCATTTTCCAAACTATTTTGGTCTCTGTTTCCAAGCATTGACGTTTTATTTCAGCCAGTCTAATTGACATTCTCTATAATTTTGAAAATATAATGAAATTATTTTAAATTGCCACAGAGTGCCCTTTCAAAAGCAAAGACACTACCACACTTCATCGTTGGCTCAAACACAAAGACATTTAAATCGATTCTATATGGATATCTACTCTAGTTTTTTTGTGTTCTAAATTTGTGGTTTTAATAGTGAGTTGTGAGTCATCAGTTTTATCAGTTTGGCTTAATGTTGTTCATTCAAGCAGATTCAAGAATTTCATCATGTGGATATTCAATTATGACTTTATTTTGACTAGCCTTAATCCAAGAGTAAAATAAAAGTTTATTGTGGTACTTAGAGTTAGTTTTAAGTCAATTTTTTTAATGAAAATCATTCTTATTCTTACACTGCTGATTTTCTCAGTTTTATAGGCAATTCTCATTAGAGTCAAAGCTTTCATATGGTGTCACGTAGTCAGTTTGGCAAGAAATATTGCTTCCTTGAGACTCTGTGATATTACTTCCCTGGAGCAAATTTTGAAATGATATATCATGATTTAAAAATTGAAACAAATGGACAACCCCAGTTTGTTGGGAGCCCTAAATTTCCACATGGATAGGCACACTGAATAATGTAACAATTTCTTGTGTTCTGAACCATATGTCGCTAATTTTAGAATTGACGTTTAAAACTCGTTTCCAATGCTTGTACCTTGATATCCGAGTCAGTGGGTGAATATTGACATTCCGTACAAGTTGCATCGCAGGTGATTCGACTTTGCTGCAATCAAATATGAATATGCATGCCGGTAGCCAAAAATCATATTAAACAGACCAAAACAGACCAAAACATACCCACAGCTTTTGGCAAATTGCGGCACATTGCGATTAGAATTTTCAACCTTTTTTGCAGAGGAAATTGGCAACGTGACACTGAGTGTCAAATGCTTTTAATTAATGATATCGTTTATTTATTGTTTTTAAAAGTGGCATGCCTTATTTATCATCCATTTGCAGAACAGATCCATAGCTGAGTGATTTGTGAAAGCTAAAGATCAAGTGTTTTACAAGCGATCAAGCAGAACCAATAAGATGTGGCGTGAGTGAAGTCAGCTGGAAAACCGGTCATGTGATGCGATATGAAAACAACACTTCCAACTCTTTTGTTTAGTGGATTCAAATTCAAACAAGCGAGCGAAATGAGAACCCAGCGACGTTCGTGAAATAAATCGTTTTTAATTCTCTGTCATCAAAATTCTAGACATCATGGACGGCTTATATCTTAAAATAACTCAAGATTTTACCCCCGATGCTAAGGAAGCCAGGTTTGGTGGCAAAGACTCGCCGATGGCAGTTGAGAAAGGTGATATTATTTTCGACGTTCGTAAAAGAGGAGACGGATGGATGTATGGCAAAAATTTGAACAGTGGAAAAACAGGAAAATTTCCTGAGAGCTGTGCGGCAAAACTGACTGGAAATAACAAAAAAGGGAGCGGTTCAGGAAGTCCTGATACAGATACTAATAGCGAGGAAAAACCTGCTGCAAAAGATGACAAGAAACCCGCGTGGCTTCAAAATAGAACAACTACGCCTTCAGTTAGAAAAACACCGCTTTACCCGAAACCATTTGCCGGAAGCATGAAACAACCACAAGAGAAAGAGGAACGAAAGGAAACTTCGGGGGACTCAGGAGTTGTAGAAGATTCTGTAGATGGAAATTATTGTAACGATGATGAGAAGCCAGCGAAGCGAGACGTTTCGAAAACCGGAAATCTAATGAAAGATGATAAACAGGAGCCAAAGTTTGTTCCTAGATCACTCCAGACACTTCAGAAACAGAAACCAGAGTCCAGTGCGACTGAAACAGAAAAAGAACCGCCTAAAGCGATTGGAAGGCCTTTCAGATTGAATTTAAATAAGAATGGTGACAGTTTAAAGTCCACAGAAACGAAAGCGGCCCCACGAGTGGACACGAAAAATCAACCGACAGCAGCTTCTGCGAAGGATTCTCTGCGATCTAAGCCCACGCCGAATAAAGATTACAACGAGGACGGAAACTACGAACCCATAGAAAAAAGTAAGGAGACAAAACCCCAACTGAAAGAGACGGTCAAGAATAGTAAACCGAAGGAAGAGACTAGACCAGCACAAAGCCAGCCGGTTAAAATTAACCCGATAGAAAACGCGAAGAAATCTGGCGAGAAAAATCAATCAAACGTGACCAACAAACGCGCTGCTGGGGGCGCTGCAGTTAATATTCAAGAGAACCCACTGTCGAAGGACGAAGCGAGTATTTATCAAGTCCCCAACGTGGCTTTACCACCTAAACCTGCCCGATCAAACGATCAAGGCTGTGTAGAGTGTAACGAACCACATATCTACGATACACCGATGCATTACAAAACACCACCATCGTCGCCTTCAACGAAGAAGCGAGGGAAAGATGAAACAACGGCCGAGAAACCGAAAGACAAAAATAAGAAATCAAAAGGTGGTTCAACAGCTCTGAAGCCAACATCATCCGTAATCAGGAAGACCAAAGAGCATATGAAGAACAGAATGGCTTCGTATGAGAGCATAGATACAGAAGGCAAGCGCTCTACGGAGAACATCAAGGATGCAGGACTTGCAGCAAAGGAGACCAAAGAAAAACTACTTGCGCCAAAAAGGCGACCGAAGTTACGAATTTTACTCGGCATATTTTTAGGATTACTTCTGGGTGTGTTCATATTTTTGACATTGTTTCTCCTGGCTCATTTGCACGTTGTCACTAGCATCGTTTCCGCTCTTATAGTCGGTTTTGTTGTGGGAACAATTTTCGGATTTCTCGATAAGAGGCGTCTTCAATGCATCGCCTTACTGGTTTTCCCAAGCTTATTTGCATGTGGAGGGAAAATTTCTGTCTGGTTGCTGATCACATTTTTTGTCCTTTCTGGTCCAATGTGCAATTTTATTGAGAATGTACGCCTGGTCACCCTTCATAGAGCTTGCCTAATGGACACTGGACAGTTAGCAAACAATAGCAGTGGTAACCCAACCAGACTTGTTCTAGTTGATAAAAATAATCCTGCTGTTGTACAACGTTTGGTAATGTACGAAAACATTTCACACGAACTGCAAAAATACATGAATTATTCCCTGTTGTCATCAGCTGATGCTGCAGATAACAATTCATCTGAACTAATTTGCATAAGTACTCTGAGGCGCACATTCAACATCTGCTCCTCTGAGATCGATAACATGTACAGCCAATGTACGAAACTAAACAAACCACCAAACTGTGAATTTCTTACGCCTAGGAACGCTTGTGATCACCTCACAGACAACCGGATTAAAGAAACGTGCAAAGACATCAGCAGCGCGAGTTATCACAAGTTATCGCAAATTGATAAAATAATTGGACGTTTCCCTGGGCGGATGGCAACAGAAGATATTATCACGGACAAAAATAACACTATTATCGCAGCAGGGGAGCCTTGTGACTTTGTCCATATCATAACTCTCTTGTTGCCTTTATTGGTTTTACTTGTATTGTACGAAGCATACAGTTATCACAAGTGGTATCTTTCTTGCAATGAGTTCGACAATCACTACCTCACGCTTCGCTTCAAGTCAATCGAGGACATGCGCAAGTCGAGCGGAGCCGTTGACTTACTGGTTCCTCTGAAAAAAGCCGAGCTACAGAGATTCGTTCAACCAACTGGCTGCCAACTGGCTAAGAGCGAGAAAGGAAGCATGCTGAAATACTTGCTGTTTTACTTCGTTTATTTAATTTTTGCTCTTATGATCATTCTATTAGATCATTACTTTTATCTTGTTATCACTCGAGAGGAACCGCTGTCCAATATTCCCAGTAGGTGCGCTGGGAAACTCAAGAGGCTGAACGAGTCTTACGTCATCATCTTGTCAACTCTTCTAGGAGTTCTGCTCTTGATAATCCTTCTCCAAGCATTTATCCTTCGGCTTCGCCGTTTGATTGCGTCGCGTTTTTACCCCAGACGGGAGAGAAAACGCATTGCTTACCTGTACTACAAACTGCTTGAAGAACGCAAGATGTTTTACAAATCTGTCATTGAAAAGATGAACAACTTCTCTGAAGAAAATGAAACACTCAACAGGTTGGACGCAGTACTGGTTCTGTGTAATAATTTCAGCTGGATTAAAACTTTGTTCGAGTTTGTTGGAGTCAGTATTCAAAGATGTTCTGTATGTGGCACTGGACTTAACAGGAAGTACCTGCACTGTGACACCGAGGACTGTGGCGTCTATTACTGCCGAACGTGCTTCTGGGACCTGGAAAATAAGTGTCTCGGCTGCATGAGCAACAGCAAGATGACGTCACGATCATCGAGCATGAGTGGTCAGTCACAGAGAAGAAAGAACGATTATGTTAAACCTGTTTGAAGATACTTCTTCTCGATAGCTTAAAATAAACTCTCGATACCGCGTTGAAAAAACAGGTTTTAACGAGTAGTTAGACATATGAATGTGCTTGAACTTTATATGCGCATTTTGAAAATATTTAATTTGAACATATGACATTTCAACGCGGTTTGTTTTTATTGCTCTATTTAAACGTAAATCGGTCCAAGTGTCACACTCTTCGCTTTTCAACACCAGAAATTATATTAATTTGCCAGGACTAAGGATTTCTAAGTATATTTACAATTAGGACCAAGGCAAAACAGTAGTTTTCGAGGAGAAACACAACGTCAGTGTAAAATACTTTAAAGTTGCGTGATACTGGAGCAGAAAAGAAAGACTCTAAGAAATGGTAAATTAAAAATGGGAGAGTAGCTCTGTATCGCGTACATCAATTCTGTGTTTCCGTGGTCTTACGCACAGGAGACTTAAATTACGCTTATCACCAGCATGAGGGAGCAATGGCATTGGTAACGCATTCTTCGGTATGATGACGCTTTTTGTGATAAACTTTCCTTTCACGCTTGGACAAATGAATATTTTAGCGGTTTCTTTGGTTCAAGAGACCTTTTGAAAAACGTTACATTTCAAAAATAAGAATGGAAATTATGAGAGCACTTTTTCTGACCACTATCGTAAATGGCATGACTTAAGAGAAGTCAGGTTCTAGCGAGACACGTGGAAAATAGAAAAATAGCTTTTATTTCATTAAAAATAACAAAAAGTTATGTTGGAATGTTTAAACGATCACCTGTTACCCAGTAAACTCCTGTATGGCCGGTGGTTGTTTGTTTTTAGGAGCGTTATTCTTTAGAAATTTTTCGGTTGTTCCCCTCATTTTTCTGTTTACTGGATCAATCCAGTGACGTCTTTGCTTGTGTTATTCGCTCATCTCCTCCTACCACTCAGGGAAAGAAATGGGTTGAATTGGCTAACAGCTTCGTTTGATTTTCTCTTGTTTTGATGTTGAGTAAAATTTTCCTTTTCATATATTTCGCTTAAGGAAGCTGCCTTCAACGTCTTTTTCGCCTTTGGAACAGTTTAAGACCGTCAAGAAATATACTTTGCATTTTCCTTTCAGTCACGACGGATGAAGCCGTTACGGATGCCTCTCTACCATGCACGTGTTTCTATTTTAAGTGAGCTTATCTCGATTCAGCTGACATGTTTAGAGCGAACTGAAGGATTTTATAAATGGGAATGATGGAACCCCCCAATATCAAGAAGATTTTTCGAGGGATGTTGAGGCGTGCCGTACGTTCCATTGATAACGCAACTTTCAGCCATGTACTGAACTGCGAACTATAGCCTTGAAATTTTATGTTATAGGGTACTAACAAGGCAGAAATATTCAGTGAAGATCGCGTGCGGCTCAGCTGGGAACTTTTCCGGTTTAGCAGTGAACAAATTACGCGATTGTTGATTTTATTGATTAAGGAATAATTTGCAACCAAAGAAGATGCAGTTTTTAAGTTAGCAGATATAAGGTAACCAATCAGCGACTGTTTGAAAATTTCCACTCAGCTAAGCCGCCCTTGGCCACTTCCTTAATCTTCTCACTCCTAAGATCTCATTAGTATTTCTCCTCACTGTCTGTAGCAAAATTCTTAAAATGTTACATCAGAGAAAATGGTAATGGATCAACTAATTATATCCTAATTGATAGTTTTCTACATTCTCATAAATTGCCTGCTCGATGTTGTATTGATGTTTTAAGGAGAAATTCTGTCTTACTCACTCATGGTATTAAAAGGTCAACATGTTTGTCAGAAATGGCAGACTTAATTTTTTCGTTATTTCAAGTGTAGTCTCAACATTCTCGAGCCATGAAGACACACCGGAAATAAGTATCAGAAGTAAAGTCATATTGTGTCATACTCACAACTGTAAGCCTTCGAAGTCGGGCCTTTGTTTGACTTGTGATCCCTTTGAACAGCATGTTCTTATGACACTCATTCCCCCTCCCGCTTAACCTCCTCCTCCTCCCCCCCCCGCCCATGCACCCCCGCCTCTTGCAGAGGTGTTAGGAAGCTGTGTATCCGGTGCCTCTCACTCAGTGGAATAGTTGATGTGCACAGTTTTCAGGTATGCCTTAGCGCGGTATGTCTGGTATGGCGTTTGTATTGCTGGCTCTCAAAAATGCGTCTACACCAGCTGAGGTGTGTTGATAATTCTTATTAATCATCAGTGCTTATCGCGGATTATTTACCCTGGACTTAAAAAGAGATTGAAATATCTTACATTCCCAAACAATTCAAGCTAAGAGGCCAATTGCATGGGCTCCGGTCGCTACCGAAAGAAAGTTCTTCTTATGTCTAAAGACTACTTTTAAATACCGTGCTAAGTATATATTATGAACCGTAGCGAGTAAATAAAACTTGTATCCCAAGCTTTGAAGGCAACAACTATACATTCCGAGAGAAGGTCATGCGCTTATTTGATGAAAAAAAAAAAATAGCCAGTTTGACTATTTCCTGGGAAAACTGTGTATAGATATCGATCTTTGTCATTGCCATGTTTACTAAACTAGGGTGAAATATTGCAATTGGAAATTCTCGTAGCTGGAGACTGGAGACTAGGCTCTTCAATGTAACCGCCCGAGATTATTAAAAAGTTTACTTCAGCGGTTACACAAAAAAGATAATTTTCAATATGGCGGACGGCGCGGAAACCTGTGTGACTTTATTCTCTCAATCCAGTAAAGTTTTCGTTTGGAACCCTGAAGATGCTGAGAAAATTCGTGTTGAATATCGCATAGTTGGATCACTCATTGGATCACTACCTCGTAAACCAAAACAGAACCATTGTTTTTCTTTGCCGCTTCTTCTTTCGCAAGCAGAGGCCACGTTACTTTTGAACAAGGGACTGGCAAGGATGTTTGACTTACCGGAAAATCTCCCGGTTCCATCGAATGAAGAAGTTAAGACGTTTCATGAGCTTCGCCATGACAGCGTTGTTAAACAGAGAGAGTTATTTGAAAGAGAAAGAGAAGAAAAGCAGGTGGAATTAGCAGAAATTATCGAGGAGGGAAGAAGGAGGAAGAGAAGACTGAGAGAGAAAGATGAAAATGTAACTAGTCCAGTAAAAAAAGTGAAAAGTGAAGAATTAGAAGAAGGCAATCCTGAAAAATGCAACCAAAAGGAGGAAAAAGTTGCTAATCAATTGGATTCGAAATGTAATATAGACAATGGTTTGATAACTAATGAAGAATCAGTAAGAAAAACTGATAGCATTGAGGCCCGTCACATTGAAATTGAATTGGGTTGTAAACGTAAGGACAAGTCTAGCTTGCAGAGAGTGTCACCTAACCGTGATATTAATCATGAAGAAACGAAGGCCTCGTCTGCCCTTGGAACTTTAATTCACATTCCAACAATTATGCCATCGCAAAGACTGCAGACTCTTTCAGCTGCACATTGGACATACCCCCACACAGAAACTGAAAAGCTGCATTACAGGGTATTTTTGGACTTATGGGAAAAAGGATATTATTTAACATCTGGTGTTAAATTTGGAGGAGATTTACTAGCATATCCTGGTGATCCATTCAGGTATCACTCATATTACATTGTTATTATTGTTCCATGGGGAAAGAAAATTACTCCATTTGAGATGATCTCAGCTGGAAGACTGGGTGCTACTGTTAAAAAAACAGCCCTTATTTGTTCTGTAAATGATGAGACAGATGAAATTTTGTATACATCCATCAAGTGGAGTGGGATTAGTTAAAAATTTAAAGTGTTAATGATACAAACATTTTGGATCAATTTTTGTGAATTCTGATTTTAAAAATTTGAAGACCATTACCTTATTGCTGAATTAAAACAATGACTAGGTGAGCAAATTATTTATTTTCCTTTGAATTTCACTTTATGTCTAAACCAAGGGAACACAAGAAGCATTTCCATCACAGAGCTATGGATGGTTGAACTCCTGCCTTTGTCTATTCTCCTTTGCTTCTCTGGTTTTCAATGTTGGTGTAATTATAGGTGTGATGTGTTTTCTTTCATTGTTCCTTTTCACTTGTGTAACAAAATTAGATAGGAAAGAAGACTGGTTATGATCAAAGGAAATTGCTTTCTCAGTGCTCATCACCTAATATGTACATATCTCAGACATTGGTTGTAATTTTTCAATGATTAGGTGGATTGAAAAAAAACATAATTGTCACAGACTTTACAGGCCTTTGTGTATCTCTTAGGCTAATGGGACAAGCATTGTGAGCACAGAGCCTGTAAATAAAAATAAAAAATACTGTAGAGCTTAATTGTATAAAGAAAAATGTTTTTTTCACTTTCTATGGTGAAACTTGATGATAAGCACTGTCTACTTCGGTGTAGGGCATCAACAATGAAGTGTGAAGGTCTGGAGTTTCAATCCTTGGGAGAGAGACTCAGATTTTTTGTCTTGTTTATAGAGATTATAAGAATATTTTTTTCACCAGTTGAACAATCAAAAAGAACAATGTCTTTCTTTTTTATTTACATACACATGATCAATGGAATGATACTTTGTATACAATAACACTGCGTATCAAAATGTGATTTGAAAAAAATTCATGGCTTTGGATGTTGTGCATTGGATGATTCTAGACTATTTAGACTATTCAAATATTTTATGCTTGCAACTAGTATATTTGAGTAATTCAGTGCAAGTCTGATAACAAAACTTGTCATGATTTTTTTTATCAAATTCGATCCAAACAAGTTTTATTTACCTAGAATGAAGTAAAAAGATATTTGTTGATAAGCATATTGAATATTTCATTACATTCATGGGAACGAGAAAAAAGAACCATGTCCAGAGAATTGAAAAGCAAGGTCTTGTTAAACTGCTCCATATGCTCTTGAAAGTTTCATCATTATACTATAGAAGTTAAATTGCTGTTAATTGCACAAAAGAAATAAAAATGAGCCATCAGCATTATTGAAACCCTTGTTATTCAAACCTGAAAGATAAGTTCTGATTCTCCTTTTAAAAAGGGTAATCGGGACCAAATTTAACCCTATGACCCCTCAAACTGACTAGCATCTAATTTCTCCCTCCATAATCACCCCCTAAAACACACATTGAGGTCAAAAGAATAAAAGAAATGATCACCAGCCAAAGAAGTTCTTGATTGTTAAACAAATTCTCCTCGTCAGCTCCTTAAGAAATTTATGGAGAACATGCATACTGATGTTGGGTTGTAAAGGGTTAAGTAGCAAAACACTAGGTATAGGTTCTGAGTCCATGTTTTTTAAACCAAAAGAAACTGGTAAAGTTGTACAGATAACTTACTTAAAACGAAAAATGTGTTTATATTTCATCTATTTTAATTTTTAAAGTATAATTTATTGAAGCAAAAGATGCATACTTTACAAAAAAAAGGCAACTTATCATTTCCATCGTTAACATGTCCTATAACTTTCACAACTGAAGCCGAGCGGTAAAGCACAATAGGCGCTCCAAGACCCATATTTCTCACAACATATATCGTGTTCATGACATCCCTGATGGAAACAACAGTCACCACAGACCCAAGACCAGCATGAACAGTTGGGGCCACACATACCAGTGCAATTATTTTGTTTTGGATCAAGCGCTAAGTCACAGCGCTTTTGTCTCTTACTATGGTGCCCAGAAATTTCATTTCCCAAATCGCGTCTAGCCCTCAACTCGTGTGGAGTCTGAACGTCTGAAGTCTTCAGGAGATTGTAACAAAGGGCATGAAATGGCTTTAACATTTCCGATTGGGTTACGTTTTCAGCAAGTGCTTGTGACAAACGTTCCAGAAGTTGAATTTCCGGTTCTTGCCGCAGCTCTCTTATGGCCTCATGGTAATGGATTTTTAACGCTTGAAGTTCGACCTGTGTTTCCTCGGAGGTCCGGCCCATCGTCAGAAACTCGTGAAGATTGTGTGATACTTTGGGAATGGCTTTGGGAATATAAAACAATGATGGACCGCGCCTAAAGAGGATTGACAAAATTATTGATCAGAAGTTAATTCTCTGTGGACGTAAGTGCTGCCAGCTTTAAAAGATCGCGTGGTCTGTTTCGTCGTGTTAAGTGATATTCAAGAGGTTCTGGCGCTGAATGTATCTTTTTACAAAACGGCGACATTTTCTTTAAAGAAACTTCAAACATGCGATTGTTTTCTGTAATAAACGGCTTTCAGAAAATGTTTGTGTGGATGGGATTATCTTACCGAGTGCAGGCATGACAAAGTGGTTTCTAAATGCTGTCTATTTTACATATCTAAAAACTGTGTTTCTTCTTTCTTCTGTTTACAGACTGATTCATTACAAGTATGCCGGTGAACAACTTCATCATTTTTCAAGGGTTTTTTTTTTCCAATTTTCAGTAGTCTAATGTTGTACGATGAATTACAATGTTACCGGTATTACCCACTTTACGCTATGAATGACGTAGCAGAACAGAATAAGAACGTCAGGGAACTTTCGAGGGCGTTTTTCAGTATAGCTGCTGACAATTGATCGACAGATATCTTTCATCAAAGAGCACGGGTCAATGACAACTCTTCTCCCGATTGCGATAAAAAAAACATCGTTTCACTTACCCTAGGAAATCTTGATCTATAATCTTGTAATAGAACATGTCTGTACCAAGTTCTTGGTATAACACTATTATTCTCCCGGCCGTCTCCATCAGTTTTATCGAGCCTTGTTCAATATCAAAACAAATCCCCAAAGTTTGGTTATGATAGTAGCATCCTTTTACTCGCTGCTCTGAGTAATCCTCGAAGTGGAACGCTTGAGTTGAAGATTTACAATCACAGCTTGCTACTGAGCAACAAAAAACTACCACCGTTAAAAGAAAAGAAATTGGAATGTTTGAAGAAGACATTTCAGAAAATGCTGTAAGTTACAAACGTGAAGTGAAGTGACTACTGTTGTATGAGAATCACACTGCAGGACTCACTCCTGTTGAATTTGTGGCACGGTGTATAGCAACTTGATTCTTAAATGTATTGTCTCTCTGGCCAAAGTCCACTTTTCAAACGTGACCAGCAGTTTCAGTTTCTTCATAAGCCGCCACAAAAAATTCCACCGGATCTTATTCCGTTTCTTCATTATCAAAAAAACACGTACATCTGTTCTCATGATTGCCCTTTTTGGTAACATCTGTTCAAACTCTGCTAAAGGAAGCAGTTCTCAGCGCTTTTGTTTATGTTTTTAATCCCCTAGTTTTTTAGGCCCAGCATTATTCATGATGAAAACTGTTCGTTTTACTTTCTTCACATCAAAATATATGGAAAGAGTCGGTAGTGAATACAAGTGAACATCTTTTGCCGACGATACAGAAGCCCAGGAAAATAATCAATTTTTCTGCGAACCGTGAAAAGCCCTTTCTTCGACATTCAAAACGAAACAGTTTAAGGGCTTCAGAAAGCACTCTTTTGTCATTCAAGAATTTAGACGGCTTCAGTGCCTAGGGAAATCGTTAAATTTTGATTACCGCAATGCTTGTTTGGTTCAGAATGTTTTCATTTAGGACATAACTAAGGTTGGGATGACGTGAAATAAACATTTCATGCATGAATTCTTTCACGAAAGTATCGCGGGGTCTCAATCATTGGAAAAAGGAGTCCGCGTAAAGTGATTTGGAGTTATCTAAACCCGGCATGACTAGTTTGATTAAATTCTGGACTGAAATACAGCGATAAAACGAATTCCTTGTAGTAATACTTTAGTGGTGGTACATCCACAGGTTAGCTCTTTGTCCTCTGTTTTCAGGTCGCACATGAAACGGTAAAACAGAAAACCGGACAAAACCCATGCAACATCTTAAAAATGGCGAACATTCATCAAAATCGTCAAATCCGCCAAGCTGATTTCGCTCTGACAAATTTGACTGATATTTTGTCAAATTTTCAATTCTGCCAAGCTGATTTCGCTGTAACGAATTTGACTAAAATCAACAAACCCATGAACATTCACTCTGTTTGGCGAAACTCTTTTTAAATCTAGCCATTTTTGTTACCGCGTGAATTTCTGGACATAAATGGAAAAATCAGACAGGAAGCAGCAAAATGCTGAACCTACATGACTCCAAACGGATGAATGTCAGATTAAGACTATATTGATATATTTGCGTGAGCAATAGCTCGTGGCCTGTGTCAAGGCTGGGTTTATCAAAGTTTAGAGCTGCCAGATGATACATTTCAAGATTCGTTTCGATTCGAAAAGTAAAGTTTACTCGAGAGGAAAACTGTATTATTTTGGTGAAAAAGAAAAACACCCTAAATGGAAAAATAAACCAAAAAGGACAAGGATTATCAAAAATGAAAAGGATTATGAGAGACGAACTTGAACAATCTGAGCTCTTAGGAATATTTTCAGTTCTCATCTTGAAGTTCGATACCCATTACTGTTACGATGCCTTTTATCCATATACAGAGGAAATTTTTTTTAAGTCATTGAGTATATCAGGATTAATTCAGTCGAGTGGCAATATGACTGGTTTTCAATTTTTGTTTTTTTTACATCCATCAACAACTAGAGCATTAAATTCAATTGTTTACAGAGGCAAGTTTGCCAGCTTGATGATTAAACCCAGCGGTTAAGCGCTGCGAACATTTCAAGGGCAACAAAAGAGACATTTCGAGTCGTTTCTAAAGAGATTTTAATTTGAGGCAGTCAGATTAATCTTTAATCTTTCTTTACACTCGCTTAAAATTTGTTGGGATGTAAAACACGATAATAAGATTTAAATCTATGCTAAAAAACCAACCTTGACATAACTAATTACTTACTTATAATATCAAATTATTTAGTAACTAAAAGTTTGTTTTCCATGAATGCTGTGAGTCTGACATATAAATTGAAGACGATTCTGTCTGTCTAAGACTAAAGCTGTTCCAGAGGGTTGCGCCATTATAATGAAAATATTTTCAGAAGGTTAGCTTGCAGTAAAGGAACAACCAGTTTATTTACGGAGTCCCTTAGGGAACTGTGTATTTCATTGTGGAAGATTTGGACAGGAGACACTCAGGGATAAGGCCATTCATTCATGAATTACAATCGCGCATACGAATTTCAGCAAAATTATTTTCAACAAGGGAGCATTTCTTAATTCGAATCCCATCAAAGCTGAAGTTACATGATCGAAGCAGCCGTGATTAAAGCTGCATGACTGAAGGGAAGTTACATGAGATGGACAATGATTAATGGAGTTGCCTTTTTTTTTTCTTCCCAGTGTACTCTGATCTTAACTTAACGGGTCTCTGTAAGAACGGAGCCCAAGCCAGAATTATTTAATTGTGTTACCTGAATATGTTAAAATTTAGTTAGATTGCTAGCTTGTTATGGCATGTAAAGAGTGTGGCTCAGCTTGGCTGTTCGAATTCTCTATCACAAAAAAATTCATCTGGCGAGTGTGCCGCTCTTGTTTCCTTAGTTTCGTTGGGACAACTGGTGGGAAGATATTGGCATTCTCGGTGATTTAGTAAAAACCTCTAAAGCTGGTATCTTCTTCGTCGCATCGCCAAGAAAGGTATACTAGCCAAGTTGGCAGAACTTTGAGAAGGGATAGGAAAAACCAGGCGTTTATATTGAATTTTTTTACAAACTTTAACAAATCTTTGGAAAGTTTGGGGAAGGGTATCCTAGCCTATACTCCGCCGAATTTTTCGAAATTACCCAAGTATGGTTTTTAGTATATTGATCGTTCAAAACGGATAAAGGAAAAACTTGACTACTTGATAAACCAACAAGTTTCTTTATTTCCCATGATGACATCTTTGCAACCAGTAAATGAGACAGTACTTATAACAGAATAAAGCGTATTTAGAACCACTGGAGAGAAAATATAATTGCATTGAGATGTGTGAAACTAAATGAAACTACTACAACTGACAGGTAAAGTCAGAACCCCTCGTTTTCTTGTTTTGCCGGAGTATAATATCATCATCTCGCGCATTATTTTCCCAACCATGATCCTTTTTTCATGCATTTTTTATAAGAACTGAAACCAGAACACTTTAAACCAATTGGCACCAAACAGTAAGAACTGTACGGTTTCCTCTTGCAACACAGGTCATGCTCATAACAGCCCCGATGCCAACAGCAATCTCCACAAAACCACTTCCAGCACCAACATCCTTTACCGCAAAGTCCGCGGCATTTATTCGCCGTTGGCCTCACGCAACCGCGCTTCTGCCTGTCTTGACCATAATCAGCGTAATCTTCCTCCATGTCATGTGCAGCTCGTAGCTCGGGTGCGATCTGTACACCAGAAGTTTTCAGTAAGTTGAAGCACAAGGAATGAAAAGGCTGGAGAATTTCTAAACGAGTTGAGTTATCGCCCAGGGCCGCAGACAGCTGCTCCAGTAAGTGAGTTTCTGGGACATGCTGGAGCTCACCTATGGCTTCCAGGTAATGATTCTTCATGAGGTCCTCTTGTTCCTTATCATTCTGAGAACTGCGTCTCAAAAACTCCCTCAGCGCTTCTGGACTTGCGGGAATGTTGGCAGGGACATAAACAGATGAAGGACCATGTCTGTGGAACGAGGAAAAGCTCTGCCAATTAAATGGCTTTCTTGTTGTGGATCAAATTATTTAGTGATGGCAAAGGATTGAGCAGAGAATGGATTTCTGGCATGGATTTCAAACCGAAAAGTGGTCAATTAATGAACTAAAAAATCAATCGATCCTGTTTTAATTCTTGAGGCTTCAAAAAATGAAGCAGACAAAGGAACATCATGGAAATTCTTAAAGTGCCTATGACACGAATTTTTTATTTTTTGCGTAAGTACTTAGTTCATCATATGTACAAACCAATTCCGATGGGAGAAAATTATCTAACAACTTAAAACTCGGTCTTTTGGCGCCCTGAAGTGCTCTTATTTTGTCTTAAAAGTGTCCCGTGGACTGGTAACGAACTAGCGGCTGATGACGTAGAAAACTGTGAAAACTTTCAGTTGACGCTTGCAAATCTCTCACATCTCTTATAATTTTGTATCAGTCAGCGATGAAATACTCTTGAAATAACGTGCGATAGCGAAGTATACCTATCTTCAGCAAGCTCTACCGGAAGTTGCGAGTACGGTTCAGCCGTAGGAAGACGGTTTCTCGCCTGCGGTGTTTAGGTGAAGATCAGAACAAAAAATACCCGTAACTTAATGTTTAGTTTGCTGCGTTTGTGTTTTGTTTTCTATGACGAAATCTACGTTAAGAGTGGGTAGCTGTGTTCAATTCTGTTGCCATAACATTTTATTCCTTCACACTAAGTGCGTTGAAGGTTCCCCTCGGTGCTCGAGAGTTTCGTTGTTGTAGAGAAATTCCCTTGGTAAACCAAAAGCTAACTTTTTACGAAAGAATCAGCTGTATCACGAGGCACGATGGATTTTTACCGAAAATTCATCGAGCAGTTTCACCGCAAGTTTCTGCTTTCCTCAGAGATCGCAAAGGCAGAGGCTGTCGTCGCCACCGTCGAGCCCCTCAGACCGAACGGAAAACGAGTGAGTTTATAGTCATCTGATTCAAGCTAATCTCAAATAGGAATTTTAATAGAGAAAAACTTCTTTGGTTTAAGTGCAGCATTGTCATATGACCCATTCCACTCAAAGGAAAAATCTGACATTAGTACTATAAATGAATATTTCTTACGCATCGACTGTACATGTAACAAGGCACTTGGATTCGGTACCATCTAATTCAATAAAATTAGTGTTTCCTTATTTATCTCGTGGCAGCGCTGTTATCACAATGATAATGCTACTGATGCTACTTTTAGTTTCTTGAGGGCAGGGGGTAATTGATAGCTTGTGGGATGGCCTTTCGGAAACCAAGGTTAGGAGAATTCACAGCCCCTTCATACCTGTCTTTATGCCAGTACCTGCCAGAGGTTTCGCACTGTTACGCAACAGTTCGAAACAGGATAACGGTCAGCTCAGGAAAGGGCTTGAACTTCATTACAAATGATGTAAATCTGTTATTAAAATACGATGGAAACTACAATTGGTAGGATTTTCATACAATAAGAAAAGCGCAAATGTAGTCATGTGGAAAGACACGGAGTATGAGTACATCTCAAGCGCGTGAAATAAACAACAATAAGGAGCTCACCATTCTTCGCTTGCGAAATGTCAGCTGAAAAGAATGTTAGATAATCGTGTATGGCGTAGAAACTAGCCCCTTAATCAGCATTCTTTTTAGGCGAATTCATTGGTTATCTTCCCCTGATTTGACAAGTGGTATGTGTTCGTAACAGGCGTCTTGGAAGCCGTTACGGAGCATAAGGCCGACGACGTTGAAGAGTAAAATCTCCTCGATATCCACGATCGAAACGCGTCTATTTTGGCCCTACAGCTACATCCTTTCGAAAGTAGTGTATAGAAATACCCAGTTTATGTGTATTATTCTTGTAGCTAACATCATTTGGCGCTTCGGCCACGTAATACGTTCGTCCTATCTTACTGATAATTGACGACGTGTGTTCCCAGTTTTCTACGTCACAGCTACGTAACATGGTCATTTTGGCCGCGCGCGTAACAGGGACACATTTTGGCTGCCAAATCGTACCTTCAATGCCCCAATAACGGTCAAGGAGAACTCGCTAGGCGCTAAGGTCGATTATTTCTAATTTTAAATACAGCTATCAAGCATAAAATGCAAAAAAAAAATTTCGCGTCATGAGCACTTTAAGGAACTACCCTTTGAAACTAATATAAATATTTAAGAGGAAAATTAAAACGAAGGCCCTTTTTCGTCCTTCGATGTAATTAATGGTAGCCATTTCCAAATGAGGACTGAATCACACACTTACCCAATGAAACCCTGACCCATAATGTTGTAGTAAAACATTTCAGGTCCAAGGTCCATGTAAAGAACCATCTCATCGCCATTGGCCTTTAACAATTTCATGAATCCTTCACGAATATCGAAGCAGACGCCCAAGGTTTTATTGTGGACGTAACATCCCTCTACGTAGTCTGCGGAATAACTCTGCAAACGGAGGCCTTGATCCACAGCTGTACAATCGGAGATTCCTCCTATGCACAAAATCGCTACAAGCAAAAAAGGCGTTAATGTAGGGCGATTCATTGTGTCGAGCTCAATTTACCACCATTCGTTATCCTTGGCGCGTGAACGTTTTTAGAGAAATGAATGCGAGGGGACAAGTAATTGGGTTTTATTGGATCGATTAGCTCTGAATCGTTGTTAAGACTTCCTGTATGGTTGCTGGGATACTGCTCATATTAGGTTAGTATGTTAAAAACACTTTTTTATAGACACCAAATCATTTTCCTCTTTGACCTCGCTTATCTCCGCTCACAGAAATCTGCGTTCAGCTAATGACAATCATTTATTGCTGTTGTAACACAACCCGCTGTGAACTATTTTAGTCCAATGAATCCCTGTATTAGTAATTCTACTTCAACAGCAGAGTTTTCTAAAAATGCGCACGTGATGTAGAGCACATAAACTTTGCCTTAAACTCTTTGAAGACTTTCAAGGATGTTAATTTTGCGAAAGGAAAACTGATAATATTATTTACACAAATCAGCATTTACTTAAGCCATCGTGACAGTTCACTAATTACTTAATATGTTTGAGATGAATATGAAAAATAAAGTTATTGGAAAATATACGAAACAGTGAAAAGTGATCTTCAGAGTAAGTAAGATTCTATGAAATTTTAATTTAGTGACATTTTCAACTTAGTGGATTACAAGAGCTTTCCTTTCCTCAAAGTCCAATTTACGTGTTTGTTTTCAATAAAGCTTTAAAATGGCATCCTGTTTAAGAGGAGGAGAAGAAATCGTACTTGCAAATATTTGCAACATTGTTACAACTTCCCGTGTTTCGAAAGTTAACTTGTTTTTAACTTCCGAAAATGCGACTTAATTTATCACGACTTAAACCGGCTGTAATCGTCCTTTAATTTATCTCTACTGATACCTCAATGAAACCTCTTTGTCTTCACTGAAACACTTTAACGGTGCAAAAACAAAATGATAAAGTATTCCTAGGATAATGTAGCCACCCTTTTTCACAAGGTTAAGCCTTTAGTTTTGAGCTCGCTGATCGTGGACAAAGTATAGGTATCACTTTCCAGAAACATTGTATCAAATCGGATTAATTTCGTGATGTCTTAAGTAACATTACTGAACATAAATCACGCAATGCCTCTTCGGTAAATATCGGATCGCTTTGATTTTCCCAACTGATACGTGTTTTAATATTGAAAACCACTTCAAAGAGTCGTCTTGACGTAGCTTTATGCACTCAGTGAGCGGTATGCGTTAATGGAACGAAAACTGATAATGACCAAATAAATTTTACTTGACCACTGACGTTAGCGATGCCATTTTCACTCTGTAAATAGTGTTTACATTTTAATAAGAAAAAAATCAACGCAAATACACAAATTGACTGCATCAGAGGCAGCCACGTATTGTACGAAAATAGAGAACCGTGGATGTTAATCAATGAATATTGCTTTTATTCATGCTCATTTTGGTTTTTATAATCATTTAAACACTTTTTTATAAACCCCAAATCATTTTCCTCTTTGACGTCGCTTATTTCCGCTCACAGAGATCTGCGTTCAGCTAATGACAATCATTTATTGCTGTTGTAACACAACCCGCTGTGAACTATTTGAGTCCAATAAATCCCTGTATTAGTAAGATTTTTATTCTACTTCAACAGCAGAGTTTTCTAAAAATGCGCACGTGATGTAGAGCACATAAACTTTGCCTAAAACTCATTGAATACTTTCAAAGATGTTAATTTTGCGAAAGGAAAACTGATATTATTTACACAAATCAGCATTTACTTAAGCCATCGTGACAGTTCACTAATTACTTAATATGTTTGAGATGAATATGAAAAATAAAGTTATTGGAAAATATACGAAACAGTGAAAAGTGATCTTCAGAGTAAGTAAGATTCTATGAAATTTCAATGCGATAATGGAACGAAAACTGATAATGACCAAATAAATTTTACTTGACCACTGACGTTAGCGATGCCATTTTCACTCTGTAAATAGTGTTTATATTTTAATAATAAAAAAAAATCGATGCAAATACGCAAATTGACTGCATCAGAGGCAGCCATGTATTGTACGAAAATAGAGAACCGTGGATGTTAATCAATGAATATTGCCTTTATTCATGCTCATTTTGGTTTTTATAATCATTTAATTGCACCAGCATTGTGTCATTAATGTCTTTTGGTCCACTTCTCGATCCACGTTATCCCCACCATCTCCAATTCAAACAATCCCTATAACCTCCAAATCTAGAGCATGTAAAACCGTACAAATACGGGAAAAGGCAGTGTGGACTTGTTGGGTTTTCCTTACAACAGAGATCATGCTCGTAACAACCCTCATGGCTGCAGCAATCGCCGCAGACCCAACTCCAACACGAACATCCTTTGCCACACATTCCTCGGCAGTTATTTTCCGTCGGGCGCAGACAGCTACGCTTTCCAGTAGTATCTAAGTTCAAGTCATGCGCAGCCTTGAACTCTGGTTGAATTTCTGTGTCCGATGCTTTAAGAACATTCAGGCAGAGCGCATAAAATGGCTGCATTGTTTCCAACTGTGTAGAAGTATCCGCTAGGGCTGCTGAAAGTCTTTCCAGTAGCTGGACTTCCGGGACATTGTGAAGCTCGCACATGGCCTCTCGATAGAGGTTCTGTACGGTTTGGAGCACAGGTGTTCCCTTCTTTCTGACCAAGGCTGCTAAGGCCTCTGGAGTTCTACGAACTTTATTGGGGACGTGAGTCATGGAAGAGTCATACCTTGTGGAAACATGTGAACAACAATAAGCAACTTAGATCGAATAGGCTATCGCAGCGAACAATTTTAAGAACTCATGACATCACCGGCTCTCTGAGTAAGCCTGTGCTCGTCCCTACAGCTATGCACGATTAGTGTGCGCCTATAGATATTATTGTTAATATTATTGTTATTGTCATTTTTTTTATTATCATTATCACTTATATCCTGTAATTTGTTTTTTAACTTTTTCGCCGAAAATACGCAAAGAAACAGCACTTCGTCAGCAAACTATGCCTTACCCCTCAATAAAATAAACCTGAATGATAAACTTTTAGGGAATAATTATCCTGACTGTAAATAGATGAAAATCGTATACGTAAACTGCGGACAAAAAAATGAATATGAAAGCAGTTCTCGTTGTAATGAACACTACTTGAGTTTTAGTAAATATAAGGCCTGAAAAAAATCCAGGCCTGAACGGGATTTAAACCCATGACCTCTGCGATACTGGTACAGTGCTCTACCAACTGAGCTAACAAGCCAACTGGATTGGTTCCAAATAAACCCGTTAAGTAATGAATAAAGTTCAATAAATAAATGAAAGTCGTATATGCGAACTTCGGACAAAGAAACGAATATGTAAGCGATTCTCGCAGTAATGAACACTATTTAAAAATTCCCGTACAGGCCTGAATGGTTTTCGAGCCTTATTTTCACTATTGCTTAGGTAAAATTTGTTAAAGATTTTGTCTGCAGTCATGATTACGAGGATTTCAGTCGCTCTGATAGCTTAGGCCTTTGATTTTTTCGGTTGCGACTAATACCGTGCACGCATAAATTAGTAATTTACTGATTTTGCTTACCAAACAAATGCTTGATCCAAGACTTGGTAAAGAATCATTTTAGGAGTGAGTTGCCTGTAATGTAGAATTTCATCGCCATTCATCTTCAGTAATTTCATAAATCCTTTGCGAATTTGGAAGCAAACGCTCAAGGTGTGATTGTGAATGTAACATCCTTGGACTTCGCCCAGAGAATGATTCTTTAACTGGAGACTTTTCGCACTAAAAGTTACTCTTGTAGCGGACATAATTGTGACAACACTCACAAGCACCACGAACATTACCAAAGGGTGGTTAATTGCGAAGGAAAGTGTCTGTTAATTTCCACGAAACGACGGATTGAATTCTCTGATTACAAGCCAGCGAAGCTCAATTTTGGCAAAGCTTTTGTTCCCACAACATGGTAACAAACGTCTTAATTATTCGCCTAAGTTTTGAATTAATTTCACCCCCAGGTAACACCAACAAAGGACAATAATGAAAGCTATATAACGGGAAATACGATGTTAGAGCCATGTTTAACAGGCTGGATGAATTTCATAACAAGAAAAACACTCACCAGCCTGATCAATTCACTATCACACGGAAAGTCCATCGTGGAGTTCGAAATTTTGTCACCTGTAATTACTGAGTAAAATGATTATTTTTTTTTGCCTAGCTCGCTGTCCAATTAAGGTCTTTGGCTCAAGTGTGTCAAACAGCCGCTTTGCTTTAAGCATCAGAAATCAAAGTTTTATAATCAGACAACTGTTTTAATAATAGCGAGAAGATAGAGACGATTGTATGAAAAGAAGACAACCAACGAAGTGGGCCATCGAAACGACACTACGTCAAAAAATGGACTTAATCCATAACCAATTAAATCACTTTCCTCTTAAACAAACCGTAAACAAGCGTTAGAAATTAATATAATGAACTTAAGGCCCTCTCGCAAAATATTGAGAACTGTGCTTCACCAAAACGAGTGTAACACTTCTAAACCTTGCGGAGAATGGGCAGAGGTTTGCTTTTGCTTTGCTAAAAAAAAAATAATCACGTAGTATACAGTACTTTATTCATTCCTATTTCATAGGTTTTCCAGAATAAATTTTCCAAAATGTTAATGTCACTGTTTCTAAGCATGAAACAATAACATACGAGAAGTTATATTTTCTGTCATCAATTTATCATAACAAATCATACTGTTTTTGAATCATTAATAACCATAATAACTTCTCTGTTTCTTTTTGCCGAGCTAAAAACTCACCATCTCTCTTAATCTATTTACAAACATGATGTTATCGACACATGCTGATCCTAGCAATATGCAGGACGCGTGTCATACGAACTTCATAATAGACCTCGCTCACCGCAGAGTCTCTGTGACTCAGTGGTAGAGCATCGCAGTGCGGCATTCGAAGGTCTGAGGTTCGATTCCTCATGGGGACTCAGATTTTTTCTTTGTCTCACGCTCGTGACAAGACGAAAAACACCTTTCCCCGATAACCATAAGTTTCATTCAAAATTAGTTCCATCACCACTTGGATATGTGTCGGTTGAGTTCCATATTTGTTTGTACAACGAGGTACATGGTGAAAAGTATCAGAAGAGTTGACGAGGGCCAACCTAAAGAAAAAGAAATTACAATTAGGCTACATGAAATAACACGAGAGTTTTGAGTTATCAAAGTACCATACAAGGACCACATTGCTTGCCCTATCCCCTGTCCCCTTAGCAAATTTTGTCGTCTTCCGCAGCACAACAAAAACCAAATGTTTAGAATCCTAAAGAATGCGAACGGCAACGAAATTTTTTCTAATTCTTTCTGTCACGGACCAAAAACCATGATTATCTCGGAAAATTTAGCTTAAGGTACTAGATTTAAACAGCAAATTACGCAATTGTTATAACATTAAAGAGAAGTTTACTATGTTTTTTTTTTCGAACATACCGAAATATAACATTCTCTTGATGTAAAACCAAATGGGTTCGGATCCACTCAAAAACACCAGGTTACTTAGAATCAAGCAAGACACGGTCACAACACCAAACATGGCGCGAATCCGGCGGGATGCTGCTGGAGAAAGCTTGTCCTGAAAAGGAAAGAAACCAAACGGCTGGAACTAAAAGCATGGAATGCGTTATAACAACCGCGATGAAGGCCATTGAGTATGATAACCGATAGAGAATCGCGTCTGAAGATAGCAAGTAAAGACTATCCATGAAATTAATTTTACTGATGCTGGAGCAGACATACAGCATTTTTATTACGTTGCATTATGACAAGCCCTTACTGGCACTTCACGCTACGGTACCATCCAGTGAACAGGAGCAGCTCTGTAGCTGAGTACTAATGGTTTCCAAAAGGGTCCCAACTGATAAGCGGCCATAACATTTAGACGTTAGGCGTAAAAAATTCACACATTTTAACCGTTAGTCATAACGGTCAAAAGTTAACCTTAAAAAAATTTCTCGTGACCACAACAGAAAGATATTGACCATTAGCCGTAAAAGCCATCGCCCAATTGAGACCCTCTTCTAAGCGGAATTGGACCGTTTTCAAAAGAAGCTTGAAGTAATCAATTTAATTGAGATTTCATTCGAACGCAAATATACCTACCTCCCATCGTCTGACAGAAGGAAGCTTTAACACAATGCCTGCCATAGATTCTACCACAACTCCAATCCAATTAGGGATGAACCACCATACCGTGTGCGCATGCGCGCCATGCCACAGCCATATAAAGGCAAAAGCGGAAAACGAAGCTACAATTTGACGAAAAACACCTGTGCGGGACCCTCCCAGAGGTATGTAAATATATCTGCAACAAACCATAGAATGCCTATCAATACACACGATGCACAGTGAAAGCAGCATCTATTTTGACAATCTTTCATTGACAACCGCGCTCGCTTTATTCATCAGCGACGAAGCTTAAGTTGAGAATGACAAAGAAAGCTAGCTAATGAAGGTCCTTCAAACCCACGACAACAACCTTATCGTATGTCAGATTTATTAATAAATGTTATTATTATTTATTAATAATAATAATAATAATAATAATAATAATAACATTCACTGACCGCTCCCCCAATGGAGCTTTTCAGTCAATACCAACAAATTAGTGACGTACATGAACACCGTGTTTGTAAACCCCAAAGCGCAGCCAAAGCGTCGAGCACGGGGCAACTGAGAACAATCCAGTGAGTAACGGGGTGGAGGGCATGAACCTGGAACCACCAGATTACAAGCCCGGCGCCCTAACCACTCGGCCATTCTGCTTTCCTTCCTTCATCTGCTCTGACACTTAATAGTGCAGCTTGATTATTAGTACTTGAATATGAACGTTCAATAGAAAATTACTGACCTTTTCATCCAGAAATTAAGACCCCTGTCGAAGTATCTGTGAAGTTGAACAAAACGGAAGACATTCTGAAACCATTACATTGTAATTATAGAATACTCTTGAGAGATGGTTTGTTTCTACGAGATTTAGACGATTCCCCTATCAGTAGTAGTAAAGTCAAAGGATGGGGAAATTTTGGGTCTGTTCTCATGGTTTGTTTCTGCATAGCTCCAAGATTTACCGATTGGAACGCTGGATTGGTAAAATTTTAATCTCTTCTCTTTATTCAAGAGCTACTTTCAGTTTCTCACCGACAACCCAAACCGTTGCCTCCAGGTGAAGGATGAGCGAAAAAGTTTGTAACTGATTATTAAATCTGAAAATTTGAAGCCGATAAAGAAACCGTGAAAAATCACAGTGTAAGAATGATGGTGTCATTAATAAATTTACGGAAAGTTGAGCAGGAAAACAATCTGCTTCCTCGACTTAATTCGCAATTTCTGCGCACTGTTCTAAATGCGTGTTACATTCGCCATGGTATTCGATTCTGGAAAAGTGTTAATCTTCTTTGATAATCTCCACCAAGAGCGCGCTTTATACGTGCTGTACACAATCGTGTAGTGTGCTTCCTATCGTGTCACGCGTGTGACGCACCCCTTCCCTTTCTGTCGTTCTCATGCCTGCTGTTCTGTGAAGCCTTCACACTCAAAAGTATTCAATTTCCCAGTCGTGAGAGCGAAGTGGCAAAAGGACACAAAGCTACTTACTTCCACATGTCAGTAAAGAGGTACAGTGTCGTGACACATCTGGGAAGTAAAGGAACTTCGATTCTATCGACCTCCGCCAGTAAGGTTGTACAGCGGTAGAACACCTTGTACTTAACAAGAAAGATGTGTAGCTGAGAGTACATGATCCCACACAGGGCCCAATTGTCCAAGGCACTAAATAAGCGAGGGTCTTGAGTAAAGGCCGTCGAGTAGATAAAGTGTAAATAGCACTCTAGGAAAAAGTACCAGAATAGGGTGCGTGCTGTTCCCCATAGAAGGGATTTTACCTCTTCTCTAGTAAACGGCCTGTACGGTTGATAAAACTACGGAATACGAGAATGCATGTATGAGAAACATAAAAATGTAAATAAACTGTATAAAGATGCCATACAGAAGTACTTGCAGCTATATATAGAAAACCACAGCATTGCTACAAGTGGTTTGGTTTAAAGACACCTGATTGAAAAGCGGTTTAAGAGCAAAACATAATTAAGTTACAGGACAAACTGAAAATGCTAGAATGCAGAACAGTATAACTCAGCAAGTCATACCAAGGTTTAAGTTTGAAGCCAATAAGACAACTTTGCCCGCGGGCTGAACTGGCGCAAACAACATGAGAAGACTTTGAAGGGCACGGGCTCTAGGAACAACAGGCTGGCGAGTTAATCTAGAGAATCGATTCTATTAAGCAGGAGCGTTGTGCTGGTAATCAATGTATAAACAAAGGCTTTAGGACTTGTATTACAATTAACAAAAACCACTTACTGTCCTCTGAAAAGTATCGAAGTCGACAACAGGACCATTGGCAAATAGCGGCAAATAAAAGTTATAGACCAGCAGGTCTATAAGCGAATACTGCTTTAGGGGTTTGTCTTTTTCCATCTCACGTGATCGCCAGCAATATTCCATTCCAAAGCTTATGCAGCGGAGGTTTCCCATCATGCATACAAATAATGTAAAATTTTTTATCTCTCCGATTGGACTCAGAGGATTAATCTGGAGAAACGAAAATAAGGAAGAAATTTCTCGTTACAAATCAAAATGAAGAAAATTTTGCGACACTTTTCTTTCCTTGCTCCACACAGGGCGCACGCTTTCAACCTTGTTGATGTGTATACACCACCCTCGAGAATGAAAATTTCAAGTTTGTTTGCTGTCAGATTTCTCCGTTTCCCTGCGTCAGCTCATCTTTCAAACAGTCTTATTAAAATTACCCGTGAGACCATGAGCTCTGATTCTCTTAAATCACTATAAAATGATACTTGAAAAAATAAATTGTTTGAAAGAAACTGGACAGCTCCAACACCATCAACAAGACCCAAATCAACATAACAACAAAAATTAGACACAGACATTTGAATTTACAGATCAGTGTCCGTTTCTGAGCAACTGCGCACTTACCCCTCCCCTGACCCAGTAACCAAGTCAACTGATAAAAAGTTAGAATTAATGTTGGGTCAGGGGAGGGGTAAGTGTGCATTTACTCAGATACTGACATTGATCTGAAGTTTCTTACCTGCCACATTCTTACTGAGTGTATCTGTAGAGAGAGAACAATACCAAGAGAGCAGATCCACATGGCAATGATCGACTTGAACAAGAAACAAGAGGCATAAACAAGCAGGCAATGTCCAACCATGAACAAAACTGGTTTGAGGCCGGTGATATAAAGTAGAAATGATAAGGCAAAGGCAAGGCAATACAGTGGTTTGAGCTAAAAAGATAAAGACAGACACATTAGTTAATTCTATATAAATTACAACCTCTCCAACACACCCTTTGGTGACAGAGGAAAGTGGCAGTTGAGGAGGTAGGGACCTCAAGCAAACCACGTCTGCGATGGCAACATGGGCATGGCAAAACAAGAGATCAATTGGGCACAACAATAGTTGAGCACAAGTGTTTTAAAACTTTGTACATTTCTTAGTTGTCCTCTACAAAACAACAACATGAAATAACCAAAATTTAAGTTTTCTCAGACTGATAACAGAAACCATGACAGCAAATTTATTAAGTTTCCATTTGAATAATCAGCACTGCTCACATACGTTATGCAGAAGTTGAGGTGTGATGCCATAAGAGACAGTAAACACATCCAGCCATTTGCAAAATTCTAACAAGAAACATGAATCATTTTTTAATTGACATCTCCCTTGGCATTGCTGTTCTGAGTGCTAAAGGTCCCTAATATCCACCACGAGCCACCTCCCCTTCAATGAGTAGTTGTTAATGAGCATACACCACACAGGTAAATAGTGCTTTTTGCACACACTGATTGGCTTGTTCAGAAATGATTAGCAAGTACTGTTCACCTCTACTTTCATGAATAATAGAAAATAAAAGGTTATGAACTGGGTGTTCTCTGTCAACTTGTTCCAAGAAGCTCAACATTGTTTATGCATCTTGAAAAATTAAGCAAATTTTCTTTTAAAGTTCATGATTAACACATCTGTGCTTATCTTGTCAATTCTTAGCCCTTCTCATTCCTTTTTGTTTAATTTTTCTGATATTACACTGATCTTTTAAGGTTTCCCTTATACTGAAGGTAAAGTTACAAAAACTACTGAAATTCCATGATGTGGCTTTTTCATCTGGGAAATTGCTACTAGACTGGGTAAAAATTAAATTTCATTTCCATGAGATTGAGTAGATTCAAGAAAAAAAAAGAGCTCTTTCACATTTCACCTGTGGAATAAATCTTGAGAAAAAAAGTCCTCCAAGCATGTGAACCAACATGGCAGGCATCAAGGATTTTATTGCACTTATCCAAAATTCCCACTCAAAATCAGTCACATCCTGCAAACAATAAAGCAAACAAGCAAAAAAATTAGCAGATCATACCACATTCCCTAAACAAATGGAAGGAGCACAGACAGAAAAGATACAAAACTTATCAGTCTTTTAACTCCCAAAATCTAATTTCTAATTCTCCCTCCCAGCTGCTACACATTTTCTTGTAAATTTGTTAAGAGAATTTGGTGTTACATCACTACAACAACCTACGTGTTTTCTAGATGACGTATGGACAGTGTAAGAAGAACTAAACAGGGAGAAGGCTCAATTTCTCAGCCTGGTCTGTAATACCCAAATCAGAAATAATCAGTGACAAAAATAAAATATTGTCTGATTAACACTGGGAAAAGAAGTTCATGCGGTTTTTAGTTTTTTGTCACTGATGACTCATTCCCATGATGGACTGTGCCAGTGGTTGATAATCAGGCCAAGTATTAATAACTGGGATGTCTAACCTTTTTTCTTCCAATAAATTTCCATCCCTCCTGTAGGTCATCTGCATAAATCTCATCTTTATAGTCTGTAAAGATTTGAGAGAAAATCTTTTTAATTGCCACTCAAGAGTTTATGGAGTTTATGATTTCTCAGAGCCATTGAGTCGTAAGATAGTTATTTCAAAAAAAAATTGATGACTTGCTTGAGAAAGACCACCATTGGCTCCTTCAGTTTGGATTTCAACACATGAAATCATCAAAACTAGTTAAAGGTTGTCTAGAAGCTTTAATTCTCTTGCTTTCAAACATGACTGAGATAAAAAAAAATATATAGGAAAAATCTAAAACTTTTATCATAAAAAGAAGACTTTTCATCAGTAGCTCAGGCCCACAGTCAGTTGGCCAGTAGCTGACTGATGCTCAACTGATACTCAAGTCCCTTGATGTCTCAGTTGAGATGTCTACTAATGTTGGTCAAATATCAGCAGACCATTGGTCTACTACTGGCCACATATTGGCTGACTAAGAGTCAGCATATTGGTCAATTATTGGTCAAGATGTAAATTAATGCATCAAGTATATCGACCAAAAAGGCCAAATGAAGTACACATAATTCCAGAGAAATTGTATTTTTATTTCATCAAATGCCTTTAAGTAATAATGGTTTCAAATAATTCTTCCCTCTAAAATTACTGAAGGGTTATGCTGGGTATTTTCTACAGCAATGAATGCCTGAGTTGTTTGGTTTCCTAAATTACAGAAATGTCATGAAACAAATGTCATGTCCATCTCTGAACAAATGTACTTCTTAGCAACAGAACTATTTTAAGCTATGCTTTGGTCACCTTCAGAAGCTTTGTAAATGCTGTACATGGCACATGATAACAAAGAAATCCACACAACCCAATAAACTGAAATCTCAGCCAAAGGTAGAGGGCCATGTTTTCTGTTCTGATGATCACTACTCTTGTTTTTATCCACATTTTCCATGTCAGAGGTGGACATCTACCATGAAAAAAATAGTAAAAATGTGTTGGGAGTAATATATTAAGTGAGAGTAGGATTTGTTCAGAAACATAACTTAAATAAAAAATGTAGATAATCATGAAAAAAAAAGATATTCTACAAAATTTAAAATGCAATAATGTAGTTTGATTAATCCAGCACCAAAAAATGAATATGTATAAATATGTATTGGTGTTAAGAAGTAAAAGTAAATTTTTCAAAGACCACAAAATTGCATGAGCCACAAGGGCAAGTGCAATTTATTGTATTTGAAAAATGCTCATTTACACCAAATTGCAAGAAAGATCATGTTGTTACTTGTTGATAATTTACATGAAAAAAGCATCACTGTGACAGTAAGTCATGACAGATAAAATTTTGACAAGGTGCACACCATCAGCAATTTGCACAACTTTGTTACAATTTTGCATTCATGTTACATGAAAATGTCCTCATTTTCAGCCAATCAGACGCTGTAATTTTTCATTTATATTATTAGCAGTGGAACTAGACTAGAAGTGAAATTAAAGGGGTTCAGTAGGCTGGCTGATATCAAACATCACTTGAAAAACAAATTCAGTCTTACGGCAAAGCAAGTCTGATATGTTAATCATGAGTATAATTATAGGCAGAACTGGACAACACAATGTCCTTCTTATTATCAAAACTATGAGTAGATTTGGGAACAAATTACCCATTCGTATCCCCAAAACATATTCATTACGTGAAAAAAAAAATTGACTTTTTGCCACAAGGAAATAAACCCAATAGTCTATAGTAAAAGCAACAGAGTCCACTACAATGATGTGTACAGTGCAACGACACAGGCATAACACTTAAACTGTAGAAAAATTTAAAGTTGAGTCTTAAGAAGCTGGATACAAAAACTGTATGCAGAAACACTAAGTTCGGAGATCTGCTTCACTCTCCTCGATCAGTTAAACATCTGAATGGAAGAGAATTATTTATTTTGCGTGATCATTGTTGATAGTTTTGAAACCGCGTGAAATTACCAATACATTTAAACTCTACAATGTCTTCATTGTTATTGAACATTCACAATCAACGTAAACTCCAGTTTACGTTTCACAGGTCTCTTTGGCACGTAAATCACACGCGCGAGGCACAGAGAGCTGAATTAGATAACAGATATAAAAAGTATCTCATGGATATGTACTTACCTATTAAATTTCCCCGCAGAATCCAGCTGTTCCTCTTTTTTCGGCAATGTTCACTATTCTGTGCCACATGGAAAGGCAACAGCTGAATTATAGATCCGAAGGAAGTTGGTTTACAACAACATCAAATCCAATCGCGCACACCTTTGCCCCTTTCCGATTAAATGTACCCACGTACCCAAATTTGTTAAAAAACCTTACCTCCTTCTTAAGTCTATCGCATAATATTCCACTGATACTACTACATTTTAGAATCACATTCATGAGGAATGAACCTTAACAGTCACCAACAGCTGAATCGATATCATTAACTTCCGGTTTCAGCTGGTTAAACAGAAGCCTTGATTAACTGATCAGCGGCTGCCAAACGCACGATTCTGAACACACTTTATATTTTCTTAACTAAGCGTCCATGAGCATTAGTCGTCTCCAGACCCTACTCCACTATTTCCACTTCGAGAAAATTGTTTTAAATGTCATCCACAGTCAATGGACTTCCTTCGGGAACAACGAGATCTCGTCTGACATTTCATGGGGAACAGGCCATTTCACATTGCACTATAAGACCCCCTATCGGTGGGTGGAGTTGGGCCAGAATGATTTAAATGAATGAAAAGCTGAAAACTATGTGTTGGGTAAGGCTCAAGAGAATATAAAACTCTTGATAAAGCTTCGACATAAGAATCAAATCTGGTGTTCTAAGCTTTTATCTTACGTCTTCAAGTTTGAACGAATAAACCAAAATGACAGACAATCAGATTATTTCCGACCATTTTCGCAAGTTTATTTCATTATCTCGGCATGCTTACAAAGCAAGAAGTATCGTAACCCACACGCATTTAGCGCTGTGTAAGTGATATAACGGACCTAGTGAGTTTCTAAAAGTCTTGACGCCTCTTATTTATGAGACTGAAAAACTTAAGGAGAACATGTTTTCGAAGTAGTTCATAGATATATAATCTGGGTATTTTTCGGCGACGAGGTGCCAGACTGATATGAGGATTCCTCCGTTATCGACATATGAAACTGAAGACCACTACTCTTTGGATGCAGCAGCATATCGCTGAAAGTATTCGGTGATGAAAAAAGCGCAAATCTTTCTATCCTCTTTGTATACGCGTGCCTCCCTAACGCTTCCCTGTTAGTGCGGCAGAGATGAGAGGGGGATGGAGGTCCTAAGCCTTGCGTAATTTCTTTTCATCAAGAATCTTCACCAGCACTGGAATTAGACATGAGGTAGGTAAATTCTGAAAGGAAGACGGCAGGAAAAAAATTAGCGAGAAGCGAGGTAATATAGCTCACCTTATAATTTTACAGTTCTAATTTTTTTATCGCTCGGGAGGAGGAGGAATTTTTTTTTGGGGGGGGGACGCATGGCTTTCAGGGAGAGCGGAGGGAAGGTCTTTCCTCAAAAACAAAAAGTATTAAGGGGGCACTGTATGAAATTGACTGCCAGTCACTGACTGCCAACGAGGTGTGATCATAAGAATGTTACAGAACCTAATGCATAATGCGGGGATCAGATAACTTTAATCGAGCCACAACGAAAATTATACCCCCTCCCCTCCCCCCAGACGATAAATAATGACCATTCCCTCATTCACTTTTATTTTTCTTGCTTTGTCTTTGTGTTAGGTTTGTTATCATTGTTATGTTATTTTCGTTGTTGTCGCGGCTGTTGTTACATGAATCGTCGGCATAAAAATTTACCTGCAAAGGTTATCTTTCTGTCTGTCAGAAGACCTGTTTCTTGTAACATTTTCTTAAGCTCGTCGTCAGGGATACCAGCACCTGTAAGTCCAAGTGCCTCTCTTAATTCACGTGACTCGATGTACCCTTTATTCTGAGCGTCAAAAATATGGAAGGCAGACATAAGATCTTTTGTTGTGTGGCAGGAGTTTTGACGGTCTTCTTCGTTTATTTTCTTTTCCTTTAATTTTCTGTGGCCTGAGAAAAAATGAATGAAATCAGGGTTTCTTGATATCTTCAGATAAGATAAATAAGGACTAAAGGTGAGGAACCTGTTATTACTTTTTGCCTGGGAGGGGGAGGGGGGGTCACAGGTCTCTGGTTGTAGGTCCCACAAGGCTCTGTAATATTTTTGTGATCTTCTCTCATTGGCATCTGATTGGAAGTCAATTTTCCGCAGACCCCCTTCACACTCTGTTCGTTTCTCCTGAAAACCATGTGATCCCCCCCAAAAAAATCCTTCATCCTCCCCCCCCCTCCCCCCGTCAGGCGATAAATACCGACTAATCTCTATTTTTAAGGAAATCTTTGAGGGAAAAAAAAACGGGAACATTTCGGCTGAAGCGCTTTATTCGAAGACTAGGAGCACGCAATGAATTAGATATTTAGCGTTGAAAAAAGAAAATATCTAAAGGAAGCTTTAGGTTTAGGTTTAGCTTTATAAAAAATTTAAAAAATTTTCCTTCTACGGACTCGAACTCGTTACAAAAAATACTTTTAATGGCTTATATTATAGACAATAAAGCTATTCATTTAATATTATGAAGCCATACAAAAGGTGATTTTGAATATATTTTTGTTGGGAGCTAGCTGCTTACTGCTTTAAATATTGAAAAAATAATCTTACCTCGAGATACCATCTTAAGAAAGCGCGTTATATTCAGCTCAAGCTTAGTTTCTCACTCTGATCTAAACGGGGCATGACTGACAACGTGTTTTATATCCTAGCTAGGTGGTAACTACAACTCGTGCTTGTGTTTGTTATGACGCATTCAAAATACCCCATCAACAGTCATCGTTATTTTTGTGACTAAATTAATCACGTAAACCCCCCTGGGCAGTCACTCAATAAGTCCATGGATGAATTATTTTTCAGTAAATCTATTGGATACTTACGCTATGTCACATTAGGAATACTTCAGAGTTTTAACAGCAAATACGTAATGATATATTTTCTTTAAGTTGATCTTACGTGTTTAGCGGTTGTTTTTCTTCAGTCGAATTTGAGATCAAAGTGTTTTCTTAGTTATTCGGCAGTTCACCTGTTCTTTTGCGCCTGTTTGATCAATCCTTTTTTTGCGCACGTAGAACTGGCTATCACAACAATAACTGCATTAAGTTTTAGCCACGTTCAATAGATTATTCAAAAGCCACGGCGGGCTTTTGGAACTTAAGCTGCTGATTTCATGAGCAGGAAAAACATCCATTTGAAATCCTTCGAGTTATTAAGTGATACTTTGTAAATCATTAAACCTCGCTTCGCTAAAACAACTGTTCTGGTGAAGTCAGCGAAACAAATAAACGGGGGAATCTACATTTATTTTGTGGCGTCATCGACGTTCAAGTTTCAGTCAACAAAACGCTTGTTTTCATTTAATTTGACTCACATCAGGAGCAGATAATGCCGAATGACAATTCCTCGCTGATGCATCTTAAATTTGTTTTGGGAACAACATCAACACCGTAATCGGGAAATTATTTGGCCGGTTGCAAACAAAAAAATTCAAACTAAAAATACAAACTCTATATCGGAACAGCAATTTGATCGAAATTTTTCGAAATGGTCTTCGAGCGAATGTCTTTTTATTCCGGTTAAAAAAAATTGAAATCAGCTTTATTTATTAGTTTAAACTAGAATAAATGTTATCCCTATTTGACTCAGCGCTAAAGCTCAAAAGGTTTTACTACTTGAAGATCTTCGTTTGTTGAAGAATAGTTGAAAATCAGTGACTCGGATCCACGAGAGAACCGCTCTTCACTCCTTAATTGTTATTCAAGAGCGTGACTTTGAAACTTACACCATCAATAACAGGTTGTAATTAAAAAAAATAGGTTTCTGAAAGAAAGAGCACGTCTAGGGTTGTACATTTTGAATAAGGCCTGGTCTGCTTAGTTATGAAAAATCATACGAGACAACTTTGTAATAATTTGTTCTGAGCCCTATGTGACTGTTAGAGAAAATATTTTTTCCACGAGAAACCCAAAACAGCATAACATTCTGCCTATTTTTGGAATTAGTTCTGTACCCATAATTTAAGTCCCCATCTTAGAGCATGTGTCAGTCTACAGCTCTAAAATAAAAAAAACCCATTCTAGTCCAAAGGTTTCATTTATTAACCAAACACGCCTTCCGTATGATTATCCGAATCACCTCAGATCGTCTAAAACAATGCTCGAGAGATCGGGAAGATTACATGAAAAGAAGGCCAAGTGACCGCTTGACGAACCATGTCAGCAAAAACTGACTTACTTCTTAATTTTGTGTTTTAAAAGATCGCTAGGATCGCCAAATCGTCTCAAAGTTGATGGCAATTGGAACGATACGGGAAATCAGAAAGCGGAAGTACTGCATTTTGTCGCTTGTTACACAAATATCTCTTGATTACGTGACTCTTTTCCTTTGTGCATTGCAGAAGGCCGTTGAAAACATTAGGACCAGTATAAAATGCGTAGTCATGGGAAACCAAACGGTTTAACACGTATAAGACACAGTTTGAGTCGATTATCTCCAAATAGCAATTAATTTTCTTGAGCCTTGAATATGCTAATTGCATCCTTCTTGCCAACTTCAAAAATAACATTCAACATCCAAACAAAAGCCACAACAACCATAACACTGTATTTTCATTCAATAAAGATGTTACCTCTACATTTTAAAATCTGAACAATTGATCCATGGATAAATCAAATAGTTCTAATCATAAGAAGTTATCAACTTTCGATTTTCATAATTTGAAATATTCAGCACATCATGGAATGAACAGACTTCAAATTCAAAACTGAGGATTTTTTGATCTGATGACACTAAGCCTCTATTTTCCTCACTCAATAGAATACTATGTGATGATTGCAGACCACTATTTATGGCAAATAAAAGTGCTACTGCAGACTACAAATAACACTACAGTTTTAACTGTGGCTCTTGTGGGAATTAAAGATATCACATAATATCAAGCAAAACATCCCTTTTAGTTTAGCCTAGTAGTGCCATGACACATTAAGTTTACTTAACCAATCCTGACCCATTTTTGACCCTAAGCAATTACCAGTAAGTTGACGCTCACGGTGGACACAACATTTTTTTGAGCTCATATTTGAGTCATGTTCTACTGAAGAAATGTAAAATGGTTTCCGTGTTTACATAGCCTGATGTAAACACGTGGGAGGTTGGGAGAACACGAGATAAGCGTAGGAAACCACGACGCGAAGCGGAGTGGTTTCCAGCTTATCGAGTAAACTGCACTGAAAAACTGTCCATGCCAACTTATTCAGAGCTCCACTAGCCTGGAAACTGATATCAGTGTCATCATCATCACTTATAAGCCTTAAGGCAATGTGTAAACATAATTTACTAAAGTAAAAAGAGGAGAAACAAAAAGGCATGAAGGCCCTCCACAAAAACACATCAATTTAACACTGGGGTCACCTCTGAATGTTCTTTTCCTGTGAAAGTCTTCATCAAATATTCATCAGGTTTAACCTGATACAGCTTTGCGCATATTACCAGCTGCCTCCTCTACCACGACCTCCAATTCTTCCACCCCAATCAGACCCTACACCACTGCCAAAGCTACCTCTCTCAGAAATAGCTCTCCATAACATAGCCTTCGTGTTAAAAGTGGGATCAGAAGCATAGGGGTGTCTAAATCTTTCCTCGATACTTTCCGGTTCACTCTGTTTTAGCTGGTACAAAATGTACAGTACAGTAATGATCAACAGCACACAGAGGATGATGAAACCATAGTTTGTTGAGCGCATGAGGACTTCACTGCTGAAAACTTCACCCATCCGGAAAATGGCGAGTTCCACACCTTGATCGTAATCTTTCTTTTGCATGTATGGCTTCATTTCCTCAATGATAATATCAATCTGGTCATCGGATAACAATTTCATGGCTCTTTTGCCTGTGGAGACATACAGTTGACGATCTAAAATGGAAATCAGCAACATTGCTCCGTCATCATGGCCGACACCCCATCTGTAATGTTTATAAATGTTTGGCAAACCTCTCTGCTGTTTCTTCAACAGATAAATCAGGAATGCCTCTCATTCGGTTAAAAAACTTCAACGCCAATTTGAAATCCAAGTTCGTCATCGTTGCTCCACCCTGAAGAAGTATTTTAACAATTGAAAACAACATATCTTGAATCTTGTTGGCAGCCTCGTAGCTGAGAATATTCTCCGGATCACAGATCCAAGAAACCTTTCCTCTGCGACCACAAGCTTCCACATGTATCGTAGGATTCGGAAAATCCTCCTTGTACCATTCTTTAGTTGCCTTTTCTTCTTGAAGGAAACAAAAAGCCTCAAAAATAACGGCCAAGATCATAACAAGGGACATGACTGATGCGCTCGCCATCTTGACGATTTTCTTGGATTATGGCAGCTAAAACATACTAGCGACTAAATAAAGGAATGGTTCCGATCTGTGAATGGATGATGAAAATAGTAAAAGTTAATAAGTTATATCTTTACTCCTTGCTCGTGAGTACTTTCGAAGCGGAACAATGAAATATCAATGTGAAGACGACGATGTGTCAAACAAGAAATGGCTACTTACATAACGAAGAGAAAGCAGAGTCTATCTTGTTCAACGAGGTCGTTCAGCGATATTCCGGCAATGAAAAAGTCATCTGCCGCCAAGCTCCGCTGACAAATTAACATCTGGTTCATACGTCAGCGTGCGTTCATCGAGATATGAAGCACACGGGAAGTTTGGAGAGCACGAAAGATGCGTAAGAGTTGCTCGAGGCGTAGTTTGGAGAGCACGAAAGATTTAAAAAATTAGACCGAACTCAAATTAGACCAAACTTCCTAAGTGCTTCATATCTCGATGAACGCACAGCTGACACATGAAACAATTGTTTTATAACATTTTCAACCCGACGGTTTACATCTGCTACGCTTCAGCGTGTTGATAAATTTGTTTCAGGAAAACATTTCGCAACGCTGTAAACAATCTTGTGTTAGATTGGTCAAAAAACTGACAGGTGAATTCATGCGTGTAAATTTTGTAATTAAAAAAGATAGGTTTCTGAAATAAAGAGCACGTCTAAGGTTGTCCTTGCTGAATAAGGCCTGGTCTGCTTAGTTATTAAAAATCCTATACGAAAACTTTGTTATATTTTGTTCTAAGCCTTATGTGACTCTTGGAGAAAATATTTTCCTATGAGAGACCTAAAACAGCATAATATTCTGCCTACTTTTGGAATTAGTTCCGTACCCGTAATTTGAGTCTCTATCTTAAAGCATGTTTCAGCCGACAGCTCTAAAGTAAAAAAACCCATTCCAGTCCAAAGGTTCCGTTTATTAACCAAACCCGGTTTCCGTATGGTCATCCGAATCACCTCAGATCGTCCTAAACAATGCTCCTGCAACCGGGAAGATTACATGAAAAGCAGGCCAAGTGACCACTTGACGAACCACGTCCAGCAAAAACTGGCTTACTTCTCGAGTTTGTGTTTCAAAAGATCGCTAGGATCGCCGATTCGTCTAAAAGCTGATGGCGATTGGAACGATACAAGAAATCTGAAAGCGGAAGTACTGCATTTTGTCGCTTGTTACCCAAATATCTCTTGATTACGTGACTCTTTTCCTTTGTGCATTGCAGAAGGCCGTTGAAAACATTAGGCACCAACATAAAATGCTTAGTCATGGAAAAAAACGGTTTAACACGTATGAGACACAGTTTGAGTCAATGATCCCCAAATAGCAATTAATTTTCTTGAGTCTTCAATATGCTAATTGCATCCTTCTTGTCAACTTCAAAAATAACATTCAGCATCCAAACAAAAGCCACAACAACCATAGCCCTGTATTTTCGTTTAATAAAGATGTTATCTTTACATTTCAAAATCTGAACAATTGATCCATGGATAAATCAAATAGTTCTAATCATAAGAAGTTATTAACTTTCGATTTTCATAATTTGAAATATTCAGCACATCATGGAATGAACAGACCTCAAATTCAAAACTGAGGATTTTTTAATCTGATGACACTAAGCCTCTATTTTCCTCACTCAATAGAATACTATGTGATGATTGCGGACCACTATTTATGGCAAATAAAAGTGCTACTGCAGACTACAAATAACACTACAGTCTTAACTGTGGCTCTTGTGGGAATGAAAGATATCATATAAAATCAAGTATAACATCCCTTTCAGTTTAGCCTAGAAGTGCCATGACACATTAAGTTTACTTAGCCAATCCTGACCCATTTTTGACACCAGTAAGCTGATGCTCACGGAAGACACAACATTTGAGCTCATATTTGAGACATGTTTTACATACTCATTGTAAAGCACTGAAAAACTGTCCATGCCAACTTATTCAGAGCTCCACTAGCCTGGAAACTTATATTAATGTCACCATCGTCATTTATAAGCCTTACAACAATGTGTAAACATAATTTACTAAAGTACAAAGATGAGAAACAAAAAGGCATGAAGACCCTCCACAAAAACACTTGAATTTAACACTGGGGTCACCTCTGTATGTTCTTTTCCTGTGAAAGTCTTCATCAAATATCCATCAGGTTTGACCTGATACAGATTTGTGCATGTTACCAGCTACCTCCACTACCACCACCTCCAATTATTCCACCCCCACCAAACCCTACACCACTACCAAAGCTACGTCTCTCAAACATAGTACACCTATAGTAGTCAGGTTTACACAGATAGAAAGGATCAGATTTGGTAAGATCAAAATTAGAGATACCTGGGTATGTATCTCTTTCCCATTCTCCACGTGATTGTTCTTTCTTTCGCTTAATGCACAGCACAACACCAACAATAATGATCACCAGCACAGCATAGAAGATGATATACCCATGGTTTGATGCACTACGAATGCCGAAAACTTCACCCATTCGGACAATAGCGAGTTCCACACCTTTATCATAATCTTTCTTTAGCATGTATGGCTTCATTTCCTCAATGATAATATCAATCTGGTCATCGGATAACAACTCCATGGCTCTTTTTCCTGTGGAGACATACAGTTGACGATCTAAAATGGAAATCAGCAACATGACTCCGTCATCACATCCCGCGTGGCCGACAGCCCAGCTGTCATGTAAATGTTTGGCAAGCGTCTTCGCTGTTTCTTCAACAGGTTCACCAGGAATGCCACTCATTTGGTTTAGAACTGCAACACCAATTTGAAATCCAGGTTTGCCATTATCATAGTAGCTGCACCCTGAATCAGTATTTTTAACAACTGAATACAACAACTCTTCAATCTTATCGGCAGCCCCGTAGCTGAGAATATTCTCCGGATCACAGATCCAGGAAACCTTTCCTCTACGACCACAAGTTTCTACATCTATCGTAGGATCCGGAAAATCCTCCTTGTACCATCCTCTAGTTGCCTGTCCTTCTTGCAGGAAATAAAAAGCCGCAAAAGTAACCAGGAACTTAGCTAAAGCGCTCGCCATCTTGACTTTCTTGGATTGGATTTCTTTTATCTTGATTTTCTTGGATTACGGCGGCTAAAACACTGAAAAATGCGTATCACTTACAGACAGTGACGTTCAAACTTTCCTAGAAGGGATGTAAAAACCGAAAGGAAAGGAGGCAACGTGCTTTATATCCTTGCTAAGTGGTAACAACGGCTCGTGCTTCTGTTTGTTATGACGCATTCCAAATACTCCCTCAACAGTCATCTTTATTCATGTGGCTAAATTAATTACTTTAACCCTCCTGGGCAGTCATCCTATAAGTCCACGATGAATTATTTCTTAGTAAATCTACTGCATACTTACGCTATGTCGCGTTAGGAGTACTTAAGAGTTTTAACAGCAAATATGTACTGAGATACATTCTTTATGTAAATCTTATGTGTTTAGTTGTTGTTTTTCTTCGGTTGAATTTGAGACCAAAGCGGTTTTCATAGTTATTAGGCGGTTCACCTGCTCCGGACTGTTGCGCCTGTTTGACCAAACGTGTTCTACGTAAGTAGAAACTGACCACAATGATGACAACGACGACAATATCAAGTCTCAGCGACGTTCAATAAACTATTTAAACGCCACCGCGAGCTTTTGAAACTTAAGATGCTGATTTCATGAGCCGGAAAAACACCCATTTGAAATCCTTCGAGTTATTTAGTGATACTTTGTAAATCATTAAACCTCGCTTCGCTAAAACAGTTGTTGTAGTGAAGTCAGCGAAACAAATAAACGGGGGAATCTACATTTATTTTGTGGCGTCATCGACGTTCAAGTTTCAGTCAACAAAACGCTTGTTTTCATTTAATTTGACTCACATCAGGAGCAGGTAATGCCGAATGACAATTCCTCGCTAATGCATATTAATTTGTTTTCCTAAACAATGCTCGAGCGATCGGAAAGATTACATGAAAAGCAGGCTGTGACAACTTGACGAACTATGTCCAGCAAAAACTGACTAACTTCTTAAAGTTTTTGTTTTAAAGATTGCTAGGATCGCCAAATCGTCTAAAAATTGATGGCGATTGGAACGATACGGGAAATCAGAAAGCGGAAGTACTGCATTTTGTCGCTTGTCACAGAAATATCTCTTGATTACTTGACTCTTTTCCTTTGTGCATTGCAGAGGACCATTGAAAACATTAGGCACCAGTACAAAATGCTTAGTCATGGGAAACCAAACGGTTTAACACGTATAAGACACAGTTTGAGTCGAAGATCTGCAAATAGCAATTAATTTTCTTGAGTCTTGAATATGCTAATTGCATCCTTCTTGTCAACTTCAAAAATAACATTCAGCATACAAACAAAATCCACAACAACCATAACACTGTATTTTCATTTAATAAAGATGTTATCTCTACATTTCAGAATCTGAACAATTGATCCATGGATAAATCAAATAGTTCTAATCATAAGAAGTTATTAACTTTCGATTTTCATAATTTGAAATATTCAGCACATCATGGAATGAACAGACTTCAAATTCAAAACTGAGGATTTTTTTATCTGATGACACTAGGCCTCTATTTTCCTCACTCAATAGAATACTATGTGATGATTGCGGACCACTATTTATGGCAAATAAAAGTGCTACTGCAGACTACAAATAACACTACAGTTTTAACTGTGGCTCTTGTGGGAATGCAAGATATCATATAAAATCAAGCATAACATCCCTTTCAGTTTAGCCTAGAAGTGCCATGACACATTAAGTTTACTTAACCAATCCTGACCCATTTTTGAACCAGTAACCTGATGTTCACGGAAGACAACTTTTTTTCAGCTCATATTTGAGTCATGTTTTACATATACATTGTACAGCAATGAAAAACTGTCCATGCCAACTTATTCTGAGCTGCACTAGCCTGGAAACTGATATCAATGTCATCATCATCATTGTAAGCCTTATGACAATGTGTACACAAAATTTACCTTTAGTTAGTAGAAAGAGGAAAAACAAAAAGGCATGGAGACCCTCTACAAGAACTCCAGAATTTAAAACTGAGGTACCCTCTGTAAGTTCTTTGCTTGTGAAAGTCTTCATCAAATATCCATTAGGTTTGACCTGATACAGCTTTGTGCATGTTACCAGCTGCCTCCGTGACCACCACCTCCACTACTTCCACCTCCACCAAACCCTGCACCACTGCCAAAGCTACCTCCCCCAACCATAGGTGACCTGACAAAAATGGGATCAGAAGTAAAACTCCCTGTGTAACTGCTGCTGCCCCATCTGTCCACCATGGTGGGTGTAACAAATGATGGGTGCTGCAGCTGTAACATCATCAGTCGGAACTGAAGATCAGGGAGGAAGTCATAGGTATGGCAGGCACCACCTTCATCTTCACGTCTGTCAGCTGATTGGCGGCAGATTGGACAAGTTGCATGGTCTTCCAGCCACTTGGTCAAGCAAGGTTCACAGTATTTGTGACCACAAGCCAACAGCCTTGTTTTCGTTTCCGGCTGAAATTCCTCCAAGCAAATGGGACATGATTTGCTTTCATAAGTTTTTTGAGACTGTCTAGCTCTGTCTCTTTCGTCTTGAATTCTCTTCAGTTTTCTTTCACATCTTTTACGTTCTTGTTCTTGCTTATGCCCAATGTACAGCCCAACACCAACAATAATGATCAACAGCACACAGAAGACGATAAGACCATAGTTTGTTGAACGCTCGAGGACTTTACCGCTGAAAACTTCACCCATTCGGACAATGGCGAGTTCCACACCTTGATCGTAATCTCTCTTTTGCATGTATGGCTTCATTTCCTCAATGATAATATCAATCTGGTCATCGGATAACAATTTCATGGCTCTTTTTCCTGTGGAGACATACAGTTGACGATCTAAAATGGAAATCAGCAACATTGCTCCGTCATCACATCCCGCGTGGCCGACACCCCAGCTGTCATGTAAATGTTTGGCAAACGTCTTCGCTGTTTCTTCAACAGGTTCACCAGGAATGCCTCTCATTCGGTTTAAAACTGCAACGCCAATTTGAAATCCAGGTTTCTCATCGTTGCTGCACCCTGAATAAGTATTTTTAACAACTGAATATATCAACTCTTCAATCTTGTTGGCAGCCTTGTAGCTGAGAATATTCTCCGGATCACAGATCCAGGAAACCTCTCCTCTACGACCACAACCTTTAACATCTCTCGTAGGATTCGGAAAATCCTCCTTGTACCATTCTCTAGTTGCCCTTCCTTCTTGCAGGAAACAAAAAGCCGCAAAAATAACCAGGAAAATAACAGACGCGAATGCCATCTAGACGACTTTCAATTTTGTTTTGTCACAAGGATGGCCGCTGACTTATATAAAGCAGGCGCGCATCCTTTACGTGGACTACGCGCATTGGCCGCTCGACTTCCTCGCAAGTACCTGAAAATGTTGCGTCAGGGGCTGTTTACAAAAAGGTTCGTGACTAAAACCCTCCAGAAAAATCTGTAGTGTTTCAGGGCTGCAATTATATCTTTAACCAAGGGAAAGGATCACACTCTTCCACTTTACCTACATGTAAATTTCCTTGTTCTCTCGATATCCAAAAAGGGTTCTTGTGTAAAGTGCATTCTGTTGCTTTCGCAAAAAAGGTTTAAGTTTGAACGGTAAAATGCAGTTCTTCCACCTTAAATATATTAATTAAATATTAGAATCAAACCATAGTTAAAATCTTTGAAAAATTGTAAGTTTGCAAAAATATGTGATTAGACTTAACTATAAGCAAGTCTCAACTACCAGAGGTGATTAACATGTTACTTCTCCCTAGAAATATCTATACATAATTCAACAAATAGGTAATGAGAATACTCAAACTTATCAGGTAGAAGTTGTTATCTTGACTTCACAACAAATTCTTGTGACTAATTTAAAAGGAAATGTGTGGCAGCTAAATAGGGAGAATTAACAATCAGATCTTGGGAGTCAAGGGTTCAGATACTTGAACTGAGTCCATTTTAAAGAAGCTATTAAACATTCACTTGGTAAAGCTTGGTCAGTTCATGTTCTCATTCAAAAACTCAATTCTCCTGCATAAATTTGACAAATTTTTCCTCGAAAAACAATCAAGTTCACTGTTATTTGTATTTAATGGCCCACAAATAGCCCAATCACCAATAGCTTAATCAGGACTGTCCAATAACTGTCCAAGGTTAAACTGAGATTGTCTTTGCTTTATGTTCATGAAAGATGTTTTAACTCTTCCTTTACACTGTAAACACTTTTAAAAGTAAATAATTTGTACATCTCTTTCAAAACGTGAAGCAGATTAGAATGTCTGAACCTCTATTTCTAGTACATTTAACACAACTTTGTGTGATCAGATAAATCAAATGGAACTACTTTCAAAAAGCTGCAAATAATTTTATTACATGTATCAGTCCACAGCCAAGAACCTCTACAAAATATATTTACATGGAATATTGTGATACAGTTTGAACTTCTTATAAATAAAAATATGTGATGGGTGATCATGAGGAGGGTAGGTGCTAGTAGTGATGTCACACAGTCTTGAGTTTTGTTACAATAATGACTCTTAAACTCTGGTCAAGTGCCGTACACACACAAAGCCCTTCCTATAAAGAAAAAAACAGTAAAACTGGTGTCAAAAGATTATCAGAAGGAATAACAATGATACAAATAAAGATTTTAGATAATTTAAGTTTGAATTGTTTTGTTTAAGAAAACAATTTTTTGTCCCAGAAAACAACCTCATTGCCATCCCCTTCCTCATCCATTGTCCATTCTACAAGTGTAAAAATTTTTCAGTTTGTGTCCCTCTTCCTCCTCAAGAAAATTGCTGACTTTCAGACCCATCCTCTTTGGAAATTCCAATTAGTTCCACTTTATGGGGCTTCAACAGCAAGTGATTTGTGAAATTCCAATTAGTTCCACTTTATGGGGGCTTCAACAGCATGCGATTTGTGAGGAAACTCTTACAGTAGATCTGATTAAATGAAAAATATCATTTAATTTTAAATATTGACCTTACCATTACATGTATGCCAACTGACCTTATCTGGACTCCAGTCAAAGGAAGTGATTGGTTGAGTTGACAGACTGGCATTTTGCAACATTGATACAGAACCCATAACACCCATATCCAAGTCTTTTGCATCTTTTGTCACCCGCTGGTCTGGATATGAGCTAGGAATATCAAGTAGATTTGTAAGTAAATATATCAAGAAAACAAGAGAACACTTCTGTGCTTACCGATGGTGTGCATTATTTTTGGAAGGAAATTTTCATTTTTGGAGGAATAAGCTCAATATAAGGAGAGTAATTTATTTGACATGTACTTTGTAAGACATTGTTTTCCTAATATATTGGAATCCAAAGAATGGTTGCTCACTAAACTAATGGGAGATAGAAGTGGCTCCTGGTGGAAAAAAAAGTGTTACAAATTATACCACTTACTATTTCCAGAGATTAAGGGACCCAGACCCACCACAGGTCATGAAAATTTCACGGTTTTGTGGCAGATGTCTGACACACCAAACTGTAGACTTGTGAGCCTGTATGAGATAAATGTTATATTAACAACCAAGAAGAGGAAGAAATTTAAAGAGATCAAAGGTAACCATCTCTAATCACACAAAGGCCCAAGAAGAGAATCAGAAATAATTGTTAAAGTAAAAAGGTTAATATACAATAATTTTGGTGAAAAGCAATTATAGTTGTGGTTAGTCATAAATTTCATTGAAAATAAGAGTGTAACTGCACATTTAAAGTTGTCAGTGTGACCATAAACTACACAAGTACTACTACATGTTAACTGCAAATCCTGGGTGTTATGAATTAACCCTTTACACTCCTACTAATATCAGTATGCATACCCTTCTCTATAGATTTCCCAAGGAGCTGGCAGGGAGAATTTGTTATACAAAAAAGAGCTTCTATAGTTGGTGATCATCCCCTTTCTTCTTGTGACCTTAATGTGTGATTCAGGGGTGATATTGTAAGGAGAAATTAGATGCTGGTCACTCTTTGGAGTCAAAGGTTTAACAGATATAAATGCATATTTAAGTTTCAATCAAATATCACAGAATAAATATTTGCATCAAAGCAAAATACCTTCTCAGAGAGAGAAGCAAATCCTTTCTCAGGATGTTGTGTTCTTACATCAAACACGTGAAATTTTGATTCTAATGTGGTAGCCACTAGCTTGTTCATCATGATATCTTTTCTATCAAATTCAATTCCACAAACCTGCCACACAAGAAAATTGTGAGGTTAAAATAAATAGCAATTTGACTACAAAACTTAGATACAAGTAAAACATTGCTTCAAAATTGAATTTCAATGTTGTTCACAGTTTTTCCCAAGGCTAAAATCCAACAACAACCACCAATGTTCTAAATCTTGCTTAGCAACCTGGCTTCTCCTCTTTTTTCTATCTCTTGGTAAGCTTTTTGAAACTTTTCAATGTAGGAGCTCTACATGAAGCCATTTAAGACTCAAATCATGATAGTTCATTGTGATATCCCAAGCAGCAGCAGTTCATGTGATTCTCACCATTTGGAAAGGAGTAAATCAAACAAGACAACATCCTCAGGCAATGTAAGAGCACATTTGAAGACAACTATCAAACAGGTTTTTTAGGTTTCTTTTAGAATCTTAAATAACAGTAAGTTGTAACTCTTTATACATACTTTTCAATTTGGAATAATACTTTAAATTAAGATCATATTTTTATAATCATATTTTAAAACCATTAATAAATAAATAATACCATCAGTTTATAATTTTTAAAAAGGATCACTTTTATCTATTCCAAGTGACCTTACTTAACCATGGTGAAAATCCGAAAAATAAAGTGATTGACATATGTTATTCACCCCATTTTTAACATTTGTCTCCCATCGGACAGTCATCTTTTTAAGATCAAACATCTTTATATCACCATTGTCGTAGCCTGCTACAACTGAACGTTCTTCTGTATTGTAAGCATCTCCTGTAATAGGTGAAAATTAAATACATCTTTAGTCAATAAATGAACTGGAACCATAGGAAACACTAGATATCCAATGGATATGACTGTGTAGCAACTAAACTTAAAGCTTGAATTCCAATCTAAAACAAAAATGAAAGAAAAGTAAAATAACATGATTTTAGCCACTGTTAAAAGTTATTAAGAGCAAATGTTTCAAGTGTTAGCCTTTCCGGCTCAAAACACCAGTGGTGGTTACTTTACATTATCAACTCAGAGGATTAAACCAAATTATCTTGTTATACACTGCACCAATGCAGCACCAAAGTTTGTATTAACCCTTTAACTCTCAGACCAAGTTTGTGATTCTCCTTACTGTCAACCATACAATTCTTTGAATATTAGTCCTGAGAATTTAGTATTGGATCAACTAATTATCCCCTAATTGATATTTTTCTCCATTCTCATCACTTATCTGGTTGATATTCATCATCATCATCTTTTACTTGCCTTATTTACACAATACAAAAAATTTATTTACAGCAGTTATAGCTGGAAGGCAAGGAGACCCAGGAAGCCACTGGGCTTATGGAAGAGCCACCTCACTTACATTAATAAATAAAGTAAAGGAAAAGTGCTGCGAATGTGCGGCTAGGCCAATTCAGTGATTATTTAAGTAAAAACTCTTGCATTTTTGTCTTAAGACTAAGAAGGTTTGATGCACGAGTGACTGAAACTGGAAGAGAGTTCCAAATTTTAGGACCTTGCTAGAGAATTGTAAATTGTTTGAGATTTGTACAGCAAAAATGCGTTTGATAATTATTGGCTGTTCTGGTACCATAGTTGTGAATTTGGCTATTTGTTACAAAAAGATTGAGAAGCAATGGAGGCAATAGGTTATCTCTATAATAAAACATGAATTTGGCAATTTCAAATATATTTACTAGGAAAATATCTTAAATTCCTAGTTTGGAGAATAAAGGAGCAGAATGGGCTTGATAGTCTGAGTTGGTGATAGCCCGCAGAGCTTGCTTTTGCAAGTAATAAATTCTATTTAAGTTAGATACATATATGGATGGCCAGGTGCAGTTACAATGGATGATATAAGGATAAATTAAGGTGTAGTACAAAGTGAGTTTGGTTGTAAAGGATAGGAAAAAGCAAGACCTGAATATAATACCTATTGATTTAGTGATTTGTTTACATACATAGCTGATGTAAACAATCTATACAAATACAATACCACACTTTCCTTAGTTAGAAACTTACCTCCTTTATTTATTTTTGAAAGAAAAGTAGATTGATAAATTATGTGAATTCTATAAACTGCAGCAATGCTCAAGACACTAAAGAGATAATGAGTTAATAAGACTTATCAATGAAATTATTTTTACTTAAATTTACAGGCAGTTAAAGGGGAGTATTACAAGAACAGATCATAAGAGTTCACAGGCTTTAAAAAAGTCTTACCAAATGCCACACACCAACAGTCACGTCCCTCTTCACCTTCAGCTGGTGCCATGTTGGCCACAGGTTTGTCCTTCTGACGAGGATCCCAAACTTTTACAGATCCTGCCAAAACACAAATTAACAGCACCAAAGCCACAAAGTCAGACCTAAAGTTTTCAACCCAAAAATTTGGCTTTTCCTTTGTTCTAGGCACATTACCATTAATAGCACTTAAAAATTGAAAATACAAATCAGACTAATTTGAAACATTATAACTTCAAATCCTTCAAACTATACAACCTACATGTACATTGTCTGTCATGTCTTCAAAGGTCTCTTCAAAAAGAGAAAATGGGCTATCTTTGTAAAAAGAGGAAATTGAAACAGCTGGTCATTTACTCCTTTAACTTCCTGATTAATCTTGCCACTTTGTTACCACAACTGTAAGTTGAAAGAAAGTCTTAAGTCTCCCAGGGGAAGGGGTTCTGGACACAAGTAGCTTTCAAAGCATTACAAGTAATTTTCATGGCAGTACATGGCAAGGTTCCTGATCAAGTAATGTTTAGCTGCTCAAGGAAGCCAAGGCAACCTTAAATTGGTTAAAAGGTCTCTTAACAAGGAAGGTTTAATGTCACTCAACAGCAAGAAATGTAAACCTATTCTCATGAAAAACAACATGGCACCTTTAGGAGCCAATAAATTTGATTAATTTCTATCCCTGTGTATTTTTATGAAGTTCTTGCTAGTTTGCTCACAGACTAATAAATTTGTGATGATATTTCAATTTAGAGAAATTTGTAGCACATTTTCCAACTGTATTTGCAGATAGGCCTTAACTTTGATTTGGTACAAAAGTTATGGGGAAAAAGGTGTCACTTAAATGTTGGTGTCTACAATAACTTAATTCTGTTGATAGTTATTAATGACTCACCATCCCTACTCCCAGTGACAATCTCTGGTGCTCCCTCACCAATTCCCAGACCCCCCACACCATCAATAGTATTCACAATCTGTGAGTGAGCTTTCACAGAATAAACTGGCCTCTCTGTGTTTTCAAGATTCCTGAAGAAAACAGTAACACTATATAATTGATCAAGAAAATCAAGGTATACTGGTTTTAAGGTCAAAAACATACAGAAAGGATGACGATTCCAAGAATTATGTGTTTGTAACTCTGTTATAACATAATTGTCTGCTTCATACCAAATCATCATTTTCCCATCAAAGTCTCCTGTTGCAAGATATCTCTGTTGTAAACTTGAGGCTCCAAATGTTCCACATTTTAGTGCTGTCCTCTTCTCTTCCTGTGACAAAAAACATAATGTATGATCCTCAAAACTATTCTAGTAGAGGCTCAGTGATGCATTAACTTCCAATTTACATCAGACAATCTCTTACATTGTGTACAAACTATCTAACATTTTTGTTGTGAGGACATCTTGGAAAAAAAATTTTAATTGTAACTCTTGTAGTCCCTGTATTCTTCATACGTGTTGATAACATCATTTTATCGGAAGACAGCTGCCGTCTACAAAATACAAATCTCAACACTAACATTTTTCAAAAGTTTCAGTTCCCCCTTCGAAACTTCGTATATTTGCAAAGCTCCTGTTCCACGCGCAAAGTTTCCAAGAACTACAAATCGTGCACTGCAAGGGATCCATCGTGCATCGAATAATGTGTAATCTAAAGATTTAGTAACGTGCTCTATAATCTTAGGTTTATCCACCATGGTTGCGAACCAGAGCAAACACGAACCACTTCACAGCAAATGTACGAAATCTTCCAGGCGTTCTCACCTGGGTAGGATATCGCGCATGCTTTCGCGCAATGGCCGCTGTACATCATGTCATTGGAGAATGTAGGCACGCAAGACGTTTCAAATATCCCAAATTGATCATAGGGGTTGTGCGAAACATAGAGTCACTTTGAGCTATTTATATACTATATTCACTTTCATACTGTCTTTGGTACATTTAGACATAACGATCTACTCCTGCCATACCAATTTTGCTGTCACATTCATAAATAAATTTTGAGCAGGTTGCACCTTTTTTTTTCTCAGTTTTCCTGACACAATTCGTGGCTTCTCCCCGGTGACTTTTAAGGCGTGTGTATGAGAGAGGCTCTTTTCTATTTCCTGTTGACCTTCATTAGTGAATACTGCAAAATATTTCCTCATAAATAGTATGACACTGTTCAGTTTAGAGGGTTCGATAACCTGATTCAACAAATGTCGCATAAAATGTTGGCGACATCAATTTTAAATAAAGGGGGTAAGTTTCTAAAAGAACTATGGTGCGGCGTCGGTGGGAGAGTATAACAAAGTAACTCAGGGACCGCGCAACAAGTTTTCGAGTGGGGGGGGCTAAAGAAGAATGCGTGAAGGAAAATTTTTTTGTTAAATTATTTTTTGTATTTTTAACTGAGTTGGCAACGTAAATTGGCCACCGTAAAAACCCCAGCTTACAGGCATCGTGAAAGCCTTCATATCTGAATATTTCAACAACAAATGCAAGTGGTTCAGGAAGACATTTTCAAAGTACAGTTCTCACACGAAACACTAATGAAATTTTTACGCGCTCCTTGATATTCTTTAAGGTGGATCCGCATGGTGGCAGTTACAAACTGACAACAAGTTTGAGATGGCTAAAAATCGACCACTATCTTGCTGAGATATATCACAACCCATAAGCCGAATATTCAGCGATTCATTTTCTCTCCAGGCTTTGAAATTTCTCACACCATCACATAGTACACTTTGAGCAAACAGAAACTTGCCTCACCTCGTGAAGCAAAAAAAAGACTCGTCCGACTACTCTCTTGGAAATGAATAAAATGTCACAAAAAAAAAATATCGGCAAAATATTCTTGAAGCAAAAAAATGATGCAGGAGAAGGTTTAGGGTAAGTTTATTTGAATCAACATCAGAGGTACTGATTTCTTACAAAATTCTCACAGGGGTAAGGATATACCAGTGTAACGTTTTTTGAAGAGAAACTTGTTTACTGCTCAAAGCAGGAGCCAAGCTGAAACGGTTCAGCAGCTTAAGCCAGAGTAAGTAGCCTTTTAATTTTCTTTTGTCTTGTTTACATTATCGCCTTCGTTGCCCGCGTCTTCCAGCTCTTTAAAGCCCACAATGCCCCCGATCTTTTTAACTTCTGAGAACAGATCCACACTTTCTATAGGTTCGTAATCTTCTTCCGCCTTTTCGGCGGCCTGTCGGACATGCTTAGCAACTTGGCAAATAGCAGTGTCGAGCTTGTTTCTGTGTCTCATTACAAAAGGACAGATGATGAGGTTGTAAATGACCGCCGTACCACTCCACGGGCCTGGAAACATGCACCAAACGAGGAGGAAGAACTTCAGCAAAAAATACAACGGAATCCACTCAAGAAAAATTTCCAAAAAATTCACCATGCTGAAAACTACCCAGTATGTTAACCATTTGGTATCTTCCATCAGATCGCTGCTTTCGATCGCCTTCACTGATGCATAGGTCGGGAAAACGAAGCCGAGGAAATAGCAAAGAAGGTTCGCAGCGTAACCAACTGACAGGTATAATAAGATGAAACAGAGGCCGCCAAGAAATAGGGTTTGTCTCCTGACATTGGTAGCGGCCTCTAGCTTGTTTAAAAAATCAGTGAATATGTTGCGCTGTTCAAGAAGGTCGTTAATTACTTGAATTGACACACTACGTCGAACAGTTGCTACTAGCCTTTGGCAGATGTGAAATTTAGTCCTTTCCATACTCCATGAGGATGATCTTGAACCTCGAATAAGCGAGAGACGCCACTTAAATTTGGTCGCTTGATATCTAATTAACAATTTATGATTTCACTAATCAGGTAATTGAATTTAAAGCGCGCAACTCGCGCATGATCTCAAACGGTATGTTAGATGTTGAAAGTTTCACCCCTTACCATCTTTGCGATTTTGCCCCCTGATGTAAACTGTTTTATTTTAGGGGGGCGAAACGTCCATAAACCGTATGTGAGAGTGACGGATGACTCACCACTGATATCTCGGGCGAATGTATCAAATAGACGACGCCTATCTGCCGGTTCTCAGGAGCTCCTAAATTTGGAAAAATATAGGCACAAGAAGTCACGATTTTCACATTTAATTCACTGGTAAATATCATATATGAGAGGCACCCGAAAAGCATTTTCTGAAAACCTCGAAAAATGTTGTACAAACTGTCAATATGGATTAGCTTTATGCTGAAGTTTAGAACAGTACTGGAATTACACTAAAATAAAGCCACCAATAAGTTTTCAACGCAATAGGTAATAAGGGCGAAGGAAGGATTGCGTTTTCCCAAAATCACTCTTTAGAATCTACCGCGACTGATCTTTTTTACCACTATTGTTATTATTATTATTATTATTATTATTATTATCATCATCATCATCATTATTATCATTTACACTATTAACACAACTATCATCAATGTTATTATCATCATTTTTTGCGAACAAACAAAACAAAGCCCACATGTTGCGGCGGAGAAGACTATTAAATGAGATTACTCGTGTGAGACTTCTAAAGTCTTGGATTTTGCTGGATGCAATTTTTATATTAAAGTTAATTGAGTTCATGATTTTGAATTCAAAGGACAGCAGGATCTCATAAGAATGAGTGACTTGTTTGTCATCAACGCAATTTCCATCTTTGCTCTCATGATATGAATGGAAAGAAAACGGTCAATCAAAATCTGAAGTTAACATTGTTAACATCAGCAATTCTGATTAAAATTGATGAGAATTAAAAGGAAACATGGCAAAAAGTTGATTTTTATGTTAAATGATCAGAGATCAGGCAATACCATAACTATGATTAGATCGACGTTTACATCAACGTACTCTTCATTCGCGGCTTTTGCTGAGCGCGCCATCTCTTAAAAGAGTTAAAATTTAATTGCCTAACATTTCCCGTGGCTTAATGCTGTTTGTGGCGTACGTTTGGAGGAATGTAACACATAAAGGTCATCAAGCTCGATTGGTTTACATCACAATATTTCAAGATGTTTCGGTTCTTCGACTATTGTTGCAAATCGAAAGGAAACGAACGTGAGGGCAGACACACACAGAGAGACACACCCACACAATACAAAAGATAAAGCGAAATAGCTCAATAGAAAATGGTTAGACACATCAAAGACAAACGAGGATTTTAAATCATACTGACAAACTGCGACATTCACGAAACGTTATTTGGCTGCTTTAAGAAGTGGATCAAACTCCTTATTTGCTCATTTTCGGCAATGAAATGAGCTGATCGAATCTTTTCGAAAGAACCGTCGTAATGAAAAACGTTGACTCAAATTCCTTAACCCTAAAATATCACTTTGCCTGCTTGCATCGGATCCCATTACCGGTCACACAAGGCAAGGGTTTTGGATAGTTTGAGTCTTCTTGCAACCATGACAACTCGTTTTAATGCCAACAAGCCGGTAGGAAAGCGGGAATCAAAATTATTCTTATGATTACTTTTTGCAGAGTTGTGTCAAAATCAACCTGATATTCTCTTGCCTGAAATAAATTAACCTTGTCGTGCTTTTGTCGCGGCTCGAGCACATTAAGGCGAAACCATAGCTTATGTGTTAATGGCACCTCTAGTCGTTGTCTTTTGCCAAAAGTTTGACGCATTTCGTTATTTGACGACCGAGCTAAGAAACAACCATCTTTCCAGTTGTATTTCTCCAAATAAGATACACCAGTCACCCACACTTTAAACATTTCTGATTCAAGTGGAAGACAGGACAGTAGAACTTTTAACTCCTGTGAGAGGCGGACCAAGACCGAAGTCCTCCTTACAATATCAATACAAAAACAAGCAGACAAGTGATGAGAATAAAGGGAAATATCGATCAGGGGGTTATTAGTTGATTTAATACCAAATTCTTAGAACTAACGTCATAAAAATTGTAAGGCAGACAGTAAGGAGAATTACTAAGGAGATGTTTGGCTTGTTCTCACGAAAAAGCTCAGGCTTGACTCTGTCTCATATACTCTTGAAAAATTGTTGTTCAAATATTCTGTACTACTATTGAAATTTGGTGGAAAGGAAATTAAAACAAACGAGATTACTTCATGCATTATAAACTCTGAAATCTTTAGTGTTTGTATTGGCTGCCTCTCTGTGCTTCCTTTAGTTTCATCGCTCAAAATCCTCAGTTGAGTCCCTTCTTACTGAAGTAAGCTCCTTAGTAATTCGCTTTCATTTCAATGGATGTCCAAAAAGTCATTATTATCTAATTTTAATTTAGCAGCACGTAACAAATGTAAGGCATTTAAAACGGTGAGGTAAACCACAGAAGCTTTCGATCAAAAACATTTAGCGGGTTTACATTTATTGAGTTTCCTGAAAATTTTTAAAGCATAAGGCCGTTTGGAACTTTCATGGGTCCGTTTTGGAGTCAGATGAAAAGTTCAGACAGTTCTCTGTACCTTTGGCTCATTCTGTTGGGTAAGTACCGATTTGTTGTAAGAAACAGAGAAAGAAAAATGTCACAATAACTGCGCTCCGAGAATAGAACTCAATAAAACTTTCTGACCAATCCATCTTCACGTGGTCGTGGGCCTGGTAAAATGTGCACAAAATTGTTAAAGGAAATTCTATACCCATATGGTAACAGTGATTTTCTTCGAGAAGTAGGCAAGTGAAGTAATGGCATGACAACTAAGAAGTGCACCCTTATCAAAACAACGTTTCCATGAAGGAAAAAATCTAAGAGAAATTAAGCCTTTGTTGAAATGGACCACAATAAAGTTGAGGATCAAATATACTTTCACAAATGAGAGAATCTTTTGAGTAGAATTTTTCCAAAATGTTTTGAGATATTAAAAAGACATGTTTGCTACATTGCTTCCAAGGTTATAGCTCAATAATCATCCCGTGCACATTAACTCCGCCCCATCTGCGTCAAGAACTCGAATTGTTGGACAGAATATTATAACAAAAGATGCATTTTTTAGGCTTCGGCAAGCAGGTTTTTCAGTAGCAACACGGTTTACCCAGAAAACTTCAAAAGTTTTCGTTCTGTAAGGCTTTGAGCGTACGAAACGAGCGAAACGAGTTCGAAACGAGCTAGACGATTATCCTTTGCAAAAAGTTCATGAAATATTAAAAACTTTCCTAGATTTCGTCATTATATAGCTCTGATTTCAGGGGCCATAAAGGTCGGTAGGACATCTTAAAATAAAAGAGCTTAGCATATAGTTGACCGAAGCATATGACCAAGGCCAACCTGAATATGCTCTCGCGGGACAAATTTTTGGAATAAAATATTTCGCTTTGGAGTGAAGTTCACCTGCATGGCGTCTGCACATACCAAGGAATCGTTTACACGAGTAATAAGCAAATTATATTTGACAATGGTATGCGAATTCCAACTCAAGCACTTTCAATCCAATAAAATCACAATTTAATTTATTTTAGCCGCCACGGAAAACAAAACGATGAACACTGTGTCGGTCACCGGGAAGACCCATTAAAATGTAGTGAACAAAGTGACTCAGGATTATTTCGTGTAAACACATAAAAAACTTACCTGAAAAGAAAAAATCAGTTATTTTATTTTCTCGAGAATAAACAGGATTGTAAAGATTTCCGTATAACTCTAGATTATTCAAAGCTGTAGTTCCAAAGGCAATCTGTTTTTGCCATTGTTTTCTTTCTCCAAGAACTATAAGCATAATGAGATATAGAGCTGTGCGGAAATCTTGCCACACAATTAGATACGTTGAACAGTTTATAATTAAGTCAAATCCTCTATTGAAATATCGCAAAATGACAGTTGGGCGGCCTAAGCATCTACTAAAGAAGGAATGAAGACTTAAAACCATATAATCCCGAATACGCCTTTTTTAATCACTTTTGAGAGGAAAATCATTCGAAACATCCCAGTAATCCAGTCTGGCGCGATTTCATTTGTGCTCTTTCTCTGTTCATTGTGGACAACATCATTATCATTCATTATTATTATTTGAGTCTAACATCTTTCGGCTGAGGTTTCACTTGTTAAAATCTCAACTTCATGGCATTTTTTCTTTTTTTTTTGCTAAATTGTTTAGTGCCATTAATTTGTTTTGTTAAATCGTTTCACTGAAGTATTAATTCTCTGACGCTTCTATACTCAAGATTTTATTGACGAGTTTGAGTAATCTATTAATGACTTCAATAAAGGCAAGATTTTGACGCAGAAATTGCGGCTTTAAATGTTCTCGCTATCTGAAGGGTCTCCAGGGGTGATAGCTTTTACGGTTGACGGTTAATTTCTTTCCGCGTCGATCAAAAGAAAATATTTTACGGTTAACTTTCTTGACGATTTACAGTTGACTGTTAATCGCATTGAGACCCTCTGTCTAGGTCACTTATCTGTCATTGGAATTGTTCAATTTCCAGCTAGATCTGAAAAGCAGAAACACCAGAATTACTGTGACTTTATGACACAAGACACTCCAAATTCCTGTCCCCCCCTCCTCCCTCAAGCACATGCAAACAATCGCTAATAAAGGTTTTTTTTTCCACTTTTCGATTCTTTTCTAGTGTTCTTTCCCATAGAGACACAGCCACTAAAAATACTATTGACTCCTCGCCGATCTTCACACTCAGTAAAGGTTGGTGAACATGTGACACTGATATGCACAACAGGGCCAAGTGTTAAAGCAACATACAAATGGCAGAATGATTTAGCTATAGGAACAGGAAAAGAGCCGAGTATGATAACAGGAAATGCTACATTGAAAATATGGAAGACAAAATTACATCACACTGGAGTCTACAGCTGTACAGAAACACGAAAGGGAGAAGAAATTCTACAACAAACCCGTTCGGTTTTGTTAACCATCGTAGGTAAGACTATTATTCTGTTACGATTTAAAGGTATTGTTTGTCTGGTAGGTTTAATGTCATTAGATGCATAACTTACACAAGTTTTCCTTTGTTCTATGGTAATCGAATCAATAAGAAACTGCACCTAACAAAGACCTTGTTAATAGAGCAGTTGCGTCCATTTTAACTTCTTTAAGCGAACAAAACCGCTTACTTTTTTTGCGAAGACCCCGAAGTTGTTCTGATAGCGAAAGCTAAAAGAAAATGGAAATCAAAGATATCCAGTTAATCACACTTTGAATTGACGATAGTCCTTGGGGTCGAGGCCCACGCATGAAAGCGAGACGAGTGTCAGCCAGTCCTGGATGGAACCCGAACCCTGATATCGTATGACCTATAGATCAACACGACACAAATAGTATAGGTTCTCCAAGCGTCAAACGTAACCAGAGATTTATATTGGAAGCTCCGATATGCTCACCTGGCGTGGGTTAGCGTTTATAAATGTGTAACAATGAACACTGACTGACTGCAATGTCAACACTACAAACCAAATATTCATAACATTTTCCAAACCAAACTTCTTCATACCACTGGCTTCTTCGCAGCACCTTGTGTGGAGAATGGCCAATTGACCTTAATTGTTATATACATTTTTTTTAATTTTAGACATGTGCCATGAGGCCACAATTACGATTCAACCCACCCTTGCAAGAATTTATTCCGAAGGAACAGACCTCACATTATACTGTGAGTGTTCTAGCAATTCTAATGAAAAGACCATAACATGGATCAAGAACGGTGCCAAAGTTACACCACATAACCGCCAGAGTATAACTTCGGACGGCAAAAAATTGATGCTCAAGAATGTAAAGTTTGCTGATAGTGGTAAATACGCTTGTAATGTTACAGTGGACAGGATGGTGACAGCGACATCAAAGGAACTTGAGCTTTGGGGTACGACCCACAACTTTTATAGGTGGAAGTGTATCTTTTCAAAAGACTAGTCATTTTACAGTCACCAAAGAGAGGGGGGGGGCGACTTTGGGGGCCACATGGTTTTCAGGGGAAACAGAGTGGGGGGAATCAGTCATCGCCGACAGATATAAAGGGAAACTAGAGAAAATGACTGCCAGTTAACCGTTTATACGAGGGGGTGGTGTTAAGTAGACAGGGACAGTAGAATTAAAGATTTCAAGAAACTCACGGTAACTGGTTTGACGCGCGACTAACGCGCCTGCGCTCTGAGACATTTTAAAGTGGTTTTAACTAACTGTGCCTACATTATACCACTGTTGATATGCGTCTAGTTAATGTTCTATGACGCACGTGCTCATGAGCGCTTGTAATCTCCCCTTTGAGTAAAACTTTGCTAGAACGCATGATGATGAGGCTTAGACGGGTTAATTCATAAATATACCAAAGAATAAGAATTTGGAGAACACTGAATACCTTACTTACATGACGTGAAAATCACAATATGTCTTTTTTTCCTTTTCAGTGGGAAACAAACCAGAAATCACTGATTATCCACCGGAAGTAACGCAATTTAAATTGTGGACACAGTATATTTTTTTGACTTGCATAGCAGAGGGAGTACCATATCCACGAGTAAAGTGGTACTTCAATGGCGGACCTGATGAGTCGCAAATTCCTGTGCCAAACGACGGAACTAATTTCACGGTCTTTGACAACGGGACCATGGCAATAAGGGAATTCAGATCATATCATGTAGCTGTCTACAAGTGCATGGCTATTAATATCCTGGGGTCTACGAAGAGGATAATTCATATTCAAACCCCAAGTAAGTTTAACCCGCTGACAATGAAGGCGGCAGCGACGCGAAAGCGATTGGAGAGAGAGAGAGGAAGGGAGAGAGGGAGGGAGAGAGAGAGTGTGGAGCGAGTTCTCTAATCTGACCTAATCCTGGTGGAATGAGAGGTTACTCAAATACTTCCAAGAACAGTGTTCTATTTAAAGAGTCATGTGATTTCCGAGCAGTTTTTTATGTGTGCACTAATGTATTTAGTTTTTTGTGTGCAGTAAAAATAGAAGTACAAAGAAAAGTATCAGCAGCTGAGGGAAAGTCGTTCAATTGGCGCTGCACAGTCGAAGGTCTTCCAAAACCAAACGTCTACTGGGCGGATGCAAAGAGAAATGAAATAAGAGAAGGCACTCGATTCATAACAAGGTTTGCGGAGGAATTACGAATACAAAATGTACGCATGGGTGACTCTGGGCGGTACTATTGTGTCGCTTACCGTAATGAAACTCGTGAATCCAAATGGACTGAATTGAGGATGGACGTTTATGGTAAGTAGTGTTGAGAATGTCCAGCTATAGCACCTGTATCATTAAACAAGGGAAAAATAAAAAGTGCCACGTTATATTATGTAGCGTCAAGTCAAGTCAAGTCAAGTCGTATAATGAGATTATGATAAAGATGATAATAAATCATGATGATGATGATGATGATGATGATGATGATGATGATGATGATGATGATGATGATGAGATTGAGCTTAGCCTAAACTTCTAATGTTTTTTTCCCCTCCCATGATAGGGCCTGTACCCTAATGAGTTTGTTTTAAAACTCTCCGCATTCAAACCCTACTTTAAGGACCTTTGCGAAAATAAACTCTTAAAAAAAAAGAATTCATCCGGCAGTAGCGGCTGAAAGCAAAACGCGAACCCGAGGTCTGGGCTGGTCTTTTCCTAAATTTTCTTTTTTTTTTTTTTTTTTTTTTTTACCACGTAAAAATCATACATAGCCATCCAATATTTGATTAAAATAAACTATATAACTATAGCAGCCTCAGAATGCCTACCCAAAAACGCAAATACTGTATTCTTATCATTATTATTATCATTACTAAAATCATTACTATTTTGAAAAAAAGCATTATCTATTTTATATATCGCCTTGTCGGGTTACATCATTCCGTGTGAATTAATTTTTTTTTCAATCCATGACTCTGTCTTATCATGTATACTATTAGCATAGCATTTCTTGGCTCTTATTTCATAGCATTTCTTGGCTCTTATACGTCACAATAGAATTTCATCACAACCATCACAATGCATGTTTCTGGCGAGCCGGGGAGAAAATATAATCATTTCTTGCCTGAATATTTGAGACCAAATCGTCAATTAAACTTCTTTCTTCTTCATTCAGAAAATGACAGCCTCACAATCAAGTCTTCTCCCAAGAATATAACACACGTGTTTACTGGAACAACGGTAACGCTTAGGTGTGAGTTTGACAGTAAAGCACCTTTTACCACCTGGTGGGGCATAAAAGGTTTGGAAGGGTTGCCAGATTACTATAGAATGAGAGATTATGGCTCCTGGTTAGAAATAGATGACGTGGGGGAGTCGGACAACAACGTTTATTACTGCCGCGCATCGAATGGTTTCAAAACCGTCACGGCTTACACTCATTTGTCAGTGTATAGTAAGTGGAGGACATGATTACTCAGCCTTATCAATTCACTATTGTCATTTTACCAAATAAGGTCACGAGAATGTGCAAAATATGCCACGGTATTACTCTGGGGAACAGGGCAAAAATACGAGACAACAAAATGGCTATACTGAACGATTCAAACTTTGATTTTCTTTTCCCTTTTTTAGGCTGAACTTTTAAAGAAAATAACTTTCAAGCGTAACAGATTCTTTGTTGGTCACAAAGAACACTTAAATGGTTACGTTGGTGTTGTTTCAGCTTGTTTTCGCCTTTTAAGTACTCTTTGTGGGATCGATACGATGCCCAGATAAGGCCTTAAGATGTATTTGGCAAACTAAAATCAAATACTAAAAAGTGAAACAATAGTGGAATAATAAATCCCTTAATCGATGTTTTAATATGTAATTCGAACGGACATTTTGTTCATAGCTCGTATTTTTCCGCGCCCCTTCGGGCTTCGGAAAAATACTGCTCAACTCGTAAAATATCCGAACTTATTATATATAAAACGATAAAAAAATGCGTATATATTCAGTGAGAGGTCCTGTTTTTGTCTTTTGTTTGAAAATTCATTATGCTTCGCTGTGGTGTTAAGTCAGAAAATTCGTCAGGTATTGATGAGTCGATTAAGTTAAAAATAAGCTGAAAAATCAATAAATTTCTGTCCTCAGAGTCTACGGAGTGGAAACCGAGAAACATAACAGTTTACGTCGGAGACTCAGTTTGGTTTCACTGTGATGCACGAAGGGTCCCTCGATTTCCATTCAAAGTCGCGTGGTTTAAACGTGGACAGGGTAGTAAAATGCTCGACAAGAAAAGGTTCCGTGTTATTGCGAACGGTTCGATCCACATAACTGATATTCGGCTCAATGACGAAGGAAAGTATTTCTGTATTACCAACAAAAACTTCAAACAGACCTTTGGAACGCGGTATCTTCTAGTTAGAGGTAAACCCTGTCAGAGGTACTTTGGAATATTTCTTAATGTTACAAAAGAACCACTAAACTTCGTGCAAGGTGTCACTAGCCGTCTAAGAAATCCTTATGCAGGTAAATTTGGGATAGGTTTTATAAAAGTGGTTAGTTCAAATCAATAATAATAATGCAAAACAAGAGAGAAAAAGTGATCCCATTATATTCTCCTGCATGAGACCAAATAAGAACGTCAGGGCCAAGATTTTTGGGTCAACTGACTGCCGCGTATATCAGCACATTATTTTTCGGTTGTTGACATTAAATATGGTCCTTCTAGTGAGAACGTTGGTACAAAATCAGGATCCGCTATTCAATTTTTTAAGTAGTAACACTTTTCTCCTCGGCACAAATAATGTTCAAACAAGCTAAACAAGAAACTTAGAATTTCAAAATTTAGATGAGCTGTTAAGTATTGGTCACGAAGTGAAAGTGGGCCACATCCATGACGGCTGGTATGGTAACCATTATAACAGACATTTACACACATCTTCAAAACTTTTTAATTCATATATCTTATTTACTTTTACAGAAAAACTCAACGGAACCAAAAAAACACCACATCAACTTACGGCTGCGTGCAAGAAATATCGAAGTCATTTTCCTGTAGTGATTTTCGTGGTAGTAGTGATTTATGCTGTACTTCTTTGACACGCGCAATCAAACATTCTTATTGTTTTTCTTTTATCGTTATTGTGGAAACAACAGCTGTCATTTAAATGTTGTTACGGCCACACCATAGAGAGTGGCCGACAGTGTGCTGCTTGTTGCTGTAATCATATCCCTCATGAGCTGAAATTTCAGTCTTCTTGAAATACAAATGTAATTATAGTTGGCCACGGAATCCTCTTTAAATGCTCAATAGTTACAGGTACTGTCCCACTCCGCGAGAATGTTGGAGATGAAGCACCGCCTTGTATTATTGTAAAATTCTGATAAAATTATTCACCGAGATCTTGTGGTGAAGGAAAAGAGCGTTCAACCAGCGGGGGTGATTTTTTTTTGACATAAAACATGATTTAGATTTGAAAAATTCAGGTCATCAGGCAATAAATGATAACAAAGCAAACGAGAAATGAAGTCTTTGATTGAGGAATCAGTGAATCAATGAATCAGTGACACTACCATGAAATCGATGAATTAAGCAACTTAGCACACTCCCTTAACCACTAAACTATACATCAACCCACTCACTAACCGACTAATTAATCACTCACTATGGAATGACTGATCAATTCACTGACCAGCGCCTTTCAACTGGTACAACGCTTAACGTTGCACTGGTTGAATAAAGAAGAGCGTTACATCATCTCTCATAGATTTCACCGGTTTTCGCTGGGCTGCTGTCTAAACGTGACACAGGCGTATGTTCAAAGACGCTCTTGGCCATTCATTCAATGACATTTGCGCCGACTACTCGAAATCTTCGCGCGCTTTTCCCTGCCCCAGTTAATAAAAAGAAAACTCGATGCACTGGCGAGTATATCAAAACATGATAAGTTTAAAGAAATGCGTAGTTTTCTGATGTTACTTATTAAAAGTGAACTGATTCATCCCGCCATGTTTAGCAAGTTTTTGGCTCAAAAAAAAAAAACATTTGATCATTTAGTCTGATCGTCCATGTGAGAATAGTTTTGTAAAAGACTAATTTTGGTCGCACAGAGACAAACCTACGTATGCTGAGCAGAAGTAATCATTAGGGTCAAGTCATTAGAGTAACTCGACCCTGATGATGACTTATGTTCAGGCCGTTAAAACGTCAGGACCACACTAACCCAGAGGTCAGACTGAACGATCAACTATAGCCCGTGAGGGAGCCCTCCTGACTGCTGCTACACGAGCGCTGAAATCTTAGCCGTGAGAGGTCTCTAAGGGGTCTGGGTAAGGCAGATCCCTCACAATCCTTTAGCGCACCAACATATACCGTGAACAGTGCTTATTTTCAATCGAACCCTGCCATAGCATATGGCCAGGGGATATCAAAAAAGGGACCCATTTAAACTTTGAATATATTTATTTTCCACATTATATGTATTAATGTTTACCGTAACTGATGCCAGCGATTTACAGAAAAGTTTGAAATAACTGCTGCCACCTTCGGTTGCAGATACATTAAAATTTATTTCTTCAGATAGGAAACTGATTGTGTCAAAGTGCACGAGTCAGAGAGATGAACACCGCGCGGCCAGAGAGAATGAAGTGCCTCTCTAGAAAAAAAAAAAAAAAGACCCTATATATAGCATGTGTAACGAAAATGTCCTGGCAGCTCGTCTCCACCATACTGGGTGAGAAGAGGAGAGACCGTGGGAACGAGGTTGTGTCATTATTTGAAGTCACTCAGGAGTAAAGTGAAAGCCGTTCAGTTAGTTTTGAGTAATAACCGAAAGACTTAAGTACTCCAAAACTGCTTGCAATACCCATTTTACCTGTTTCATCCCGTTTTCCATACGTATTTTTGGTTAAAACCTAGCAAAATTTTCGAGAGATGAGGGAGGCCTTGATGAGGAAATATAACCAAAATACGGTTGCCTTTTTAGAAAACAATGATTCAACAGGTTGATTCGAAAATTTGCATAATGTGGCACCGATGCAAATTGGAAATTGAAAGACTCGCTCATGGTCAGATCTTTTGATCCGATGTTCACGTTAACTAATAAAGATCCCAGTCAACAATATATTCTGAGTAATCCTAATTTAAAATATCTTGCCTTCTTTGATTTGATATTTGTCATTAGGTATCAATATCGTAACACTTTTCTGTAGGGGGTTTACGAAACAAAAGCAACAGGTCTATTATTAAGGAAACATTCGAAACAAAAAACTCGAGATGTTAATCACCTGAAAAAAATAGCAGATTTCATAAAGGAAGGATTAAAATTCGTAACTACTGAGAAATTCGATTGAAAAAATGGATCGTCAAATCTATTGAATGGAACAACGACAAGCTTTGAAATCTTCTGTTATTGTTGAAAATTTATGCTTGCTTGCGCGCAAAAGAAATATGATCAAATCACTCGCGCGCTCGTGTTTCGTTATGCAAATCCAAGATCTTTTGTTGTTGATGACAAATGACGTGTACAACTTTAACAAAACAATATTTTCTCAGCTGATGAACACGCAATAACACAACGGCAGCGCCGCTTATTCTTGACGTCAACATCTAGAAAACTGAAGCCGTCGAAATTTTGAAATCCCTCGGCAGTTAAGGTAAACACAAGTTTAAGTAACTGACCATGGGTTACGGCCTAAACAAATTTGTGAACCACGTGGATCAAAATCTGCTTTGTAGTATTTGCGCCGGTGTTTTACAGGAAGCGGTTATAACACCTTGTGGACACTCGTTCTGTGATGAATGCTTGCATATATGGCTAAGCAGACCCAACACAACGACTTGTCCTTCCTGCCGCTCCGACGTTCCACCTTACGATGTCATTCCCGTGTTGGCGTTGAGAGGAGTCGTAGAGGGCCTGGCGGTACACTGTGATAATGATGAACACGGTTGTAAAATGGTTTTAAAACTGGAAAAACTACCAGCCCATTTACAAGAGTGCGAGTTTGCGTTGATTGAGTGCGGCGCGTGTGGGAAAAGCGTGAAACGGTTCGAGTTACCAGACCATCACGAAGAGTGTGAGATTATAAAAAATTTGGTTGCAAAACACACGAAGACACAGAAAGAAGAACTCACCATCGATAACCTTACAAAACAGATTGCACTGCTGGAAGTGGATTTAAACAAGACTAAAACAGCTTTGAGAGAATCAGAGGGGGATGTGCGCCGGGTCAAACGGGAACTGAGAGAATTACAATTTCAGTTGGAGGTGAGAATGTCAGAGGAGCAAGAATTTGATCAAGACTGGGACCCGGAATATAACTATGGGTATTCTCCCTCAAGCATCGCCCAACTTGCTAGTTTGGTGTCTCGATATCTTTTGAACAAACCGTATTACGTTGACAGGAATCGCATTTTTAACGCGATCAAACGCTGTTATGATTACTACCACGGGTACGCTGGTTATTCACAAGATGTACACATGTTACTTGCTGCGAGTTATGCAAGTAATTGGTTCACGGAGAACCAACGATCAAACTTCGATTCGTGGCTGCAAAATCTTGCGCGAGCTCGGTTTTTGATTTCAAACTAATGACTTGATCGCGAAAGATCGCTTTTGTTTTCAACGTCAGGCGATAAATTTGCATTTTTCCAGCATGACTTAAACATTGATATTGAAAATGTTCGCCGCATTTCATGTAATATTCCAGATCAAAGAAGTGCTGTCGTAAAACTTAAGGTTAATATTTGTTGTAAGATTTTTAAATTACTTAAAATCTTTGTCAAAGAGACTAATTAATCTGTGACAGCAGGTTGAACTCAGAGATCTTTACAAATTGTTCAAACAAGTGATATTGCGGCGGTTATGGATTGTTAATAAAGCGAAATGATGCGAAATTGTTTCCAAAACATGTATGTGAGTATTGTGTTCCTACAATGTCAAAACAAAAAAAGAATGAACGCCCGATAAATTTTGAATGAAAGGGAATTTTAGATATCGTTCTTAATGGAGTTTTAGCAAGTTCCGCCAATGATATTCCCATGCAAAATTTATTTGTGTTGAATCTTTCTAAGAAAACAAACAACTCCATAACCTGAGGCAGCCTAGTCTCTTTAGAAACGATCACAGATCTCTGAAAAATCCACCGCTAAATTAATGAAAAAGGGAAATGAAATTAAAGTTTTCGATCAAATTGAATGAGATCCATTTCCCTCACACGTCCATTAAATTCAATTCCTTTTATCGAACGCGAAGAAAAAAACTTCATCTGAATAGCAATCAGGTCTACAGCTATTAAGCTGATAGGATTTTTTATACAAAGAAGGAAAAAGAAAGAAAGAGTGATAAGAGTGTAATGTTTCACATAAGCTGGGAAAACTACTGTTCTCGCAGTCACTTTTCCTCGTGGCCTGCAAACGTGTGCTACTGACCAATATCAAAATTCAAACCGTATAAGTACAGCTAAAACTGCAAGTTCTTGAACAAGGAAAGACCTTTCATTGATAAGAGTACTGTTTTATCCGATAATTAATCAGATAAACATATCTTTCAGCGGTAAGGAAGAGATTATTTGCAAATTCATAATCTCAACTTTAATACTCGTTTGCTCTTTCCTTAGAACAACCGTATCAGCTTCTGGTTTCCCTGATTTTCTCAGTTCTATATGTTAGCATATGATATTGTGTTTTCATCCTTGACCTTCTTACGGGCTAATTCTTTTGTTTCCTTCGTGACCCTCATAACATGATAATTAAAAAATCCCATGATTTCTTCTAGAATGATTTGTTTGCGTATTAACAGGAAACTAATCTTCAGTGTCGGGTTTTCGAGAAAGACTCCGAAAGAGAGGCCGCTCCTTTATAGAACCGCTTCACCACAATTCTAGTATTAAAAAAAGACAAAACGGAAACTGATTGTATTTTGTAAACAAGCACAAGAAGAAACACTTGAATTCTTGTCTCTGAGGGTCATTTCACGCTAAACCCAACCTTTAACTCCCAAGATGTGATTACTAATTCTTCTAACTAGTTGCCTCCAATTGTCTTTCATGTTAGTTTAAAGATTTGGTTCTATGAAGATAATTGTTCTGTCCTTAGCTTTCCTTGACTCATTCAGTCTCCTATCCAAATGACTATGACTGTACCACTGACACAAATGGTTACGGTGAGCTATTATCTTCCAAGAAGATAATAACTCACAGTATCTTTTTCAATATCATCCAAGGACACAAACCTTCAGATGCCCTAACTTCTCTGCTACGTACAGAAAACATGCCGGCAAATCAAGCCATACACAAGGTATATGTGTCATAACCATCCCGTGTACTACTAGCTTGTTCAGCCGCTTTGAATAACCTCTAAATTTTTTAGACAAAATCAGGTTCAGATTTGATTGAGTTTTTCAGGGTGTCGCCGTGGTGAGTACTCTGTATTTTCACTCTTTGATCAATAATAACAATCCTATTATCTCGGCCAGAACCAGAACAATCTGGGGTCGTGGTCTCACAGGGTTTATCAGCGCTCTATCCTACGACTGCACCTTAGGAAAGAGGTCTGGAGCGAGCATCTCGACCCTTGGAGCATAACAATAATAGCCCACCGGGCAAGTTTGTACAAAGTGGGTTTCATTTTTGAGAGTCACGGTACAAACAGAGCAGAAATTGGCGTAGCCTTGGCAAACGTCAACAGCATTTTGTCTTCAGACACTCTACTTAAAATATGACGACGACAGCAAATGGAGAGGTTTAAATCTCTTTAATTGGAACGCTGTAGATTTTTTACAGGATTGCTCACGTCTACTGCATGTAAGAAACTAAAATACATACAGAGAACAAACTAAAACATGTTCCAATCTTGTTGACCTCCATTGATATCAAAAGGAGTTCGAATTGTTTACAATTGCGATTTATATAATTTGAAATGTGGCTCCAAACGAATACATGGGCTCAATCATCTCTTAGTGGTCTTTACTGGTTTAAAGGCCTTGTGCCAACTACTAGTTTACAACCTTAAAATTGGAGATAAAAATACGAGACTGTTGGCTATTAATTAAAGAGCCCAAACACTTAAGTGGTTCAACTTCCTCTTTCAGTTTCTATGATTCAATTTGCATTTTGTAAAATTCGAAAACTTCAAGGTAGGATTTTGTGTTTCAAGGCGCTTGGCGTAACATGGAAAAGAGATACGCGACATAACAAATTTTGGCTGCCTACTAAAATAGTTCATGCTCTCAGATCTGAGTGGTGATAAAAAATGACTAAAATGCTATTAATTTTGACATATCAACTCCACTGGAGATAACAAACCCAAAGAACTAGTTTCAACTAAAAATTTAAAATTCCTCAAATAAGAGGAAAGTCCATTTTTAATCACCAGGTAACAATAACTGACGATAAAACGTTAGTGAGCGAAAAATGTCTCTTTCTTCTCTGACACGAAGTCCATTTACAGATTTATTTTGCAGTGTTTTTCTTTCCAAGAAGTTTCCTGAGCCTTTCATATCGCCCTGATACTGGTTGAAGATTGCCATAGATTGGATCTAGCCACATGACTCTGTCCTCAAAACTCATTTTCTGCAACACAGTGCTGTTGGTGTAGAATCTCGAAAGAGCATCCAAAGGCAGCAGTACAGACGGTCTAGGGGGAGGAGACAGCTTAGGCTGTGTTTCTGACACAGAATCTAAAGGTTCTCCCAGCCACCAGCCAGGTATAACCTTAGGATAATCATCAACAACTTCCTCCTCATTCCCCTTGTCCTCAACCTCATCCTCATCAACAAGCTCCCCCTCCCCCTCCTCATCAGAGACAACTTCTCCTTCTTCCACACTCCTCCTGACCTTCTTTCTTATCTTCTTAGGTTCACTATTGATAGAATCACTGCTTGCTTCTCCGTGTAGTTCCTTCAAGGCAAAATGAGTGGGTTTGCTTTCAGAGTATTTCCTGTAATGCTGGAGAAGTTCTTGTTCCTGTGATCCATACTGAACACCAGGGTGGGAGGGAGAATAGCCACCACTGTTATCCACACCAACATCTCCTTGCGTGTCATACTTTGTTCTCTTGGCAGCAGCAGGATTATGTGGTGGGACTGTTGAGCCCAGCTCTATTGAAGGATTAGCACCACCTAACACAAACAGCAAACAGTTTTTGAACAAAATAAACTTTTAAATGACCTTACAAAAATAATTTACAAAATAATTTGATGAAGTCAATTTAATATTGATAAATATTAAGTATTACATTAACTCAGTCCAAGACATGCAATAATTTTTGTTTTCATATGTCAGAACTGAATGACTGAAAAATCAGATCTTCCTCATCACATTGTAAACAGTAACAAAACCATTAAAGTTGCTGAAAACGCTTTGATGGTGTCAAAAATTACACCAGTAGAAAACTGAAAGAAGATAAAAATTCTTAAATTTTTGTTTAACACATACCTAAAATTTATTCAAGAGTTTATCTTCTATTTTCCTTCAAATTACCAGACTTACATTCCAGCCATGAAATTGGTTTAGTGATGCTTATCCTCAGGGAAGTTCCTTCTCATTCATACAAATTATTTTATAATTTCACCAAATACCTTACACAATTTTGAGAATTTTTGTCACTAACTGTAAACAATCCTACTCATGAGCCAATTGGCAAACACTGCGGAAGACTTATCTTGATTTAGTAGCATAAGGTGACTATGTGGCAAGCTCAAAAGGAGAATTTCATAACATACACAACACACTTGTACAGGACTAACATTCTTTCCTTCTAATTATTATACTATGAACATATTAAAAGTCACTTAGTATAATCTAACCATCTTCATCAACATCCATGTCCTGCTCTTCCTGATCCAGTTTCTCGCTCTTTCGTTTCCTGTCACTGCCCGAAGCAGCAGAGTTTGATGACATTCCTCTCATGTGCACATACTTTGCCACTAAATTATCAATCTGCTGATGAGGGAGCATTGGAGGAGCTCTAAGCTCAGCACTCTTGTCTCTAACACCTGAAAATTACAATCAATCCTTTGATTCCCACAAGTGATTCACTTATAATTATTTCTCCTGATAATATTGAATGGGGAGATATGATCCAGCAAACAGGTGAAGAGGAAATTTGAAACTTATTTGGCAGAAGTTTATCTTGATTTAATACCCAATTCTTGTGACTATTTTACAAAGAAATGTGTAGCAACTGAGGGGGAGGGGGGGGCCCCTAAAAATCAGATCTTGGGAATAAAAGGATTAAAGATTTGAATTCAAACGTGAGCAATAATCAATGATCCATCATTTCATGATTCGTTTTTTTTTCCCTTCCCAGGTAGACACAGGGTTGATGTTAGGCTTGTAAAGGGTGAGATCTAATTGTATTAAATGTAACATTGTGTATCTGCCAAGAAATGCACTACTTGAAAATAATGGAATTGGAAAAGTAACTTGTTGATTGCATTTTCCAAATAAAGTCACATATCCATTTAGGCAGGAAAGACCTTTTATTTCATAAAATTTGCAGAACAAGGTGTAATGTAACCTTGTGCATTTGCCAAGAAATATAGTACTTGAAAATAATGGAATTGGAAAAGGAACACGATTGTATTTTCCAAATAAAGTCACATATCCATTTAGGCAGGAAAGACCATTTTTTCATAAAAATTGCAGAACAAGGACAGCTTTTTGTACATGTATCATTTCCCTAAAATGTAAGTTGACTTTATAGGTAAATATCAAGGAAAATGTTAACCAAAATTCATGTCCATGGCATTGAAGCTTATTATAACAATTCAATACAAGCACAAATTTCGGTAGAAATGTATGGTTACAAAATTCCTCTTTGTTTTTCTGTTTGGGAAATTAATAGTGACAAACAATGAACAGAACTGTGGATACTTGAATAACCCTGAATGGAGAACTCAAGCCACAAAATTTTTCAATTATTTTTCTTATGCCCTGCTTCTTTTTTTCCTTTATTTTTTTTTGGCAAGTAATCATGGGAAATTTATACATTTGTGTCCATGGCTACAGCCTTACCTCACAATTCTTTTATAAGCAACTGACAAAAGCCAGGAATAATGAAACTGACACTACCCACAAGACTTTGATGAACCTAAGGAGCACTTTTTTCACATTTTCTGTATGACATAAATTTATTCAGGTACAAACTCACCTTCTGGTATGGGTGTATTAAAACCTGGGTATTCAATAAAAGAACTTCTAAAGTGTTCCTCATTCTTTTGTTCATCTTGCTCCTCAATATAATCATTTATACTGCCATCACCATCATAAATAAGCAAACTTGGTTTTGTGGCCTTGGGTAAATACCCTGGTGGATAACCCAAATGTCTCATTCGATAGATGTATGGTGGCAAATCTTGCTCATTAATTCCAAGTGCTTCCCTGAGTTCGTCAGAAATCACCCCTGGTTTGAATCTTCCAAAGCGTTTCATTGCTGAATCATCAAAGTGGTATCTAGTTTTAGAGTTTACTGGTGAAGCAAACTTATTGAGAAATTCTCGCCTGTTTGCATTGATTCTTTGCATGTCATGTGTCTCAGTGCAATCTTGGAGAGAGTGTCCAGGATTTCCACAATTGAAACAACAACTCCGACTTTTTAGCCTCACTTTTGGTGTTTGATCTGGAGCCAAAACTCGAAAATAAACTTGTTCGTATTGAGGAATGGTCCAGCCATCACTAATTTGAGGATTTAAATCGACCAAAGGCAGCCCACAGCAGTCTATGCAATATTCATCGTAGTACTGCAAAGAACTAATGATGGAAAAAGGTTGGCTACAACCATTGTCCCTGGCTAACTTGCCCACTTCACAATTTGTGTCACAGATGGACGGTGGAAAATTTTGGCTTCCAAACGACTCCCTCTCATTAATGTCGTCGGTTCGTCGTTGTAAAGTTTGAATGAATTCTTCAACCTTTTCTCTGGATCTGATCGAAGTCTTGTTATCGAAAAAAATCCCCTGAAATAAAGGAGAATGACGATCTTGTTGTCCGCCTGTAGTACTACATTTCAACTTCCACACACCGATCAGAGATTTCAAAGCATTCTTCAATCGTATGTTTTCTTGCTGTAAGGAGTTCCGAGGAATTTTACCAGGGCAATCATGCCTCTCTTCCGATGGTCTCGTTGTTTCCTTTTCTGCCTCAAATTCTGTAAAAAGAAGCTCTTCGTCGAAGCACGCATCTTCCGTAACTTCTTCCGCCATTTTGGAGAAACACTAGTTACCAGTCTGCTGACCGAGTAAACAGCCAGCAATGATGATATATTCATTAAATTTTGCGACAACGGTAACAGCCATCTTGCCGCAATGTTATCCATCCATGAAAGCATTTGAAAGACTGAAATTCAATTGTGCCATATGGGCTCCTCATTTTCAGAGGTTTAGAAATGAATTAATCGCCAGAGTACATGTAGAGGGCACAACAGACCCTTGTGGCTCTCTCACTGCTCTTTGTTCCCCAGAATAATCACCCTTGTATTTCTTTTCATCAATTGATGATTCCTACTAGTGAGAAAGTGGAGGATGATAAACAAAGATTGTGAAAATTATTTTAGACTTTGAATCAGTTCTCCCAGCCAGTGACCCATGGAAGGCAATACTGATTGAATAAAACATGACTCTCAACACATGCACACATGAGCTAGGAGTCACCCTCACAAGAGGAATGGTGTCTCTTGATTTTTTTTCTCTTTCCATGCATATTTTTTCATGTTCTCAGAGATTAGAACCTGCTTCACCAACACTAACTGATGACACACTGCATGAACACTGAGTGGGAAAGTTTCATGTTATCAACAGGGACAGAATGTAGTTTATAAAAGAAATACTTGTTTATTTCAGTCAAAGCAATAGTAAGTGCACTTACACAGATGCATACATGTATCCCATGCAGTCCTAACTGACATCAAACACTATTCTTAATCTGATCCCATACCTCAGCATATCATTAAAATGACTGTAGAACTTGTTAGTTATCAGTGAAAAAAAGATAGGAAAAATGGCAATGTGAGTAAGAAATTACAGATCACATTTTAAAGAACAGAGTTTTTCTGAGAAGTTCATTTATTCTTCTATAAAACAAAGTCTTAAAAATTGGATTGGAAAAATGATCACCACAACAGATTTGATTTAATAAATCAAACAAATTGGTTCAAGTTTTCTGATTTTTAGTAATTCAAACATTAATTCAAATTCGAAAAGAAATGTGAAGAAAATTTTATTCTTAAATGTAACATCAATTCACAGGAAGAAATCATGACAATAATTTACATCCAAAAAGAAAGAAATGTAAAGAAATATTTACTGCTAAATGTTAACTCAGTTCACAGGAAAAAAATATAAACAAACAAACAATATTGTTTCTCAGTTCACAGAATATTTAATATTTGATGTAAAAAGTTCTTGCAGTTACTGATAAAAAGTAATGAGCAGGGAGCAGTTTCCAAAGGCATCATTCAGTATCCCCCCCATATGTCATGTGACCCCTAAATAAGGATCATCTTCACCCTGAGACCAAGTATCACCATCATCATCACCAAGGTTACCATCCAAAGCATCAACTCCATCACTCCCTCCATCGATCGAGAGGGGACAAGCCTTGGGAACAGCACCTGTTGATAGAAAAAACAACTACTTATTAAAGGGTAATTTAGTATTATCAACTAAGTTGATTATGTAAAATTACCGCTGTTTTTCAGAGCTCACATTTTGAGTGTTAGCCCTTTGTCAGAGCAAATTCCAAGTTATTCAAGAAATAACATAGTGCGGACATGCAGATTGCTGAATTACAGATATAACTGTAAAAGGGATGAAGTGCACTCAAGAGTTCATTACTGATATTGTCAGCTGGCAGCTCACAGCATGAACCTGGTGTTGACATAATTCTCCCAGAAGGCATTACATGGTGAGAAGAACAAAACTTAAATTCAATTTTGGCAAAATACCTCTTCTTAAGACATATTAATTCACATTCAAGCAATGTTGTGATGACATTATCGGTGAAAATTTCAAGTTTATTCACATGTTTAAGTGTCCATGGGTGCCTACCTCTTTATAGAAAGCTTTTATCACTTACTTATGTATTAACCCAAGGAATACAGCTGTGGCTAGCATTCCAAAGTTCCTTTTGGATGTGACAGCTAAAAGCTGGCTTTGAAGACATCACAGAACAGTACACAAAACAAGGAATTATGCTGTACTTACAGACAAAGGACACTGGTGCAAATCTTTTGTTAAAACTAATCCTGGATGACATTCCTGAACCTCTTATCCTTTAGAGAAATCAATTCAAATTAATGCAATTAATGCACTTCAAGCAGTGATATCAGATCACTGGGACCAAAAATTGCTTTGGGTTAGGGTTCCGTAAGTTATGTAATCCTTCAAAATCTCTGAGGTTTAAAGATATTTCAAGCCAACAAATTATGTCGATTTAAAGATTTTATCATCATCTCAATTGTTCAGGTCTTCTTGAATTACATTTTAATCCCAACTGTACTTACAATCCACTGTCAGTGCTGAGGAATGACTTCAGGAGTGGTGATGACACACTGCAACTTGATTCTGATATAAATAAATAAATAAATGAAACGAAAAAAATACCGACAACTTATTCTACTAGATTACAGTATACACTACCCAAAGTTCAAACATTAGAAAATTCATTGCAACCTTTGAGCATTAAAAAAGTATACAAACGTAAAACGTAAACAATATCATGACTGTATGATATGACCAGCCATTAGTTTAAAGATTATTATAAAGTACACCGACAGAGATTAGCTTGAAAGATTAAACACTGGAACACTCTGAGCAGATTCATGGGAAATACATTCTTTCTGTAAGTAAAAGTTTAAAGAAAATCGTTATCGAGGGGATAATGAATACGATTACCGGTATGCCTAAGAGAACATGTGTTGCGGTGGTGATCACATAAGTTTTATACTCACTTTGTGAAACATTTTTCACGACGTAGGAGGACAAATGCTGTAAGAGATGTGAAAATAAAGGTTAGCATTTATAGTTAATGGATCAGACTGGTCTTTTAACATCGATCACCTTTGTTGCAGATGTTGAACGAGTCAGGGAACGCAAACAACGTGCTGCAGCCGCCATTTTGAATTTACCGCTGATCATGGTACATCGCTTTTTCGGTTGCATCATTAAGCGTGTGTAGGTTGATGGGAAGGTAGCAAAATGGCGGCGTTATCTGCACGTTGTATTAGATCAATTGCTCGTGTTTCGGTGCAAATATCGGTAAGAAATTCAGATAGTCTGATTTAAAGCAATCAAATAATACACTGGCTGATCTGATTCTTATTTTTTCACAGAAAACAGCTTTGAATGCGAACAGCGCGACACAAGGTGACTAGTGCTACGATATTTTTGCTTCCATGGTTGTCAGTTGATGTTTTCAACGACTAATTATGTAACAGATCAAAATGATGAGCTTAAATATATAATTCGAACCGTTTCTCTTATTTTTAGCAAGAAGTTTGTCCTCTGCAGTGGGAAAGTCCATTCTTCGAGACTGTGGATTGTAAGTATTTATTGGTGATGTTGTCACGTGTATCTAGGTACTGTTCTTTTGCGATTAACCGTTTAATAAGATTGTTGGATTGATCTGCGTTCTCGAGAAAAACCGTTTTGGTTGATGTTGGTGATCAACCTCTCAATGGGTGGGAAACCAGTTTGAATCAGTTGTAAAACATGGGAAGTAGGACCTCTGCTGTAGACAAAAAAATGCTTGGCAACTAATGCTTAGTAACTTAGGCTCTTTCCACATACTGGATACTGAAAGTGATTGAATGCAATCCCCTTCCTTTGACAGCTTTGTATTTCCTTACTTGAGCTATGAAGAACCCATGCATCATTTAACCCCTTCATCTTCTAGAAAATTTGCCCTAAACAGAGAAATTTATTTCTCTTTTGGTGGAAATTTAAATTTTATTGTTAGTCAAGATAAGTGTAACATTTTCCTGACTGCTTGAAGAGACAATGCAATCAGAGAAATTAATTTTGCACTGTGGTTTGCCCTCTGATGATATATTTAAGCTTGTACATACACTTGGGGGGTTTGTGTGGGAAAGTTCATGAAAGTAGTTATCCACCACTGTATTTAGCCATTTTTACTAGCACAGATTCCTTAACTCCTTTTGAACATAGCTACAAGACACTCGCTTGTTCATTTTTAATGTGAATGGTTAAAATAAAAAAATTCTTTAAGATTTAATAAAAGCAGAAAATATGAAGTAGTCTGGGTGAATTTTAGAGTCATTTATACTTCAAAAGACCTAACATTTTTTGCATATGATTTCTTTCACTGACAGACTCAAGACGATAGCAAGGGATAATGTAGTTGGAAAACTTGCCAGGAGACACACAAGATTATCAGCAGCAGTTAGTGAGTATATTTTTGCATGTCTTAAATTACTTTAAGATTCAGAAAACCATGAACACTGAAAATTCATTATATTTGGCCAATTGTGCTCTGACCGATCACAGTTAAGTGTCAGGCACATGAGTAAACCCCAAACCACAAATTCCTTACAGCTGCTGTTTATGGTTTAGTTTTCTGACACCTGACTGGCTTTTTCCACAAAACGGCATAACCTTTAGTAACTATTTCTTGTGTTCACAGTTTTCTAAGTTTCACAAAAAATTAAAGCCAGCAAAAAAGAAGATTCACACAGAGTTGCACAATACATGGGTTTTAATCTGGACTTAGTGACTGACTTTATTTAAGGCTAGCTTAAAATTGAAAATATATGACAACTTAATCAAAATTGTGTACTGAGTAACTTGATCTAAGGCAAGCTTAAAATTGAAAGTTATGACTACTTTATCAAAATTTATATTCAGGGGCAATCTTGAGAATTATGAAAGAGGTGGTATAAAAATTGTGGTGAGATCACAAATTCACTTGAGAGACTCTTTGTTAATCCTTTCTCCGCAAGGATCTCATCATTAGTTTTTTGTTCATCTCTCCTTTCACAAATTCACTTGAGAGACTCTTTGTTAATCCTTTCTCCCCAAGGATCTCATCATTAGTTTTTTGTTCATCTCTCCTTTCATCTTGTCATTTTTAAGTTCAAATTAGGTATTGAGTGAAAGAGTATCCCAGGAGTTGATTTAATTAATTCCTATTGCCATGTCTGCCCAACATCATATTGATATTGGAGGGAGAATTTACTTATTGATCACTGCTCACAGCCACTTTTACCTTTCACTCCTCCCCTCCCCCCTCATTTATATCAATGTCACCTTTGACCTAGTGAGTCAGAGGCCTAAAAATTAGAAGATTTGAATTATTAGGAAACATTCACAGCAATGGGGTCAAACAAATTGAAAGGCTATTTTATTATTAATTATTACTTTTTTCTTTCTTTCTCTACCTCTGCCTTTTACTTAGATCAAATATTGTTTACATCTGTTGTGGATATGATGTGTGAAGATGAGGAGGGAAATGGTGATGATGATATCACCATGTCAGAACTTGTTACTGATGAGGATGAAATATTGAAAGTTTCGCGAATGAAGTGCTTTTATGGGCAATGCGTCATATTTTCTGAGCTTAACATATTGAAAAAGTTTTATCATCGCTCCACAATTAGTAGCAGGCTCTGATTTTATCTATGGTTGAAAGACAGTAAGCAACTTTATTTTTGGTTTTTATAGGTTTGGTGATATCAAACCCCCCGGTGATGATAGAAAACTCAGAATCAGATGATGATAGTTTGGAGGCAGTTTGTGGAGACGATGATGAAACATTTTCTTGTTGTGAAGATGCAATACCTGGTCTTTGAACAGTTTGTAATGAGAAAAAATTGGGAAAGTGACTGTATGAGGTTATGTAATGGTTTTATTTCTCTGTTAGATGTCTTTCTTTTTATTAATAAATGGTTTGCTTTAACTCATAATTCTCGTGTCTATGTACTTTATCCAATCACTTAACCAGCGTAAACTTAGAGTTTAGTGTGTTGCTGAAAGGATCATCTCAGTCTATGCTTGAACCCCAATTGCATTTGGTCCGGAATCCTGCACGCTCACCATCACACATGTTTCTAGCTAGACTATGATTAGTCCATACTTTTTTAACGAATTCCGTAGTGCGAGTCAAAATAGTAATCAGAAAAAAGAAAATTAAAGTTAGCGTGCCGCACGGAACTTCGAGAGTCAGGCGCACTCCCAGAGTTCGCTCTGGACCCTTGCGACGTACTTTGCGGGAGGGACTGCACGTAGTCTGGTTTCTAGCTTCCACACGTATCAGGCTACGTTATCCCAAAACTCATTACGTAATTATCACAATGCATTTAAACGCACAGCGTGGGTTTTATAATGACTAAAACAAACTCGCATCGCATTTTTTCCAGGTTAATCAATGAGAGCGTTAGATCCAGGAAAACATATATGCTTCGATCCTACGCCAACTTGAAAGGAAGAGTGAAAAAAATAATACAAACGGCTTCTTTACGAGCCCTGAGTGTGAAAAACTCAATGAACACAGAAACTACTTTGATTGTTTTGAATGTATAAGTATTGGAATGTTTTCAACATCACGATGGGACATGGCAAGAGGGCGAAGTGATCTGCATTCTTCGCAACAGTTCACGAATGAGTCTTTCGTGAGAGTACCCACTTTTGCTTAATTATATCAACGGCTTACTGATTTATTGAGCTTTCTATTGAAAATAATAACAAAGCCTCTTTATGGTAGAGGGAAAGATTTCGACCTTAACGCCGACTCACTGCTCGAATTTTCACTCTTGTTTAACTTTTTTAATAATTATTGCGTGAAACACCACAGTTGTTAGTAAGCAGAAGATTAACTGAAAAAATTTTGTCGCCAGTTTTCTCCCGCTGTGTGAAGTTGTAATCATTCAACTTGGCTTTTATGACTGATTTTTCAGGTATAACTCCTATAAACAGGTTATTTCGCTTTTCTCGGATCAAATTCAATAAAAACTCATGTGGATCTGGTTTATTGGCTTCGGAAGTTTTTTTTCTTGACCCTTTTAAGGTGCACTTACCGCAAAAAGACTGAATTGTTCAATGGCATCTCAAAGCAACCTATTCTCTCTCTTTATTGACACAGATCTCATCCATGTACGACTTCCAGCGCTCAAGTATCTTTCTTCTTTTTTAATCATTTACTGAATACTGTAATTACCTTTAACTAAGAAACAGTAACATGTAGGTATCCAACCTAAAATATTCAAAGCTCAGGATGATACGAGCTTTGTTAATAAAATGAATTAAATATAAAAACCACCTGCAAGGGGAACTGGTACAAAGCCGACGTAGACTTTATTAACGCGGCTTTACATACAAAAACACTACAAAAATGGATACCTCTGGAGCAGGCTTTATCAACGATCATGGGTATTTGATCAATTTTATCGCCAAAATGAACCAGATGCGAAAAACTGAGGTGTTATGTGATGTCGTGCTAATGACAGAGAATGGAAACACAAAGTTCTATGCGCACAGAGCTGTTCTTGCCGCAAGCAGTGAATATTTTTACAAGCTCTACACGGGTACTTCGCTATCAAGGTACCACAGAGAAACAATTCTACAAGGCATAACAGACTCTGTTCTTCAGGTTGTTGTAGATTACATCTACTCTGCTCATGTTGTTCTTACTGAAGTAAACATTGAAGAGATACTTTGCGCTTCTTTTCAGCTCGGATTAGAATCACTAAAACTTGAATGTGAGCAGTTTCTCATTCGTCATATTTCCGTCGAGAACTGCATCAAAATGACGGCTATGGCTCGCGTCTACTCATGCGAGAAACTTCTGCGGGAAGGAAAGCGATTTATGCCAGAAAATTTCTTGGAGATTCAAAACTCAGAGGAATTCTTCAAAATGCCAAAAGAGCAACTGGAAGAAATTATCGCAGACGATGACTTAAACGTGAAAAATGAGGAACAAATTTTCAATTCAATTCGTGCGTGGACAAACTTTGATGTTATTTCAAGGCGTGACTCATTTTCCGACTTATTGAGTCACGTGCGACTGCCTTTCATTGCGCGAACCTTTCTGCTCGGCACGATCGATAAGGATCCGTTGGTCACATCATCTTCGGTTTGTAAAGAAATAGTAGCCGAGGCCTTGTCTTACAAAATGGCTGGCCACAAGGAGAAGAAATTGCTTCAGAATGAGAGAACTAAACGGAGGTAAAATGTGCAGTTAGAGCAATTTTCGAATGATTGTCGAAATTTATCTAGAATTGCATTGGTTTTGCCTAGCTTCTTTCTGTGATTGGTCCAGAAAACTCGTGCCACCCTCTTGACAAATCAGAAGCGAAAGTGAAACCGATCACGACTCTGTCACCCTCGTTTTCCCGCGCTTTAAATAGTTTGGTTGGTTTTACAGTAAATTCTCGTTGGCTCTCAAAGATATCTTTCCCCCCTCTGATTGGTTGTTGTTAAGACGCTTAACTGAAAAGTGCTCTAGTCAGAGCTAACTCATGTTGGTCATAAAAATTTACATTCGCCGTAAATTAAGTTTGTGTAGGGGTGGTGACCTACTGGTTAGCGCGCCAGAAATCAGACCGAGAGGTCCTCGAGCGAACCTGGTTGTTGTGTTCTGATCTTAGGCAAGCAACCGCGATGAGATCCGTTAAGAATGGGTCCCAGGTTCGAAAGACTTAGCTTACGTCTAAAAGTTCCCTAATAAACATTTCTTTATGTATTTCATGATGGTCAGTTCAAAATGTCCTTGAAATCCTTTGTCTTTTTGAGAATACCAGGTGGAGGTCTCAGTTGACAGATGTTATCATTCTAGTGGGTGGAGTCATCGAAAATGGCGTCCAAGCTTGCTGTCATTGTTTCAATCCGCTGACCAATAAATGGCACTGCCTGTCTCCAGTGATTGACAGTCGGTTGAACTTTGGCATGGCCAGGTTACATCGCTGGTTGTTTGTCGTGGGTGGTTCCACTTCTGGAGAGAATATGAATGTTCTTTCGACTGTAGAAAGGCTGGACCCAAAGTTCAACACTTGGGAGAAAGTCGCCACACTTACGTCAGGTAAAAGTGGTAAACCGATTTATAGGAAAGGTCTGGGAAGAAAAGTGCTGGCTTTCTTGAGATGCTAGATGCTCTATGAAATTGAATTGGGTTCTGTAGTTAGTCCTATGCTAACTCAAGAGCTGTTATACCCAGGGGAGGAAGAAGAACGTACAGAGAGAAGAAGGATCAAGGGTAGGAAAACTTAAACACAAGGATGAAAGCAACAAAGTACGAAAGCAGACAGCGTAACCCTAACACACCAATCTAGCCAAAAGATCGATTCAGAACAGGGATATTTTTCACCGCTGATGACCTCTAAGTTAATTGTCATAACAACGAATTAGAAATATCCGTTTTTGTTTCGTTTGTTTTCCAGGTCGCTTTAACCACGAGACTGTCGAGCTCGATGGGAAAATCTACGTCGTAGGAGGGGTCCTGGGAAACAGTAATCAGGAGCAAACAATGGAGTGCTATGATCACGTGACTGATTCTTGGTCCTCACTGTCCTCACCCCGTCAGACCCGTTATACACACTGCGCTGTTTCATTGGATGGATATATCTATGTTATTGGAGGTAAAGATCGATAAAATACTTCTCCCCAAACTGACTAATTCGAGTTTCCTTTCTTGTCGATTGTATACCTCTTAATTCTTTGATAGCTTCAGAATAATTTTTGACTTCCCAACATTTTGTTTTAGCATTAAATGTTAAGATTTAGGCAAATTGAGGTGACAATAGACCCTTGAATCATATTAAAAAAAAGTTGCAAAGGGATTATCTTTAACATGCCGACTGCAATTCGATCAGTAAAGGTCCAAAGGTCTAGATTCCATTTTAATAAGGCACATAACGCTAAAACCATATGGTAGACTTTTACCCCACGAAAAAAATTATTAGAGATTTTTGAGCAAAAATAAGCATGTTTAAAAGGTTAAAAAAAGAAAATGTTTTGCTATATTGATTGATTAAAGAACAAGTATAACGAACAAAGAAACCGACGAGAGCCTTAGTAGAACACTCTCTTCATTTGATTCCACAACGAACATTCAGCTGTGAAGCTCTTATTATTCTCATTCTCCTAAAGGAATATCCAAAAATAACACAGTCCTGAGAACAGTAGAGAGATATGACCCGCATCAAGCTAAATGGACCCATGTGGCTAATCTAAACACGCCGCGAAGCGGAGCATGCACAGTGGTACTCTCAGGTCGGATCTACGTCATGGGAGGCGGGTCAGATTTTCGCAACATTTTGTGTTCCTGTGAGATTTACGAGCCAAGCAGAAATAAATGGACCTACGGGAAAGGTAAGTGGAATTTCGTTTCAAATATTTCAGTACTAGAAGTTACCAACTTTCCGTAGGTTAAAACATAAATTCAGCTTATTTGTAACATATCGACGTTCTCGTCACTCGCATGCGTGAGCTCTGGGTATTAAGAGAAACCTAACCATTGTGTTTGCTAATTTAAGCAAAACCCTTGAAACTTGGCTTTCTCGCTGACTGTTTTTCCTATTTCGTATCTTGTAACAGCAATCTGACCAATCTGGATGCTAAATCAGACTTGGCAGACAAACTTTTCAAACATAGAAGAGATTGGAATTTAAAAAGGCGGACATTGCCAGCAAATAAACTGGGAGGAAGCTTTTCAAGTTTGCACCATTTTACGTTATTGAAAAATTAAGGATATTTTAAATAAGACTCTCCATTTCTTAAATTAGACATGAACACCAAGCGTGACCGCGCAGGCGCAGCAGAATTTGGCGGGAAGATCTACGTGTTCGGTGGTTCTTATGGTCACGTGGCAGTGACGTCAGTGGAGTGTTATGATTGGCGGGTAGACCAGTGGAACATCATAACAGAGTTACCTTACCCACGGTACGGGTTTCGCTGCACAAAGACTGTCGTCAGTAGGGACATGATGGCAGAGGTTCCTCCTCTAAAGCCGAAAGAACCTGCCCAGGAAAAGTTGATCTAGAACAGGCGTAGAGCTACGTAAAGATTTTTTTCACCATGCAGCATGGACATTTCTTGAAATGTTAATTCCTAGGATTTTAAGGTTTTTCCTCCATCCGCAAATATAAGCTTCATCAATCTACGCGGTTTTGTGCGCGCTCAAAAGTAATGAGCGGCAAAGTCGCATGTGGGTCAGAATCCACACTCCTGGTGTATCTTTACTTGATATTTTGCATCCCAAACTTCACGCAACTTTGCCGCTAAGATTCATGGCTCGGCCGCTACACACTAAAATCCCACACAAAACCACTAGATAGACAGTCTAAACCTTCCGCAAGAAAAATGAAACTTTTCAAATGCAACACCACCAAAATTTACGGCACGTCCACATATTGGTTCCAATAAAACCCTCCTGGAGGTGGGTTTCTTCCCTGATTAATCATTTAGGATATTCGCATTCTTAACTGAACTTTCGGCGATAAATTTGAGACAAAACTTAAAATTCTCAATATTCAAATGAGACACTGATGCTCACCGGAAGTATAGTATTCATTGAAAACTGCTTTTCCGGTACAGGGGGAACGCCCACTTTTAAATTACTATCTATGCAATATAAGTGACGCCTGTGGTTCTGATATCCGCCTATTTGTGAGGTGAGTTCAACATTGCTATATTGCAGTTTTCATCGGCTCTAAGACTTTGAAATGCAAATCATATATTGAACATTGGACGTTTCAAACAACACATAATCACTGAGGATTATTATCCGAGAAATCTAAAACTAGGAATATTCGGACAAAACTTCATCACAAAACAGAAATAGTTAGACGTATTAGCTCTATATTGAACAGGAAATGATCCAAAAAAATTTTGCAACTGAGGAGATTTGAAATGTGATAAAGTTAGATTTCATTTAAAGATAAATAGTAAGCTGTAAAAAGTGATTTAAAAAAAATATGTATAACACTAAACGGCCAACTGCAAGGGATGCCATACATGATGGCCTGTGTTTGTTTTATCGATAGAAGCAGCTCACTTACCCTGGTTTGTTGACGCTACTTCACTCAAATTGAATCAATTAAATGAATATTATACAATATAGTAAAGTTCTTTGGTACCTAAAGGGACTGCTCTGTTACCCCTTACCAAGCTTAGTTTCCGGTTCACCATATGATTCACGCCCGGTGATCTGATGGGGTTTCTGGTTCCACTTTTTTACTTGACTGAAAAAGAAAATTTGTTAACCAGCCGGACGCATTGAATAAATTTCATTTCTAGAGAATATCATATATACATACCTAACTATGAGGTTTCACAGTAGTATAGAACCATGGAACAGTAACAAATCGCTGGATACTTTGAGAACGGAGGTCGTGGAGCTGGTCATTCCTTCCATGCTCGTTTTACATGGTCGACTGAAACGACTTCTTATAGATTGATTGAAGTCTTGGAATATTGACGTGATTTGAAATCAAGTTCAATGAGTTATTAATGTTGAAGCAGTTACTCCGTATAATTATTTTATCTAGATCAGTAGTAGTTTTATTGATCTTCAAGTGAAGAGATTCGACGAATGAGTCTAAACTGGAACTCGAGGGGTAAGATTCTAAAGAAACTGTGGAGCTGCGTCGGTGAGAGAGTATAACAAGGTAAACTGATATTACCAACCGAGTTGATAACGTAAATTGACCACCGTAAAGAGCTTCAAAGCTGACGGTTCGAGCGTTAGCCCTTCGTCAGAGCGAAACTGGAACTATTTTTGTTCCCTTGTTATACTAATATATTGTTTTCTTAATCAAAATATGTTTCTGCTGAATCTTAAACTATACCTGAGAGTGAACCTGTGTTTCCAAACACTGAGTAATTGTCCAATCAGTGACCTCTTTCTCTTTCTTTAGGCTTAAGTGGTTCTTGTACATGCATCTGCTCAAATCTCAGACCGAAGGTGGAGTGGTCATGATTCAAACAGGAGTTTAATGAACAGAAGAAACATTAGTTTTACCCTGTAATCTGAACCCTGTTTAAGAACCTGTCCTCAGCCTTATCCCTTGGTAGACATTCATTAGATAAAAGACTTATCGTCCTGTTTCGTTAAACAAACTCGGAGGTTTCCAATATGCGGGAGTTTATATTTAAATACTGTACCAAAGGTGGTTAGATCACGCGCTAAGCGTAGTGCTCAACGGGTATGTTGGTTCAGTGTCCTAAACTTGCTCTTGACACCTTGAATCTATCGCAACCATTAACAAATACTCACGTGCCATATCGTGAAAGGCACTTCAGTTGAATCAAAGAGGAAAGAGAACTCTGTAGTGAAACCAGAAAGTTTCCACCATCAATACGTCATTTATTGAGGTAAACGCCCCAGCCCTGTATTGAAGTCACTCTGTCTGAATGAAATGAGGGTGGGCGTTTCGTAGAAAGAGCCGGTTAGAGGACTTTATTTCAATTCCTTCGATAAAGATCCTCGTGTGAAAGAAAAAAAAACAGATTCTGTGTTTATATCCTGTAATTAATTGCAATAATAAAAAACAGGGATTTAAGGTAAATATGCTTTTTTTAGGGCTTCTTAGGTTGTATTTTTGGGGTTTCATAAGGTCGTAGGTTTTTTTCTGATCGATATCATTCCTTGTGTTGTATTAATCCTGAGTTTGATCGCAATTCAAACATATTGAATTCCTGTCAAAATTATCTAAAAAAAAAAATGATTTAATTGAGTTACAGCGTGTGACATGATTAGAATACCATGTTAGAAATGTGGTTTTCAGCTTTTTCTGGTCGGTGCAACAGATATTTTTATAAATACTTATTTACTAAACATAAAGTTATTTTGTTAGCAAGTTTTGTTTGAAATACTGAATGAGTTAAAAACATTAACAGCTCAAACAAAAACACCAGCTAAGGCTTTGTAATGTCTCGCTATTTAAGTCAAAGGCGATGTAAAATATTATTTCCAACAACAAAAGTGTACTTGATGACTAAGAGAGCTTGTGGGGAAAGTTATATTGAACAGTGGAAATTTCAAGACATTATGAAATTGATTTCTTAAATAAATCACAGTTTGGAGGAATAATAAATAATAAAGATATATTATGACAAAGGATCCCAAGATAATTTGTTTTAATAGGTATTCAAATCGAAGTGATAGCAGACTCAGCAAGTGACATGCAAGTTTAGGCCAAAATTATGCAAGTTCTTATGTAAACAGTTTGTACTTTTTGGTATTGTTTGTCAACCAATCATCGTCCGTATCGCAAATTCCTCAATGGCTGCCATAGTCGGTCACTGATGCGGAGTGAATGCAAAATATTCGATCTATGTCACAGCTTCATCTACAACAGTAGTGATAACAAATGTAGTGAGGGTATGTACAACAGTCTGCAGTGGTTTAAATTCCCTTAAAGCTCAAAGTTCAAGCTTTTCGGTGAAAGAAAGGGCCTTTTGTTAAGAGAATATGTGACCCGTGTCGTCCATCGTTGACATGGTTCATAAAAACGCTTATGCTACAAACCCTGATAGCGGAGTCGAACTGGAGGGTTTTGATTCCTCGTTGAAATCGGATACGGCTCGACAGATCACTCAACAATGGATTGAGGTGAGATCTACAGACATTTAGTGTCATTTTACAACAACCCCTGTGAAGCTTTTGCGTGCTTGTCCATGGACAGACGGTAGTAGACATTAACAACCGGTTTGATTATCTTTGGTGTCTTTAATTGTATCTAGGAGGCTACAGGACGTCAATTTCATTCGTCACGATTCATAGAATCTCTGCAAGACGGCGTTCTACTGTGCTAGTAAGTTTTTATAAAGACATGTTGGCTTGAGGCCCAGGATAAGCTTACCACTGCATACCACTGAGCTCATCGTATATTTGTTCTCGATCTGCAGTCTTGTGAAGCGAATACAACCAGATTCGTCGATAATTCAAGATGTGAACGAAAATCCAACCCCTCAGGAATCTCAGGTATTGTAAGAAACTTCTGTCTGACTCTTTGTAGTTCTTTCTGTGTCGGTGAATTGCACTTCGAACGCTCGACGTTCCTTTAATGTCGTAGAGGATACGGCTAGTAAGCACTCGAATATAATTGTTTTAAGTTTAGTGTTTTGCGGTTCCTTGCTGTTATGATGAGGAAAACGGTTTATTCCTAATTAATGTTAACAATTGGATGGTACAAGGCTAATCGAAAATTTGAGCTTTCACTCGTTTCTCCAAGTCATGCCTCAAGTTGTGTATATAACTAATGAAAACATTCGTGACAATCGGTCTGCTTAGCAATATGGTGGAAGGGAGATATGGACCGTACGTTTTACTGGATAATGGAGTAAATTTTCATCTTAAGTGTAAATTATGCTTCCCACGAATTTTTTTGAAACCTTAGTTGTTGCAAAGGTCACCAACAACACTACATGGTGCGAAAATTTGCTTGTTGCGACCGGAAACTAGTTCATATCATCGCCGCCATTGTTGTGGATACGTTTAGTTAGTCATCGTACAAAAACGCCAACAGGAAACGTGATTGTTTCAAAATGAAGTTAATTTCAAGTGAATCTGAAATAGTAATGTCTGGATAGGTTACATTTAAAGACTCGGTCTCAAATATTCGGAGAATAATCCGCTCCTGTAGTGTAATTCTTCGCTTTTGTGAAAATCACACAACGTCTTTGATACGCCATTCTTTGGCATGATAATTTGCATTTGTTGACAGAATCCAATGTCTCAAGACGATGATTTCATTCAATCAATCAATGTTTTATTGAGCCACGATATTTCGAAGGGCTCCTGGGTGCAATATTATAGAGTATGAAAATTATTATTGTCACGATCAATTGTTCTAGAAATACACATGTTTCTGTACATTCCATACTTATTTTCGAATCGGCAGCAGCTGTAGGTGTGAATGAGTAATTGCCAAGTTTCGTGACCAGCTTTGAGTTTAATCACCTAAATCCCAAAATATGTTGTTTTGGCCAGCTTTTGGTCAGCTAAGTGCATATTTCTCACACCATCATTGAGATGCTTTATCATGCTATCAGATAAACATTTCAACCTGAAATTTTTATTTTACAAAATTTTTAATTTCTAATTGTTAAATTTGTTACGAGACAAAGTTATTTTCCTCACTTTTTCTAATGTAATATTGTTGAACAGAAAATCTTTATTACATGGCTATTTCAGTTTAATTACATCACAAATATTCGTTCTTGCTACAATATTGAGCCAAATAAAGGAATGATAAGAAATTTGAACAAGTTAAATAATTTAAGTTTAGTGACAAAAATTGTGCGAAATTTCTATCAAGATTGAGTGTATGAGTGTTAAGTAAAAAATATATGACACTAGAAATCCAATTGGGACAGAAAGTATTAAAACCTAGACAAGTTTTGGGATACTTTTTATTGTGTAAACCAAGAAACTTACTTTTGAGCCAGTTTTATAACTAGCTTCTATCATTCACTGTTTGTATTCCTAACATAAACACAGTCTTAATGACATCAGGGGTGTCATTGTCTGCAGTTAAACCATTTTAAATGTGTGTTTGATGGTCTTTAACATCTTATTATCAGCCAGTTCAGTCAAGTGATGTAATGAAGTGAAAGCCCCTAGAAACAGACAGAGTAGAGCATTGGTGTAAATTAAGACCATTGATAAAATTATTATTGAAATGTTCAAGCTGGTGTAGACAATACCCAATTGATACACAACTTATCTAAGTAAAATATGAGAATGTCTTCATGTAAGATAATTGACTAGATTAGACTTAAACTTAATTCACACATTAATCAATTGTTGCAATTTTAGAGTTCATCTTTGATAATTTTCATGTAACTAATTTTAGTTGGTGTTTGTCCTGTTTTGAAATGAATATTTAGAGATATGAGTACTGCTGAATTTTTTTTTTTATAATTATGTAATGTCAAATTTAAACAGCTTTGGATTTACAATTTGACTGCATGTCAACAAAAAGAAAAATGTAGTGTATAATGGTGCTGGAACTTTAGAATCCTGTATTCTTGGAGTGAAGGGCAACTCTTTGACTGCATGTTGCAATTCTTTTTCTGGCAGTGAAATTTTTCTCAGTGAAATAATTTATACTCAAGTGATCAGATGGATTTTTAACAGCCGTGATTGACCCAAAACAATTGGCTCCATTATCAACAAAGACTTGAGAGGGTCCAAGTAAAAGTGTACTAGTTGCACAGGTGGCTTGGAAATGATTATGTGTAATTTACCGTGTTTTGTCAAAACAACAAAAAATTGAGAATCATGTTTAAATGGCCTAATGCTGGTTGGCAATTAATCCTTTGTATCTGATGCGGCCTTCCTTTCATGATCTAATTGAACTGAAGAAAGTGTGAAGTACTTTTAGTTGTGTTATTGTGAGAGTTTATTTTCCAAATCATCATTACTAACAGTTTTTGCTTACCTCCCTGAGCTCTTTTAAATCAGGGTGATGTCAGTGATACGTCAGATGTTTGCTGTTTATTCAGAATGTTTTAACAAAATTATTGTATATACATACATATAGTATGCACACTTACCTTGTAGGGTTCATTTCTTGGGATCAACTTTAGAGTAATATTTGAGTTAAGACTTAGTCATAGTCTAAAAGCTGTCTGAGACCCTAAAGGTGAAAATAAAAATGGAACTGACGATATTAAACTAAGCAGATTTAAGTTTGGTATAGGATGTAATTAGATTTCATAACAATTAACGGTTGGTTCAATGGCTAGGACCCTGTCAAAATAGTCTCAGCTGTGACCCCATTTCCTGGTGACACATGTAAGAATTCTGTTTTAAAAAAAGTCACGCAATCATAGATGAAGCCTAAAGAAACAAGGAAGCTAACAAGAGGTGTGAAGAAGATTCAGACAGATTTTATTAAGTTAAACTTAGAGATACAGCCCGAATTTTTCCATGTTGTCTCATAAATATCATCCAAATTTGATGCCGTGAAATAATCCATGTTTGTGAACCATTTGTGATGTGACATTTTGAGCTTTGTAGATGATAAAAATGAGTTTATTACATACCAATAGTTAACTAATGATTTATTGTTGACATTTTTTGCAGATAAACCTAAAAAAGTTCTTGCGTGTTTGTTCTGATCTTGGTCTGAGTGCTTGGCAACTTTTCGATCCTCAGGATTTAGAAGCAGGAGATAATGTGATGTAATTATCTTTGACAATTCATTGAATTATTCTCAGCTAATAACACATTAAATGTATGGCAGTATCAGTGAATCAAAATTACAAGCAGCAACTGCTTTGGATTCAGTTTGTACAGCTGAGCATTACTTTTTAGTGTGGCAGGCTATCTTTTTAAAGATCCATATTTTTTAATTCATTTGATTTACTTTGATTTGTTATGTTTAGCAACTACAAATCAGAAGATGAAGTTGTTCAAAAGGTAATGGATAAAATTATCATGTTTTATTTAGTCTTTTTTTAAAGCTTGATATAAATAATTACTGTATTAATTTTGTTTTTCTCATGGACCTTCCAAGAAAATCAAGTTAAGGTGTTACTATAAGAAGTATTAGCATTATTATATTCACTATGTAAACATATTGATAGAGGTTTACAAGGTAAACCAAGGGCTGGGAAGTTTACAAAGACAATCAACAGACAGAGAAACTTTTTTTAGTGAGAAAATATGTTACATGTGGTCTTGGTAACTCGAGTGCCTCAAATATAATTTACCTACAAGGTGAATGTAATCTGATTAGAAGTTAATCAGGATAAATAAACTTATGGCTTATGAACTTATTATTTTAGTTTTTCTTGGCCAGGATGTGACTATTAGCCTGGTTTTCTGTGTTTATTTCCCCTAAAAAATAAGAAAAATATGTTCATTGTCAGGTTGTGAGCACTTTATACTGGCTTGGGTGCACTATTCAAAGCATGTCTTACTACAGAGGACCTAAACTTGATGTTAGCAATTTTCAAAGGGAAAGTGATGGTACCATAACAGTAAAGGTATGTGACTCCATAAACAGAGAAAAACTAATGAATTATAAACAAGTTTTTTGTGGCTTAATTGTTCTCAAGATGTTGAATGGAGGAAGGGATTACTGAACAAAGTATATGGCACAAGTAAAGCAAATTGCAATGAAATGAGAGCACCATTTCTTAGTTATTTGTTATTGAATTATTTTTTTAAGGGGGTGTCTATTACTTGTAGCTCTTAGGTGACAACTTAAAGTCAACCACAAGTTTACCATGTATAAAAATATGTTATCTATTTAGATTCTGTAGATTCCATCATGCACTGCTACTTTTGATAATATCAAAATCAGATAGATGCCATGATAGTGCGCTCAGAAGATATTATTTGAAGTGAACTGCTGTGGGTTTATCATCAACTGAAATGCTGGGCCAGTTGTTAAGTAAAGTTCTGTCCATTAATTGTTTGTGACTCTTGTCAACTTTCACATTTTATGTCAGTTGGTAACCCCTTGTGCCTGAGGGTTCATTTTAATGAATTCTGCCATATTGGAGCCTAATTCATGAAAGCCTCGTTCATGAAAGTAATTTCCCACTCAGTTTGCTAGTGGCTTAATTCAGTTGTAGAGCTCATTAGTTCAATCTTAGGGTTCTTATTTACAGAGCAGCATTCATTGTCCAAGATCTTTTGGAATGCTTGATCAATGTTTACTCATATTTTGTATTAATAACAAAGGACAGCTGAGTGAAATAGACATGGAAGAATTTTTGTACACAAGTATTTACAATATGCAAGTGCCATTTGATGGTTTGCCCAGTGATGTTGGCTGCAACTACTGTTCTATATCTCACATTCCTTCTTATGTTAGATTACTCAGCCCTCTAAGAGCTCTGTACTTGCATTTGTTATGGCTCTTTTGTTTCTTTCATATTTGATTAAAGAATGCCTTCATTAAGAAATGCTTGCCTAACAGAGCAGAAAGCTTAAACTAAATTATATTATGCATCCATTCTCAATTGTTCAAGACTGACTTGTGGTTTATAAACAAATTCAACCACATAACCAGTACTCTTGTTTTAACATGTGACAATATTTACAATCATAAGTCTCTCTGTGTAACCAATATTTTGCAGTAAGCTTTACAACATTACTTTCAATGTGTAAATAAATTTCTGACTTCTGTGTTGTACCATATAAGCATGTATACATTACTGATCATGTGGAACAGTGAAAAAAAAATTTGATGCTTTTTAAGAACAGATTTATAGGTGAATTGAACACTACAAATGGTTAGGCAGAGTGATATTGTTTTTCTGATGCCATTTTCTGTAAAGTTTTGTGTCTCTAGTTGAATTCTGAATTTTAACTGCTGAAAAAGTATATTTCTTTCTTCCAAATCTAGATTACAGTTTGTGGTTGTTGCCATAGATGGCCCAATTTAGTTTTTTTTGGAAGCTTCTGCTGGTGCATAAAAACACAGTTAAAAACTACCTGTTATCATTGTTCAGTATATACATGAGATAAAATGACTCATACGGGCAGACAATCAGGAAACACTGAGATCAATTTAATGAAATGTAAAAGTCTCATTGTTAGTTATGTGTTATGATTAATCTGATATGCTTTTTGTTTTGTTTTTGTTTGTGGGTTTTTTTTTAATTTTATTTTTGTTTGTTAATTTTCTAATTTTCTGTTTTGTGTTTTTCTGAAAAAGTTCTTTTCTTTGTTTCAACAGCCAACTGCCAGGGTTCCTGCTAACAATTATTCCCACAGAAGAATGGAAGACAGACCTCACATGAATGGAGGATTAAGACAGGAAAACTCAATACCAATGCACCTTACAAATGGTTATGCTGATAATAATAATACAATGGCCAATGTAAGTGTGACTAAAACATTATTGCATGGTATGGCCTGAGGCATCTAACCAATGAAGTATAGCCATTAGCTATCACATGGATGGAGCCACCAGCCAGAGTTACCTTATTGTTAACCCTCAGAGTGACTAGTATCTACTTTTCCCTCACAGTATCACCTCTGAATCAAACATTTTGGTCACAAGAATAAAGGAAATGTTCATGTACTAAAGAAGCTCTTGATTGTTAAACATATTCTTTTGGTCAACACCTAAGGAAATGTGTAGAGAACAGTATGGAAAATATGTGTCTTGACGTTAGGGTGTAAAGGGCTAAGTAGCTTGTTCAGTTTCTCTCCATCCTTGAATAATAAGGGTGACTCATCTTATAAGCTTGAAGGCCCATTCTCCTAGCAGGAATTGATTGGGAGTACTGCAGAATGGTATGCTGGTGTATAGCAGAGTTACCCCTCAGAATTTGTGAGGTTTTCCTGAGAGTTTTCATGTACCCATGTATACTCTTAGGTCATGAGAGGTACATGTACTGGGAAAGTCAAGTATAATTGTCAGAATGGATATAAAAAAGAATGTTTATTATGGTCAGAGAGTAGAACTTGAATCCAGGTCTTGAGGAGAAAAAGGGCTGGTATTGGTTAACATGTATAAATTGTTATATAATTTTAATAAAAGGCTGACATTTTGTGTCTTTACTTTGATCTGCACAGGGAGATGATGCTGTGGAGTTTGCTGTTAATGTCAGAATACTTGGTGATGAAAAACGATTTGGCTTCTCTGTTATGGGAGGAGTAGATGAGGGATTTCCACCAAGAATTGATGAAATCTCCAAAGGTGAACTGACTTCATGACATGATGTAACATTTGTACCTCTTGTTTAAGTTTTATTTAATTTTCCATGGTATAAAGTTATAACTGAAGTGAAGAATGAATTGCTCTGTGTTATCATGAACGTTGCTCAGGTTGGGTTTAATACTAATAAATATTTGTTTATATTTTTAATAGATTCTCCTGCTGCAAAAACTGGTCTTCTGGTTGATGACGAGATCTTGGAAGTGAATGGAGAGCCTGTAACCAACCTTAGCCACACAGAAGTCATTTTAAGTATTCACAAAGTATGTCTTTAAGTTTATACAAAAATAATTTTAAAATCATTTATTTTGATACTTCAATAGAATTGATGGAATCCTAGTTAATGTTAAAAAGTTCAAAATGTTTTTAGCGAAGCACATTTAAAGGGTTAAAACTTCCTCTTTCAGTTTGCTGTTTCCTTTTGGAAATCAAGTGGTTATGAAGCTTGTGTCATGCATGATGTAATTGGATCTTTTTTCATTTTATATTTAGTGTCTTAGAAACAGGGTCATTGCACTGAAAGTAAGGAGAGGACGAAGATCTTTTCAAGGTTAGTAAATAAATGTTTTGAAGAGGGTCATGGATTTGTTGTTAACTTATTTGTCAGAAAATGAATGGACTTAGAGTTTATTTATGTTTTTAGAAAGAATAGCTTTACCTGATTATCTACAACAATTTAATTGTAACTGATCAGAATCAGAGATATCAGTGTTTCAGATTAGAGCAAAACCAATTGAGAAAAGTAGTAATGCGTAAAAACATAATTTAAATACTTGTGACTTCAGTGGCTTCCTAGATTGAATCAAAATTTAATACCTGTTGCACATTTAGGGCTAAACAATGGTATAGATGTTTATGATGGAATAAATGGCAACTACAATGGGCAAGTGGATACAGGCACAAGAGATAAACTTCAGCAAATCATGAGAGAGCATGAGAGTGATCCACAATTCCAATATTACAACTCTGATGCTGAATCAGAAGGATCACACAACAGTGATAAATTTTATAGAAATGGAGACATTGGTGTTGTCTCACCAACTGACCCTGGGTGGAATAAAGATGTTGGCAATAAAAGTTTTGGAATATCAGGGAAAAACTTAGCTCAATCAAACTTACAGAAACACAAGTCACTCTCAACACCACTCATTGATTTGACAAAGCTGGATGCTATAGAGGCAGCTGTTGATGTGGATGATGATGATGATGATGATGATACATGGGCTCTGCATAATCAAGCTTATGATAGCGACAATGAAAAAGATCATCCAGGTAGGAGCTTATCCCTCATTAAAACATAAACAACTGAAAGCATACACTCTGATTGGTCAATGCAGTGTCTACTTTTGCCCATGGGTGTACACTGCAGATGTGACATCTGACACTTTCATGATGGAACATTTGTACTGATTGTCTATAGATACAAAACTGAGAAAGAATTTTTTTCATGAATTTCAGGAAATGTGATCACAATTACTTTAATAAGTAGTAGAGCTGCACAATGACTAGTTTTTGCCCACTTGTTTTGTCTGGTCATTTAAGACTACACAAACAGGTTTAGTACAACTAAAGGGAACTCTTTTCCTATAATGTATCGATGTTATATTATGAAACAAATGGCAAACACCACAGCATACACTATTGAGTTATAGATACACACAGGAGGTTTGCTAGGCACTCAAGAAGCTGGAGTCTTGCTTGACGATTACCTCAAGTGACTCTTACACTTCTCTTGTGCTCAGCAACCTGAAAGAAGTGTCACTTATATTATGATGTTTAATAGCAATAGGCCCTAGTGGATTTCACTTGGGTCTGTAACCACTTAGGTAATAAACAAAATTAGTTTAACTTAAAGCAAGTCAGTATAGCCCCTTCTAGCGGACTTATTTTTCTTTCTTATTGTCCATTTACTGAAAAATGTAATGATATGGTGCAGAGAAGTTGCACCTAACATGCATTTGTTTATAAATGTTTTCAATAAGCTTTGAATAAACAGTGAAGAAGACCACTTCTTTTTCCTTCTGTGTGATCAATCCTCAGTTTTTAGAAAATAAACACTCAATAGTTATACAGAAATGAAAAAAGGGGGTAAGTTTCCGCTAAAGAAACTGTGGTGTTGCGTTGGTGAGATATTATAACAAGGTAATTTAGTATTATCAGCTGAGTTGGTAACGTCAATTGGCCACTGTTAAGAGTTCCAAAGCTATACAACTTGAGATTTTCAAACTTTAAAACTTAAGCTTTATATCTCTTAACAATGGCCAATTTATGTTATCAGCTCAGTTGATAATACAAAATTACCTTGTTATTTAGGATTGTTTTTGCCAATTTAATTGGCAGAAACATAATCTATTTACTAACAAGGATTTAATACATTCTAGTCATGGCAAAGTTTGTTTTCTACTTTAGAATAACTGTTGTTGTTTTGTTTACAAGGAGCAGCAGAGAAAGAACTGTTTTTCCCAGGCATCAGTGAACTAAAATCAAAGCTGCAAAGTGGTAACGACAGAGAAGGAATTTCGTTTGTGGAAAACCTCTTGGAGCAGAAAGATTTTCAAGATGCTACAAAAGTGAGTACGGATTTGATAACTGCTTCAATACGTGATCAAGAAGAATAATAAGTTAGGGATGTAACCAGTGTCTCTTGCTTAATTCTGTATTTTTTCCGGTTGGTTTTAGGTTTACACTAAAATGATTGAACTTGAAAGATCTGGACGAGGACCGAGTGCAGTCAGACCTGTTGCTACAAATTCACAACATCTCTCTTCTCAGGTGATTTAATCGTTACTTCCCAATACTGCTACCTTGAAGCTAGCTATGAGAATTTTAAGGTCAATCAAAACATCACTTTGGCATAATTATTATTCTTAAACTTAGCCTGAGAAGGCCTTTGTTACATCAAAACTTATTTCTTTTGCATTGGTGTTTCTATTAGTGTTTTTGTATTGTTTCGTTGTTTGTCTGTTTGCTTTAGGGATCCAAACATTTATGTAGGTTCCTTAAATAAAGACAAAATAATTTCAGTTTTAAAAGTGCGCATTCTGTTGAATATTTCAGTTGAAACATTCCCTCGAGGCAGCCAGACATTCAAGAGATGCAGATGAATTGGTACAAATCTTAGAGATGCCAAACTTTCAGGTAAATTAAAGTTTTTTCGGGGTGACCAATTAAGTGTTGGAGTATTTTCATCCGCTGACTTTAAATCTTAGGCCATGATCAAATGTCGAACCTTTCAAGTGTCGAAGTGATTTAAAATGAAACACAATCCATGTTCTATTGTGGAAAATTCAACGTTTCTCTTGGTTTGTGCCCTGTCAGGCAAATTCTGTGATTAGTTGCATTTCGATTGAGTGTTCTATAACCAAATCTAAAGTTACCCCAGCGGCCAACAACAACAAACTTTATATAAAATGTCACAAGAAACCTGACATCAGTAAAAACAACTAAACTGCGACTGAATCGCCATTGGGTTATTTTTTTGCCTCTGATCAGTTGAGAAGATGGTACGAGTATCTATACCAATCGTAGAGCTTAGAAGGCAAATGTAGCGTGTCTCCGGGTTACTTTTGACAGTATTCTGAAAATTGCGCCATTTCAGGGTCTTCTGATGGCGCATGATAGACTCGCTTTCAGAGAAGCTTTGCCGAGCGAGGAAGAAGAACAGGAAGTGGATGCACCCGAATCCCAAGATCAGCAAGAACCGCAGCAACCTACGGATGAATTCTCTCATGTGGAAGACGACAATGTGAAGATTGTGAGAATAGACAAAGCAACTGAACCACTTGGAGCTACTGTAAAGAATGAAAATGGCACCGTGATGATAGGTAGAATTGTTAAAGGAGGTGCAGCAGATAAATGTGGTAAGAATCATCTTTGTTATCTTCTCTCTTACAAAACGGTTTCAACCTTGCTGATGCTAGCGGTGTTCAGAACATTTGTCGCATTTAAGTCTAGTTATGGCCTACCTCACTTAGGAGTCCCCTTTAGCTAAGGGGAAAGGTAACGAAGAGCTACAGTGCGTCTTTTTCTTTTCCTCTTTAAACAAGCTGTTTGGTTCCTAGGTCTTCTTCAAGAGGGCGATGAAGTCCTTGAAATAAATGGAGTAAACATGAGAGGGAAAACTGTAACAGAGGTTTGTGAACTGCTGGCGGACATGAACGGGACGTTAACATTTGTTCTAAATCCAGCCAATCGATCCCGCGTCCCACCTGATAGAGAAGTCCACGTGCGCGCGCACTTCGACTACCATCCTTACGAAGACGAGTTGATACCGTGCAAGGAACTGGGACTAGCATTCAGAAAAAGAGACATTCTGCATGTTGTCAATCAAGAAGATCCTAACTGGTGGCAGGTCAGTGGTGAATGTTGTCCCAAACTGTTACCCACAACCCGAAATTATCTACCAATTTGTTATCGAGTTCGTTAGTAAAACATTCATTTTTTTTGTTTCTTTGTTTGTAGGCTTGGAGACCAGGCGAGGAAGGCAGACAATTAGCTGGACTCATTCCATCCAAGCATTTTCAGCAACAGTTAGTTTATAAAAGAGCTCGCATCAGCTACTTTTAGCAACTACAATATTTTCATGGTGATTATATTTAACTTTTCATTTCTTTCCTTTTTTCCAACAGGAAAGAATCGATGAAGAAATCAACTCGAGAAGCCGAGCCGTCCAACAAAGAAAGTAAGGATTTTCAATGTTGCATTTTAGAGCTGTCTCTAACTCATTGGTGGTCAGTCACTTTCGCCGACAACAGGCCTCGCCGTATCACCCTCACCCGGAAGACCACACTGCATGATAATTTTTTACTCCCAAAGTCAAACTATGAACTGTATAACCAACAGAATGTTGTTTTGTTTTCACCTTCAGAGAGTGGATGTCTTTGTTTCAAGCGAAAGCGAAGGAAAAAGGTTCTTTACAACGCGAAACACAACGAAGGTTGGTATAAAGTAATTCCCCAAGCAATTCCACGTTGCCATTATTCACTATCACGCCGTCACGTTTGATTTCCTTGTACACCGGTCTAATTATGTAACAAGGTAGATTGGTATTATCAACTGAGTTGATAACTTCAATTGACCATCGTCAAGAGTTTCAAAGCTTACGTTTCGAGCATTGGCACTTCGTTATCAACTCAGTTTATAACACTGAATTACCCTGTTTTACTCTCCCACTGACGTAAAACTGTTTTTTTCCCTTAGAATATGTGGCGGACGAGGTGTTAACATACGAAGAAGTGGCGCATTTACAGCCAGATCCTCACAGAAAACGGCCTGTGGTTCTTATAGGTAGGCCGGGTCGCTGTGATTTGTCACTTTAAAGACACTTAACTCGCCCAGTCCCCCTCTCCACTTAGTAGTGGGTAACAGTGAACTGTCAGGGAAAGCTGAGAAATAGAGGGGGGAGGAGGAGGGGGGTAGTGGGAAACCTCTGGTGGAATAGCATCCCTTTCAAGAGCGAAGACGTGTTCTTCTTGGTTCGTGTTACAGAACCAGAGATAAGCATTCACTTTTGGTTTTAACGAACACAGTATCATTGCTGGGAAATTATCCGCCTTCAACCACTCCTGTCCCATTGCCCAGAGAGATGTGATGGTCTGTATTTGCAAGCAATGTTCGCTAGGGTTCAACCCTCCTCTCCAGCTTTCATGTCCAAGATTAATCTCACGCGACTATTTATGCTAATGATATGAAGCAAATCACTCTTAAAGCATTTTAGACTTTGCAGTTGGGTTGAAAAATATGAATTTATCCTCTGTAAATTTTTTGTTCCATTTGTTCCTGTGTAGGACCTGATAAAGTTGGCCGGAAAGAGTTAAGACAAAAGTTGATTCTATTTTCACGAGAACGTTTTGCTCTAGTGGTACCTCGTAAGTACATTTCTGTTCGCGTTTTATCACTGAGTCATCATATAATCAAAGAATCGTTCCTAAAGTGCAAACGAAAACTTAAACGATTGGTTAATGGACCCATTGTGTGACTCTCTGTCTGTCCGTCTGTATGTATGTCTGTCTGTCTGTCCGTTTGCGTGTTCGGTTGTTCTGCTTTCTATTCTATCATCTGTTTCTCGTTCCCTCTGTCGGTCTATCCACCCATCTCCGTCCGTTGCTCGCCCTGTATGTCCGTCCTTTCTTGCTCTCTTTCCGTTTCCCTGTCAGTCTTTCTGTCTATCTGTCTGTTCCTCTCTGCCCTCGTCTACCATCTATCAGTAGGCTCTTCCTTTCCTCTGTCTGTTTTATTATAATTTTTCCACCTATAAATACATCAAGCGGAGTACTGTAATAAAAAATTTCTTTGGAGTGTTTTTTATCATACTTCAGACTTCACATCATACTTCCCGCTTTAGACACCAGCCGCCCAAAAAGACCTGAAGAAGTCAATGAAAGAGATTATTACTTTGTTCCACTACCCACGTTTGAGGCGGACATTGTGGCCCATAAATTCGTGGAACACGGAGAATTCGAGGGTCACTATTATGGCACCGCTTTAGACTCCATTAGAAGAGTGGCCAACTCTGGCAAATACTGTATTTTAAATCTCCATTGTGAGGTATGTCGCAAGTAGCTTTACAGTTCCATTTGTGATTCTATGCCATGCAGAGAATTTGAGTTTCATTCGAGTACAGTCCATACTTCTGTGTGCCCTTATCTGCAATCTATTAGCTTTGCATATCTTAACTCAGCACACTTATTACTAATACTCTACTCAAGTAATATTATCATATGACCCATGCGACTCGCGTGCTTTTGATGGAAATATAATAAATAATCTCCCCGCATGAGGGCCGTACGCGAGTAGGCGATCAGGCCCAGAAAAAGACGCTCAACCCAGCATGTAGCCCTGAAATGCAGGATGACAATTGAGCACCGATCATATGAAAAACTGAGATAGGGTGGGCCGAACGGGAACATTTTTGGCTCACGGTTATGACGGATCTCGAGCCGAATTGCTCAAAGTAGAAACATTTTGTTTATTAACCTCTGATATGCATTTTTATTCCAGGCGCTCAAGATGCTTAAAGCTTCTGATGTGAAACCCTACGTGGTTTTCATCTCACCGCCATCTTACGATAGAATATTGACCCTTCGGAGAGGAAGAGTGGATCCATTCAACCCTAATCCAAATTCACCTATGTCTGTGAGTACCAGTTGTTGTCGTTATCGTTAGAGCTGTCGTACCAGTTACCGGGATCAAGCTGAAATCAAATTGACAAAAAAATATGTTAGGTTTTTGTAAGAAGAAGATAAATTTTCTTTGAAATAGCGGATCAATTTGTGCGCACCTCCCCCTCCCCCAACTCAACATTAACCCTTAATTGCTGTCAGTTAACCGTTGTTGGGTTAGGTGAGGGGTAAGTGCGCAGTTGCTCAGGTTCTGGCATTGATCCAGAATAGCGATAAAAATTGTTAAATAGGAAACAAAAGGGAAAGGCCATCGACGATTTTGCAAATGTAAGAGAAATTTTGAGACTGTTCAAAGAAGTTTTTAATACTGGCTAAAATAAGGCCATACAGCAGTAGGTGTTAACTGCTGCGAGAGTTCCCGCTCATATTTGTATTGTTTTCATTCTAAGGACGCGGAATTACATGACATGGTGACTAAAGCGAGAGAAATGGAAGAAATGTACGGCCATTACTTCGATAAAACAATCGTGAACACAGACTTGGAAAGAACATTTGACGAACTCAAACAGGCCATCGATAAACTTGATGTGGAGCCACAATGGGTACCAGCTTTTTGGGTAAATGACAGCCGTGGCAACTTGTAGAAAAAAAGCCATGGGCACCAGCTAGAGATAAACGGTTTTTCGCGAGACGACACCTTGTGTTATGCGAATGAAAAGGAACAAAGAAAGATTCATTACCGTTTTGTATCGTGGAAAGAAGGTATTTTTTTCTGAAAAGGGTGCCCAGACGAGGAAACCAAAAAATATATGGAACATTGTCAAATTAAAGGAAAATAAGTTGCCGAGGAATTTCATTTTAGTTATGCAAGTTATTCAATATGTACAGCGAAAAATTGACTGACTTTATTTTCTAAAGAATGTATAACTAATCTTTTCATTTATGGATTCTATATTGAGCCAGAAGGGGATCTGTATTAGGTGAACAAGAACGAATGCTTTAGTTTATGTAACAGAGAGTTTATATCTTCCGAAATTTTTGAGATATTTTACCATTAATTTGCAGTATGTAATATTCTGAGTGTGGAAGGTACGACAGGTTGCTTTCCCTTTTTTGTGTGTGTGATGTTCTCCATAAAGCAGCTCCCTAGCGCTTCTGGCAAAATACGGATCAGATACATAAACTTGATAACGAAAAATTTACTTCACTGGTGGTTCGTGCTAAGAAAATCAGCCAAGTTTGAAATGTTTTTTAAGTATACATATCGATAGAGACTGAGTATGTAGCAGGTCATTTCAGTGGCCCCTACCAGAAGTGCGTCATTATTTTTTAAATGTCAGTGCTGATTTCAAGTGACTTCACACAAGTCAAGTTAACAAACAAGTTTTATTTGATTATAGAGAATTGCAAATTGTATCAAACCATTTGAACGAATGAGCAAAAAAAAAAAGCAGATAATGAAAATCTGTCAGAATGATGGAGGGAAGTCTGTCATTTGTGAGAGTTAATTCAACTGAGCTGCTTAAGGTTCAAAGCGTACTTTGAAAAGTTATATTCCCGAGAAATTGAGCTTTCATACAAAGCAAATCTTGATATAAGGCAAAAGGAGTAGGGATAAAGAACTATTATAAACAGTAATAATATTTCCTTCCCGTTTTAGCGATAAAGAACGTAGCAGTGAGGTAATGAGTGTGTGGAGCAGTTTGTTCGTAATAACCGAGGATTATTTTTTACCAAAGGTATTCGAAGGGACTCTTATGTATCCATTTATATATCTGCGAGAGGTTCAAAATTATGTCTTGCTGAAAACAAAAACAAAAAAAAGCTTTACGGGTAATCGACAATTTTTTCATCAATCATATGTTAGCGTAGTTGTTACTTGGCTTATTTGATCTGGTAGTGCATTCCTTATTACACTTCGCAAGGATATTAATCAGTCAGGACTCAAAATTAAAAAGTTTCCAGGCGTCAAAAGGCGAAAAAAGAAGAAAACACAGAAAGACATGAAATAGACCATCATCAAACCTGGAAATTTCCGTGGAACAATTAGCAAACGCAGAAAAACATGATACTAGTGCTGAGCGCGTGACAATCTCTTTGGTTGTGTTTCGCTTCTTTTTCTTCGTCTAGCTTGGTCAGTAAAGAAACCGCCCGTTTCACTATAGACAAAGGTTTACGCTTTTTTTCTTTTTTTTTTTTTTAATTCCGTTTCCTACCTTTTTTATCCCATTCTATGTATTTTTCATTCGTTAATCATGTTATGTAAATAGAAAGTTTAGGTGCAGTGAAGTTTTTTGTATCCAGTTACAGATGTTTGTGAAGTCTATCTTTTTTAAAAAACCAAGTTTTGTGCAATTACTTGACTTCACTCAACAGAAGGCCATAGCAAAGTAAAACGATTGAACTAAGGAACTGCTTACAATTTAAAAAGCAGTTTGCAGAGTACAATAACAACCCTAACCAGAGATTTACCCGTAAGCAGTCTTGTGTAAATTTTTAAATAGCTGTAACAAATTCGAAGCAAATATTTTTATATACTTCATGGGCCACAAAGTATTTAATTATTTCATGAAATTGTATGTTAATTAGTTTTAGATTTTGTAATTGCATACAATTCGAAATGATAGGTAAGAAAGCAAATTATGAGAAGATGATGCAGTTTTCTGCAGCTCCACTGTACAATTTACTGAATTGCTAATTCTCTAAGCAATGTATTTCATGGGAATAAACTAAATTAATACAGGGTGATTTTAACCTACTCTGGATAATTGTCGTTTATTTTACTATTTAAGAGCCATGAACCCTTTACGGCCTACATGAGAATGTATATTCTCCATACTGTTCTCTATACATTTTCTGTGGCACAGACAAGGAGAATATAGCTAAAAAGCAAGAGCTTTTCAAGTCTGAGAACGTTTCTTTCATTTTCATGAACTCAATGATTGATTCTGTAGTGATACCTTGGTGAGAAATTAGATGCTAGTCACGCTCAAGGGTTATTAGGTTAAGCCGGCGGGCTATAGAAACGGTTTTGTTGAAATCTTCTTCATCTGAACTGCTTGTTAATCAACTGCGCCAAAAACCAAGTTCGTTTGTGCTGGTGGATATTAGAATGGGGAAGGGGGGGTGGGGGCGGGGTTGTGTTAACCCTAGATACCTCTAGCTTTCCATGGGGGTTCACCGAAAAACCCGCCGGTACTCATTTGTAGTCTACGTGCATTTGGAGCGCGGGTCCCTATCCCGAAGAATGAACAATACTTGAGTTTGTTAGTGCTAGCTAGCTCAACCTGCCTGAGAAATGAGTCAGGTAAGATTCTAAAGAAACTGTGGTGCTGCGTCGGTGGGAGAGTATAACTGGGTAACTTAGTATCATCAACTGACTTGATAACGTAAATTGGCCACCGTCAAAGCGATGACAAAGAGCTAACGCTCGAAACGTCAGCTTTTAAACTCATTACTGTGCCCAATCTACGTTATCAACTCAGATGATACTAAATTACCCTGATAAATGCCTCACTTAGCAAAATGTTTGGCCTGGTTCTCTTAGGGGCAGTTGCGTTGGTACTGAATTTTATCTTTGCTAGCAAAGTAACGCAATTTTTTTTTCCTTGAAGGGGTTATTTTAAAGTAAATTGAGTCTTATAAGTCATTGGGAATTGTCATAAAATAAATGATCAAAATAGCAGCTTGGAAATGTCGACAAACACTGAAGAGGTAAGAATACACCAAGGATCTCAGATAACAATTGTCAAACTCTTACATTGCAATCAATTTTCTGATTATTTGCTAGAGAACTTCAGGGAAATATTTGCTTTGCTCTCAGATTGGAATGAAAAAGAGCTGCATCACTTTTAAGCCTTTCACATGCATAACTAAAACCAATCACAAGTCGGACACGCTTGTAATCATGCGCTCCAAACGGTTTGCCTTTGTTTTAGCTTTCATATTTTCATTCTCCGGATTAGCTGTTGTGACTATTTTAGTTTCGAACTGAAATACGCTTTAAGTCCACAAACAGTGGAAAAATTTCAAGCAATGATGAACAAGTGGCGTAGATAAGCACCCTTCTAAGTGCCAAATAAGAAGAGAGTATTTACCCTCGTTTCCAGTCATTGTCTACTTCCTTGTGGACTTCCTCTCAATGACGTCATGACCAAAGTCACGCTATTAAATCGAATATGGCCTACTTCGAAAGGACTTCAAGTGAATGATGACGAGAACTTCGAAATACGAACGAATAATATTCAAGGGAGAATGAACATCAATTTCGGACGAGCTCTGTCATGTAAAGATGATGTTTAAGCAACTATGCCCGTTACATTCACACCATTCAAGTTGTCTCGTCACGACTGTAGAAAGGCAAAGACCTTCCTTGTATTATTATTGGTTAATTCCATTCTCTTCCTCGGAATCTATGTCGCCGCTTCAAGAAGAATTCAGGATCGATTCAGAACTTCACCATTTCCACCAAGTCACATCAATTTAACGACCCAGGTTCCAGCAATAAAAAATACGTCAGAAAATGTTCGGTTGCATCCAGTAAACCTGTACAACCTTCCCAAGGAAATTCAAGACGCGCTGATGAAAGTAAACTCATTTATGGAGTCAAAAATGATTGAGAAATCCACTTCCATATGTCAATTTGCGTGGAAACTCGACAAGGCAGAAAACACCGTAAATCTATTTATTTGCGATTAATTGACTATTTTACGAGACATCTAGTGGCGTGACCTAACGAAACTCACAAGCTATTCTTACGGAATCTCTATGTAATCTTGTATTTGCTAAAATAAGCAATTCTCCGTATCATCCAAACAGATTGTTAACCTTGATTTCAAAAAAATGTTATTTGAACTATTGCATTTACAGCGTCGAAGTTACTGTATTTTGTGGCGTAAAAATCCAATTAAGCGACGAGAAGACATATTTCCGCACCATCACACACTTAATTACGCAAAAATTACCATTTTGATAAGAGAAAACAACAGTGAAAACAATAAGTTAGGAGTAATGCTTTGTCTTGGAACAGTATGGAGTCATATATAAAGATATCTGATAGGGCTCGTGCACCGACTTGTGTCTGCGATGCTGTATATGTAAATAAAAAAAAATTAGTCTCAGCGATGTCTGCGATGCTGCATATGTAAATAAAAAAAATTTTAGTCTCAGCGGGCTGATGTACTTGTTGCCGTATTATGTTTCATTCATTTCCCTCCGCAGACAACCGTGTCTGAATGATGTGACAAATACCCCTACCCCACTCCCTCCCTTTTTTTGGAAAAAATGTGATTTTAATTTTACAATATTGGACAGTAATCAATGAAGAAGCAGCCTTTTAGGGAACAAACCCCAAGTAACTGATAACATTCTTTTTATGAAGTCTTCTGTTTAGAAGTTTTTAATTTTCTTTGATGCAAGATTTTATCAGCATATACTATTGACGTCTAGGGTTAAAACTTAATCGGGAAATTTTGAGACAGACCAGTAAATAGAAGTTATCAATTAGTTATCACTAGAGAAAGATTTTTTTCGTCTTGTCACGAGCGAGGGCCAAAAAAAATTCTGAGTTCCCATGAGGAATCGAACCTCAGACCAAGAAGCATTTCAGACTCAATTTGGAGCCAAGGCCATTTCTTGCTATCCAGGCCGCCGACTCCTTCGCCGCTACGCTCTTCCTGCCCCCTCCCCCCTCCCTCCGAAAAAAATAACAAAAAGGGAATGCCTGCTCGCAGGTTTCAGGCAACCTTGACTACCAAAGTCAAGAGTATTGTTATACTGTACAGCCGTTTCGAATGACACATTCGTTAACACCGCAGCCAGTCATCTGGGTACCAATTATTATTTACCATGTTCTCGTTTTTTTTTCCTTCATTCCCTTTCTTCCTCGTGCACGTGTTAAATCTCTTCTATGGAAGACTTATGGTACCTGCTGATGTAGTGCGTGCAGCGCTAAGAGTTATGTAATGTACCGGCTGCTCCCAAGAGACGACTTACCAATACCTGTTGTTCATTTTCTGTCATTTTACCGAAATATTTCTAAACATTGAATTGCTTAAGCTTTACATCGTTCTTTGTTTCAATCATAATACTACGAATATTCTCTCCTGCAGTTAGGTAATATCGCATAACGAACAGGGTTAAAAGCAACAATCAATTCGTAAACTTTACGAGTATTCTACCGACACCCATAGTGTTTTAATTCAGTTAAAAAAAAAGGACAAACTGCGGTAAACCACTTCTAATATCTAACAGCAAAGGGCTTATCGTTGTAATAAACGACCAGATTATGACCAATCAGGGTGCGCGTAGTATCTCGGCTACATTTCAACTCTTGGGTTTCTGGCACGGGCCAGAGTAAGGGACGCTTACAACGCGCTCGTAGTTACGTAACATCCACGAGGTTCACCAGTCATCACACTAGCGAGGCAAAACGTGAAAAAAGCATAGTCCTGAACGAATAGAGATGAGTAAGAGTCAAACGTTCTACAATTCCTTTTAGTTTATCTGCAGATAATGACACTTTCACTAAAGTGGCTAAAAAACCAGTTGCCTTTGAAGTGGGTGACAAGTAGAAGTTTCCTGGAAGCCGCTTTAGAGCGCGCGTGGGAGCTTAAGGCGCGTGAATTTGCGTGGAATGAAAGGCAGGTGTCTCCTCGTGACAAGTAATAAAGTAACAAGACCTTACACTTGATTTATTTTCAATAATCAGCTGGAATAATGTTTTTCGATTTTTCCCTCTACACGAAGAAAATTCTAGTTAAGATCAACCAGAGCTCTTTTGTATCAGTCATTTGAAATGCTCCGCACGCATCCTAGACATTCTTCTGTTCACTCACGTGCAATTTAACGTGAAAAAAAAAAAACAGTTCTGACAGTCCTTAGAAGAATTTTGTTTCAATTTGGGTGGAAGGAGTTCCCAGACAGGAAGATATCGGAATAAAAAAAATTAACATTTGGGATTCCAGATTCCAAACAATTCCATGACACTGTCCTGCTGCCTGAAATTCAAAGACTTAACACTTAGTCCCTCACAATTAAGAGGTTATGTAACAAATGGTGAATTACCTACGGGCTTTCCAAACATACCACTCATGGCTGCACTTTTTTCTCGTCCTTTCGCAATCAACATAGAATAAAGTTTGCTCGGTTGGTTGAGAACTAGAAACTGAGAACGGTATGGAAAAGAGTTCGTTCAGTCGATTGAGATCATGACAGAGTTACATATTCCATAGTCACACTTTGAAGTCATGTTTTCATGTACAGAGCTCGTCTCTACAAGCCATTTAACCACTCTGACAGACTACTTCACACCCAATCAGTCTTTATTCTCTCATAATTTTACAACTACATTTCTTTACTTACAATGTAACTTTAACATTTCATGTACAACTGTTTACTTTTAACCTGTACATATGTACACGATAATTTTTCCTTCTCCTAATCTGATTTTATTTATTCATGAGCAATTCCCTAGTCCTTGATGGAAAACTTTAATTTTCCTCTTCGTTCTCCGATTTACGTATGTGGTCTAAATACCCTACTTAATTTAAGAACTTTTTTGCCGAAATTATTTGTCGCAAAATTCCCCTTTCAGAAATAAGTGTAATCTGTATTGTTAAACACACGCCTAAAGAAATTTTCCGATTCTTTAATTCTATTTCTTTTCTAAAACCAGCCCAAATTTTTACAATCCTTATTAGTTCTCTAATATTACTTTCGTAACTTACTCGTTATCGTGTTTGAAATGGGAAAAAAATG